TAATTTATAATTTATTTATTTATTATTTAACTATTTTTTATAATTATAATCTTTTAATTATTTAATATATTATTATTTTTATATTAAAGTATAAAATAATTTTTCCTTATTAAAATAATATATAGTAAAATAATTTAATTATATAATAAAATTATTTAAATAATTATAAACTATTTTAAATTATTTAATTAAATAATTTATAGTTTTTATTTATATTTAATTAAAGTTATTATTATTTTAAATATAATTTTACTTATTATAAACTTAATTTTATTAAAATTATAAATATTTTTTTTTAAATATTATTTTTATTTATTATCTTTTATATAAAGATAAATTAAATATAATATTTAATTAGATTTTTATTTAATACCTATTAATAATTAATTTTTTAATTAAAATATATTTAAATATTTAAAGTTTATTATATAAAGTTTATTATTTAATTTTTTTTAATTAACTTTTAACCTTATAATATTATTAATTAATTAGTTATATCTTTTATATAACTATATAAAGGTAGAAATAATTTTATTATAAAATTAAAGATATATTATATAATTAATTTTTTTTTATTTAAAATTAATTAAGCTTTTAAAGGTAATATTTTACTTATTAATTTAAAACCTTTTATTTAAAGGGTAAATATTATATAAAAAATATTATAAATAATAATAATATATTAAATAGATAATTTTAGGTTTTATTTAATAGTTTAAAATATAAACTATAGGTTGCTTTTTTTATAAAGGGTTTTTATAATTATTGTTAAAAAAATGAAGGATTTTTTTTATATATATATAAAGGTTAAAAATGTGGCCAGGTTAATTAGGTAACTAAATTAAATAGGAAATATATTATATATTAATAAAATATATTATAATAAACTTAATTATAATAATATATTTTATTAATATATAATTATTATTAATATATAGTTATAATCTTAAAACTTTTTACCTTTACATTTTAACTTTTATTTTTTTTACCTATAATAATAAATAATGCGTTAAAAGAAATTAGGCTATAAACCATTATATATACTTTTAAACGAAACCCTTATCTTTAAATTATAATACTTATAAAGATATATTACATTTTTAATATTATATTACGTTATTAAATTATTAAAATTATGCTTAAATGTAAATAGCAGCCTATTATTTAAAAACTTACTAAAATTAAAAAGAAATTAATTATCGAATTTATTATTAACTTAAATATATAAACATGTCCTTTTTAAATATATTATATTTAAAATATAATTAACCAATTATTAATTAAATATAAAGGTATACTTATTAAACTAAATTAGGTTATATATTTTATATAATATATACTTATTATAAAAGTATATTTAAATTATTAAATTAATTATAGCTAAATCCTTTATAAAGATCCTAATAAATATAATATATATTTTAAATATATAAGGGTAACTATTAAATAGAAAGGTATTATAAAGGAGGATATTTATAATTTTAATAAAATAGGATTTATAATAAGTATTAAAAGGTAAAATAAACTTAAATAAGCTTAATTTAATAATTGGAATTAATTTATAACTATTTATTTAATTAATTTTTATAGTTAAATAATATTACCTTTCCTTATTTTATAAAAAAAAACTTACTTAGCATTTTATAATTATAATAGCTTTATATTACTTAATTAATATATTATAGTTTTAAAAAATAGCTAGATTAATAATAAACTTAATTTAAAATAGATTAAATATTTTAATAAATATATTAAGCTATATTTAATTAATATAAAATACTTTTTTATCTTTAATAATTATAAAAGTTATTATTTAAAGGTTTTTAAAAAATATTATTAAAAAAATAATATTTATACTATAATAATATTTACCTATTCCTTTTATAAATTTTAGCCTTTAAATATAATATATTTTAACCTTTTAAAAAAGGCTTATAATATTAAAATTAGCAATTTTATATATATAAATATAATGTATATTTTTAAGGAGAACTTTCTTTTAGCATTTTTTAAAGTATATATAAAGTTAATAATACTTAAAAATATTATTAATAGATTTAAAGCTATTAATATTATACCTTTTAATCCTTAAGTTATAATTTTTAAATTAAAGGTTATTTTAATTATTTTTATATTGTTATTACTTTTTAAGTTACCTTTAATTATTTAAACTTTAAAAACCCCTATTAATATTAAAGAAGCTATTTTATAATTTATTTACTTTAAAGATTAAATTAAAAAGTATTAAAATAACTTTTTAATTAAAATTATTAATATTATAACCTTTTTATTAAAAGCTATATATTAAATAATTTATAAGTAAATATTATTATTAAATAAAGTTATTAAGCTTAAAAAGGTTAATAATATTTTTAATAAATGCTAGAGAATTAAAAATAAACGTTTATAGGTTAAAAAAATATTTATTTAAATTAAGGGAATAGAACTTTAGGTTGTTAAAAAGGGTAATGGTATTATAGGTTAAAAAAATAATAAAAGTAATAGTTATTAAGTAAGAGTAATTAAATGCGTATACCGTTATAATATATATAGTAATATTAGTTATAATATATATATATATATATAATAAATGTAAAAACATTTAATAAATTAAATTTTAATTAATTTGAATTAATTTAATTATATTATAGTTATTTTTTTAAGATATAACTAAAATAGGTTTTAAAATTATAACTATATATTGGTAATAACTATATATTAATAAAATATGTTATATAAACTTATAAAAATATTAATTATAAAAATATTTAATAATTTAAATTTTAATTAATTTAAGTTAATTATATATATAGTTAAAGGTTAAAAATATAATTAAGTTAATTAGGTGGCCACGTTATATAGGAGATGCGTTATATTTATAATATATATATTTTATAAGAGATCCGTATCTACTTGCTTCTTTATAATCCCTCTTACCTTTTCCCATGAATTCTCCATGAATATCACCCGTTTCTCCTTATGCAAGAGATCTTTGAACTCTGCAGGGAGTACTTGCTCGTTGAAATTGAAGTTGGAGTCGTCTTTCAGTGCGGCCTCAACAGCACCCGAGAACTTCGCGGGATGGGCTGTCGATAGCGAGATGTGTTTCACATCAGCCTCCGCGATTGACCTTGTCGCCGCTGCTACGCCCACTGCTGTGTGCGGGTCCAGTACGTATTTTGTCCGGCTATAGCATGACTGGATGGTCTTGAGTGTCTCTGCATCGCTCACGCGCTCGCTTCCAAATGTTCGCCTCCCGGCTTCCAAGATGTCTGGGTGCACTGGTCCAAATCCACCAGACGCCTTTAGTGACTGATACCACGATGTGACCTCTTGCCCCGCTTGCTTTTTGTTAAATTGCTCATCCATCCCGACAGTGGAAGCGAAATCTGTCTTGGGTTAAAACAAATCGTGTAAGACAAAGTAGATTAAGCTGAAACGAACCTTCTGCTAGAAACCACATCAGCCTCTCAAAGTTGCTGGATACTAAGATATCCATGGCCGGGCTAAGAGTCTCTTTGCAGCCGTCACTGTGTACATGTCCTTCTTTGACCGCTCCATTCGCGGCAGGCTGCTTCTCGTAGCGACCTGTCTTCCAGAATCGGTACAGAATGTCGTTCCTACGGATTTCAAGTCAGCAAGCGAGGAGACACTGGCATGCGTATGCGAGCAGCGAAGCATTTCCAATACAACAGAAATTTTATTATCTGTGGTATGGGTTGCATATTGAATACCCGTGGAATATGGTAAATCGGCGTAAGTCTTGAACTCACTCATTTGTTGCCACTGTAAGCATATTAGAGATGGCACATGGTGAGTTACGCTGCGAGGTCACATACCAATCAGCTTGTCTGCAGGAAGTCCCATCCTAGTAGCTAAGTATCCAGCCAGGATATTTCCAAAGTTGCCGGTGGGGGTGACGAATCGGACTTGATCTCCTACTTTGAAAGAGTCGGAGGTCATCGCAAGCGAGAAATAGGCATGGAAATAGTAGACTATTTGGGCGAGAATCCTCGAGAAATTGATCGAGTTCACAGCACCAAGTTTGAGTACATCATTGGTCTCCGGGTCGCCGAAAAGTGCTTTCACAATATCCTACACGCCCAGTTATTGGCTAACCGCCTCCAAGGCTGCTGGGCTGCCGACGTACCTGGCAGTCATCGAATGTCCCGGTGACGGCAATATTGTGCACATTGGCATCAAGGCATGTTGTCATCTGGGCCTCTTGGATCTATTGTCAGAGTATTCGCATTAGTACTACCAAGCCCATCTGGATGAGGATAGCCTAGTATTTTCCCGGGTATGATTGTATTGTTAAGGTGACTGTGGCCTTGTAGCTCACAATGATACCCTCGTGATGGAAGATTGACTTACTGGGCTAACACGGTCCTTCGGGTGTAAAATGAACACCGATACATCTTTCTTGCCTCTAAGACCGTAGATGGCTGCGGAGCCAGTCTAGCGTGTTGTTAGGTATACCACTGGGTTGCGGATTCCATATGCAAGGGTATTTACATCACCACTGGTTGCACCAACGACTGTCAAGTGGTGTCGGTCTATTTCCTAGTCAGACTTCCCTAGGTTTGGGTACGTCCTGTTGCAGGGGCTAGGGGTTGTTGCATCTTGCTTAGGAGAATTGAGCGGCACGAGAATCCTCACCTTTTCCCTCTTTCCCTTGATTTCTTCGCACCAGAAAATACTCAAACAGGTTGCCAAGGAACTGCAGAGCACCTATGAGATCTGTGAGCGTGGTTCGATTGGACGGCAACAACAGCAGGATGCGACGCACAATCCTTGAAGGAGTAGCTGGGGCCGTGAAACAGCTCGAGGAGGTACAAGTTGTTGTCCTGTAAATGGATCAGGGGTGCTACATTGTCGGCTCGGAAAGTAGAGTAGCTCCTCTCAATGATTGCTTTCAAGTCGTCGGATGGAATTTCATCGGTCGAGATGAACAGGCTGAAGATGCGAAAGGCAAGTTCGGTGTACGAGAGGTCTTTCCACTCTTGCTAATGGTCGATTGTCAGTGGCTTTGTGCCATGGCGCGTCCTGAGGGATGCGCAGAAGTGAACAGTAGTGGTAACTATACCCAATTCTCTACCCGAGGTATTTGATGGGGTAGAAACAGGCCACCGTCGGCGGCAAGGCCTTTTAGAACGACAGTCTCGAAGGAAAGCTAGGCAAGCAGGCTGATCAGTAACGGGGACCCAGCACGGGCCGTGATGCTAGGATAGATGAGCGAGGACATGCGTACGCCATAATCGCCGCCTCTGGTGGAAAGGTAGCTTTGTGAGGCAGTGTGGTTCGGGCTTGCTGTATCCTGATACATGTTGACGTCGCTGCTATGCGATGTGTCTGTCAGGGTTGCTTGTCGTCGTCGATTGGGATGCGAGAGACGAGAAAGTGACTCTCCAAGTAGGTGCATGAAGGACGAAAATGCGTCCACTAGCATCGATGCTAAGCCGGTCTAGAGCTATATAGTTATAATTTCCTTTGCCCCTCCAAGGTGAGGTAAGGATTCGAGCTCCTACATCGGCTGCCCCTCCGGAAGATTCATCACCCGACCGACAGCAGCTGTCAACCTTCAACCTTCAACCCTTCAATTACATACAGTATTACCTATTACCACATACTAACCTGTGCTATATGACCTCGCAAAATGGAAAGCCTCCTTGTGAATTATCATCAGCCACCAGCTCATCACAATATAAATTCTGAGATTTCACAGCTCTGACTGGCATTCCTGTATTATTGATAGGTTAGATATCTACATTAACCCGTATGTTTTGTCCGAATTGAAGAATCTTGTCATAAGTACGTGTTATAAGACCACTACTCAATGCTAGGGTTGATTTCGTGTAGATTGCCATCTCGTTGTGTTTATTTTGGCGTGTCTATATATACGATTTAGGGCATATAATATGAAGCAGCTAGCAGTTGATGTCCCAGGCGGCCATTTTTCTTCTACCCTATCTATAGTAGCCTTGGTCTTGAGTTTTCTTGTTTTGGAGTGGAAGGGGTATTGCCCAGCACATCTCTACTAACCCATTTGCTTCTGTATCTGGTCAAGTTGAACATAGTTCCCCAACGTAGCAAGTGGATTCTTACGCTATATATCTTAATATCCCAACATTCTGCAACTGGACATTTCAATGCCATCTTGCTCTTCAATTTATCTTCTTCTTCTTTTCTCACTTTTTAGTAGTCTATCGAGATTGCGACCCAGGAAGGTTTTAGGAATGTTGAACATTCAATAGGTCGTCACTATTATTGTTGGCTTCAATATCCAGTGGGCTAGAGTCAGAATGATGTCCCCATAATATGACCTGGCTCCATTTGCCCGTGAAGATAACTACGGCTATATCTGGCTCGGGATCTTAAGGAAATTACCTCAACTATACTATATCTTTTTTCGTTCATCCTTGCATGTGCAGGGAGTATCTTAAATAATTCCTCGCCTGACGGGTCATATAGGCTTCGACATGACCGTTATGTAAAAGATATCGCCCGACAATCATTCATAAAACTATGAAGCACAACTTCCCTGGACTGGTTGCTGGTTTCCCGTTATGTCTTGGGCGCTGTTGATGACCTATAAGAGAAAAGGAACTGAATGTATGTACCTGTAAGGGTCTGACTACCTTTGCCTCTAGTATCTTAACCCTCGTGTGGCAATGAATGTCTGCTGTGTATTTACGCCCCTAACGCGACCCATGATAGCCAGTATGTGGTGTCAAGTCTATTAATACCAGGTTCATTACCACTAGGGTACTGTGTGGGAAGCATTATCGTATAAGGCTTCTACGAGGCCTAGTGTTATAAAATAGGCGCTGTCTTTACAGACGTCAAGAGCCGTGAGATTCACTCCGAAGTCCAACCTATGTAACTGATGATAGGTGATTGGATATCAGGTATGTCAGCCAGGCGCCCACTCGTCAGTTGGAATTATTGGTGGCTGTTACACGTGCAACCTCTGTGCCAGCTTAATATGCAGTTCGCCTTACACTTCGGCCGTACGAAGGACCATTGCAGGCTGTTCATGATCTTTCAAGACATGCAGGCAATATTGGGCAACATTGGAAAGTGAGGTTATACAGACTTCGCCTCTTGAAACAGACCCCAGAGACCTAGGCGGTCTGCGCTGGCAGACCATTTGTATATAGAGGCAAGTCAAGCCACCAACAACCAAGAAAGAGTTGGTTGGCCAAGGACTTATGCAGCCCTAGTTGGTCATTGTAATTTGAATTGCCTAGATTCCAAGCCCAGTATTACTGCCCTTGTTATAGTGGCTCATGGCATCTTTATTTATTCCGCAGGTTGGTAGTGATTCTGGTTACGAGAAAAATACAATCAGTATTGCAATACAAAAGTAGACAATATTGCGCCCTATTATCACGTAAGGTTTTCTCATTTGCTGCATGGGTGCCGTCCATGTCGAATGCCGTTCTTAGTCCACGGGTAATAGAACCGTGGCAAATAAGAACATTTCGTGCCAGTGTACAATGAGAGCAGATCTAATTACTAACATCGGTTTAGTGTTTCGTAATATAATTAATCACGATAGTTAGTAGGCTCTCGTCGTCTTCTGGTTCCGGAGTTTCCAAGGATACATAAGCATAGTCCCATATCCGTTGCATCTTCAATCGGGTTTGGAGTACTGCCATATACACCATGGACTGGCTCTTAACATAGATTTTTCACCTAATTGCCTTGGCTACATTGTGAATTGGACGTGTAATCCTATTGCGATTATTTTTAGACGGCAGCCATGTCGAGCTGTTATATGCCAATACATTAGGCGTATCTCATCCTTGACCTGCAACCGCTCAAACTCGACGCGACCCTTCTGTTAGTGTAAGGCTGTGGATGAAGAGCGTAGCTGATAGTACATCTATCGGACCACGAGATCTATTCGAGTCCCTTGACGCTTTTTCCACAATTCATCTGGACGTATGATCACTACACGTAATTCCACGGAGAGAACCAAACAGAAAGTAAAGATAATACCGGCACAGGAACATAACACAACACCACACACAATCAAAACAAACGAAAAGATGTCGACTGAGAGGTGACCGTTTAATTTCATCGTGTCTACAACTTTTTTTTCTCACATCTAGATCTCTTTTGTTGAAAACTAGGTACAAGGTTTGAGAGAGGCTACCCTGGAGAGCGACCCAATCGCTAGCAACGCAACCCCTCCAGCGCAACTTGTCATCAAAATACATATCCCTTTAGACTACCTGATATACATGGTTGTCTCAAATACTATCACATACCGCCTTTAACACAACACACATGGCCACTGCCCACCTATCTGCCTATAGTGAATACAAAACTGACACCACAAGTAATAAGCCTGTCAGCGCAATATGAATTGCATCATAGCGATGGGGCACTGTCAAGAAACCCGCAAACGCCAGAGCGACCACAATGTTATATTTTACACTCTAGATAAACATTACTTGACGTGACCGAATGAACAATGTACATCCCATACAAAATGCCCGAGTCTTCTCTTATAGTAGCATCTTACGGGGATCCTCGATATACTCTTTGATCTTCACCAAGAACTGCACAGACTCCCGGCCGTCCAGAAGGCGGTGATCGTAGGTTAGGGCAAGATACATCATGGGCCGCACCTCGACCTTGCCATTGACTGCGACAGCCCTGTCCTTGATGGCATGGATGCCCAGGACGGCGGTCTGGGGCAGATTGATGATAGGTGTACCCATCAGCGAGCCAAAGACACCTCCGTTGCTTATCGTGAACGAGCCGCCGGCCATATCCTCGATTGTCAATTTACCGTCGCGAGCCTAGTCCATTAGGTTAGTCATGAGATGTAGTGGACAAGACCAAAAAACCCGACACGATGGTGTTAGGATATCAAGGAGCACGTACCTTCTTGCCCATATCGGCAATAGCCTTCTCGATGCCAACAAGATCCATGGACTCGGCGTTGCGAACGACAGGTGTTACCAAACCTTTTTCAGTGGCCACAGCTACCGAGATATCAACGTAATCCCTGTATACGATGGTGTCACCGCCGTTCTCGCCCTCTATAGACGCATTGACTGTTGGGATATCACGCATGGCCAACACAGCAGCGCGGGCAAAAGCGGACATGTATCCAAGCTTCACACCCGTCTTCTGAAGAACTTCGTCCTTATACTTTTTGCGGAAATCTATCAATGCCGACATATCGACTTCGTTGAAGGTGGTCAACGATGCAGCAGTGTTCTGCGACTGCTTTAGGCGCTCAGCAATGCGGAGACGCATTCGGTTCATCTTGACACGCCGCTCTTCGCGGCTGCCAAGTGTTGGGCCGGTAGGAGCCGAGGTTTCCTTGGGAGGCTGCGATTGCTTAGGAGCAGACTCCTTCTTTGGTGTCGACGGGGCTGGAGCCGGGGTAGAGGGCTCCGATCGGGACTCTTGTTTAGGTTCCGGCTTGTTCTCCTGCTCGGCGGGAGCAGGCTTGGCCTCAGTAGAAGCATCCTCTTTCTCGGGGGCGTCTTTGGACTCGGATTTTTCAGCACCCTCAGGGGCGGCGCCAGGCTCAATCTTGGCGATTTCCTGGTCTACCGTGACAGTGTCCTCTTCGTTGGCGAGAAGCTCTTTTAAGATACCAGCCTCAGGCGCATTGACGGCTACGTCGATCTACAGCGAACAAGGATCGTATTAGTCAGTTGGCGGCCGACGGCGGCATGCATGGAAGCAGCAGTTGCTGGAAATCTCGACAGTAACATACCTTATCAGTCTCGATGGTGGCGATCTCTTCGTCTAGCTCGACGTAGTCACCAACTTGCTTGTTCCACTGCTTCAAGGTACCCTCGGTAATGGATTCGGCCATCTGTGGAACTTTGACAATAGTCTGGGCGTACGTTCGGACTTGGGACATGAGGACTGGCAAAGGAAGCTGGCTTCGCAGCGGCTGGTGCATGGGCTGACGCAGGACGCGCGCAGCTGTGAGAAGCCGTCTTGACATCATGTTGAATGTGGGAAGGTGGGAACAGCAAGCGAGTGTGTAGATACGGCGGATAGAACAGAAATAACGTTTGTCGAGCAAGTTTCCGAGCCGCAGCCTCAGCCTGGGGTTGATTGTTGGTGGGTTGAGAGGATGATTATTTTCTTTTCCCTGTCTTGTCCAGCATGCAAGGCCGGGGAAAGCGACGGCGACGAGGGCGCAAACAGCAGCTCCAAATGTATCGTGGTGACCACAGGCGCAGGATACAGTGCCGTAAGATATTATCCGCTACGGATGGTGAAGGCCGGGTGGAGGCGAATGCAAAGATGACGGAGGAAAGGAGAAGAGGAGAGAGAGGAAGAGAAAGGAGGATGGAGACCCGAGGCACTTGGAGAAAACGAGGCTATTACGTTGGGACGTGCGAAGATTGAAACGTGGAAACGATGGATTTGGATTGGTTTAACACTACCGCAGATTCCCGGCAAGCGACACAGCGGCCTTTTTTCTCCTTCCTGCCTGTCGCGCCAACCCTGTCTGTCTGTCAAGCCTAGCAAGCCTAGCAAGCCTAGCTACCCAACCCTGGTAAGTGCGTAGTGACACCAAAGCGACCGGTTGACGGCGAAAGCGCTGCTGTTTACCGAATTTACCCGTCGTCATACACAAACTAACCCACGAAAGTAGGTGGCTAGCATCGCCATGATGTAAAACGCATCATCGCAGGTGCTGTCAGCTGTGCGCTCCTGCCACGCTGTGCGGCTGTCGAGGAGTTGGAGATGAGCCAATGACCAGTGGCCAATTAAAAGCTTATGGGGCACCCCACCCACCCCCAATCATCGTGCGCCTTGGAAGGCCTACCTGCCTACCTCCAACTAGAGACGATATAGCTTCAACAGACGACGCCTTTGGCCCTCTCCCCTCCCCGACATCTCGTCAAACATCTCCACTCTCCGGGCTGTCCGACCTGCCATCTGCTGCGATTGGCCTGCCCCCGAGATTCGCATGAAAGGGGCTCGATCGTCTTCTCATCCACGCTCGCCCCAACGCCGTCGAGGCATCATAACACCGCACTCAAGTACCCCCCATATCGAGACCCGCGACGTAGGACGTCTTAGCCCACCATGTCGAACGGACGAGCTGCATTGTGAGTTTAATTGGCCTCGCATTCGCTCGCTGTCATCAGCTTTGTCTGACCCAGTGCATTCGCGGCCACCCATAGGTCACTTTACCGGCGTTCCCTTAAGCTCGCTCTCGACTGGGCTGTTCACCGACACCTGTGGCGTGGTCAGGCGCTCTACATCCGATCGCTCTTTGAGGCCAACCGCAATATTGTAGATGTCAGGAAAAAGAAGGTGAGCCGCCCCCTGTCTGTGCGCGCAGTTTACACATACTGCGTGGATGGATTTGGCAAAGAGTTGCTAATGACAAGGGAATGCTCCAGGCGTTACTGAGCGAGACGGAGAAATTGCTCGAGACATGGAAACACCCCGATCCTTATTGTCACCCGACTGCTCCTGGAGGTATGCTACCAACAAGAGCGAAGACCTCCTGTCTCGTTGTGCTCCTGATTGAACCAGGGATACGGCGGGAAAGAGAGACATTCTTGGCTGACGCTATTTATCAGGATCCAAATTTGAGAGAAACCTCCCAGTACATAACACAGCTCGTAAGTTCATGCTCTAATTGTCAACCATTTTTCTAAGAAACCACGGAGGTGCTAACTGTGACCATCACTAGCTCCTCCACCGTTGAAATTTTAGACGAGGGGACATCAAGACCCGGGGAAGCATAGGTACCTTATATCAACCTGTACATAGACTTGTAATCTGCGCATAGAAAAAATATTGTCTCGAATTACACCACAATATGGGGTTCGTGTTAGACGAAGTGATGAATATACGCAACTTGGCCTAATATTTGAATTCACCGCCAACTCTTCATCTGGCTTTCCCTGAACTGTGAAGGAATGTTAATCACCATCATGCGTAAACGCCATACATATCTGCCACCCAACCCAAAGCCCGCGAGAAACTGCTTCAGATATCGACATTATCGCAAGCGTTGAACCATTTGGCAAATCACTGTGAAACAAGGAGAATGAATAGTTTAGAAATTTGTTCTCAATTGTGCTCATTCGTATCCATGTACCAATGGATTATGTGTAATGTACAACCCGTACGCATGAAAAAGCAAAACCGTGCCCAGCCGTGACCCCGTGGTTCATGAAGCATCCCAAACGACCAACTAGAAAACAACAGAAATCAACGCATCCACATTACAACTCTTGACTAGCATTCTTACCGGGCTTTCCGGTCTTCTTGGGTAGCAAGTCTGAAATGGCAATTAGTAACTAAACACACGAATACAAATAGCGATGAAGCTTACTCTGGTGAATGTTGGGAAGTACACCACCCTGGGCAATGGTGACGTGGCCGAGAAGTTTGTTCAACTCCTCATCGTTTCGGATGGCAAGCTGAAGATGACGGGGAATGATACGTGTCTTCTTGTTGTCACGGGCGGCATTGCCAGCCAACTCGAGAATCTCGGCAGCCAAGTACTCGAGAACAGCAGCGAGATAGACAGGAGCACCTGAAGGCATGTATTAGAAGTGAACATGGTGGAGTGTAACGCAGATGGAGAACATACCGGCACCGACACGTTGAGCGTAGTTGCCCTTGCGGAGGAGACGATGGACACGACCGACAGGGAAAGCCAAACCGGCCTTAGAAGAACGGCTATGGAAGAGTTAGTTATGTTCGAGAGAAAAGACTGATGTGTGCAAGACGCGTCTTGAGATCCGAGAAAAAGGGCGAAAACACGCGACAACGTGGGAAATGCAGGCTGATACACAAAAGCGAGGGAGACATACGATTGAGAGTTCTTGGCACCGCTGGCCTTGCCGCCGGATTTGCCGCCTCCAGTCATTTTGATGGTTTGTGGGTTGGTGAGGGAAAAAATTGAAGATTTGTGGTTGATCCGAGATCGTGAATGCTGGATTCTAGCAGATGATGCGTAGAGATGGATGCTGGTAGCAGTGGTGGTGGTTGAGAAGCAGATGGATATGGGAGAGGAAACGGAGGAAGACGTTGAAGGTTTGGTGGGGGAGGAGCTGTTTAAGTATGCCCGGGTCGCGTCTGCAGAATCAGAATCACAACTACCAAATCACGGTGTCTGGGATCACTCTAAAAAACCCAGGGGTGGATGGATTCAACGCTAACCCGCGTTGGGATGGATCTTATACAGAGGTACATGGGGTGGCAGGCGCGACCTTGTGGAATGAATGGCAGGCGGGGTTTCTTACCACCTATCTGTGCCTAGGTAGGTACCTAACCAGTACGGTAGGTACTTACGCGCGCCCATGCACAGACGCCAGGAGATAAAGGCAGATTGCCTATCTGGCCTACCGCACGCCTCTAGCTCCAACGAGGAAAGAAAGACCTTGCTGGACATGTAGGTACCTGGGTACCTACGGTCAGCCAATAGGTATCTGGAGACACTTCGAGCTGTGAGGCTTAGGCTTAGACGCATGCAGCAAGAGACTCCCCAATTTTGCATGTTGACTCCCGAGATCCCCAGACAGCCGAATCCATCTCTGTGCAATTTATGATTGGCTGAGGCGCAATTACAAGTTTCGCGTTAAGCCATTTATGTTGATAGTACCTAACATACTACATACCGGTATGATATCACTAGTAGCTTACCTGCCGACCTGCATACCTGCATACCTACCTACCTACCTACCTACATACCTACCATTTAAATTTGCTGCAATCAATGGTATCTCTATTGAGAATCTCCATTGTCGTCTACCTAGGTTAGGCAGTTGCTCCCCTATCTCTGTATAGTCTGCATTTCCTCTTCGTTCATGTGGGGCTAGATGATCCTCGTCCCGTGCGGATATAGATCTGGAATCACTCCATTTGCTATGATGGACCACTTGAATCTGATTCACAGCTCGGCGCGGTAGCTTTTTCTCATCTAGTTGAAGTTCTACTAGCAAGAAATCGTTGTCCTACCCAGCCTTGAATGTCCTCAATGATTCTCTGATTGGGGAGAGTTCCGATGTTGCTGTGTGTATAAGGTAGATAGCATAAGTAGCTACGATGCTCATATACTTGGACTTGACCTCCATTACGACGTCCGGCCTAGGTTTTGAAGATATGATCTAGATTTGGTTTCCCGATAAAGTAATGGATTTTATATCATAGCCCTCTCATCAACTTTAAAGAACGACGCCTGTAATATTAGTGTACCCCATATTTACCCCTGGCTTCCTAGTGTATAACGGGATGCACTCAAGATATGGGGTATATCTAGCACGGGAGGCTTATGAAGCAGCATTGGAACACTACAGTATTTACTATACAACGATTCAAATGAAAAGGTAAAAGGAAACTACCGAGGTAGGATCTAAGGGGAAACCTTAGGCACACAGTATATGGATGCACCAGGTCTTAGTTGTGCAAGCTTGCATATAGCAAATGGGTAGAAATGTCACGATAGCTTCGTGTTTCCCAGATTTGGAGCAGGACGAGCCACACCATCTATAGAGAGCCCTTGGGCTATTTGGCCAGTCATGTTGATAGGACAAGTACAAATATAAGCACATAGAGCTACTCCATTTTCGTGATACAGCAGGATGCATAGAGATAATTCGATGGCCTTACTGCGCCTTGAGCATGCGCCTGGAGCAGATGGTGTCACAGTACGCATGCCCGGCAACTTGGAGTTAATCATGATACCTAATTGTGCAAGGAGTGCCTTACTATCATGATGCAGTGCTACTGCTCCAACAAATAAAAGAGTTTCTCGAATTTGTGATTGGCCGCCTTTCTGGCAGCATTCTCGACTATTACCTTATTGGGAAGAGAGATTGTTTTTCAAAGTGGGCTACTTACATACCTAGGTAGGTATGTTACGGCGCAGGTAGTGACTGACCCTGTGGCTCTTGCATCTATGTAGCCTGCTAATGCTATTTTGGCATTTGACACTTGTGGGAAGGTTTGACTGAACGCGTACCGAGTAGTAGGGATTTCGCAGGGCTGGCGCAAAGGACGCGTTGCGCGTGTCAAATGGATGTCAATGTTGTCAATGGGAGGATTTACTTGATTGCACGGTAGTGGGGCCAGGGTGCGAGGCGCCTTGCTACATGGAGCAAGGTACAGACTACCTACAGCTACCTAGTAGGTAGTAGCGTCCTGCTTCAATGGCGCGGTACGGGGGTACCTACCACACTAGCCCCAGCCCAGCCTTCTTCCCTCCGTCCCTCCCTCTCTGTCCGCTCTCTGCTCTCTGCTCTGTTCTGCAGGGCAGGCAGGATCAAGCTGGATCGGGCTAGATCAAGCCCCGGGCGCAACGCGTGCACTGACTCCCCGGAGCCAGCCATCAGCCATACACTGCTGCACCAGCCAGTGCTGCTGCGCTGGGCTGTAAATCACTGCAAATCAGTAACCAGGCTAGCGCGACCGCATCCCACCTACAAAAGGACCTCACCACCCGCACCCTCTCTTCCGCCAGCAACTTTTGACTTCTCCATCTGCATCTCTCATTCTCCCACCTCATCACACAACAACAGCACTCGGATAACCACTTTCATCCATCTCTACTCAACAGTAGCAGCTTTTTGCATTTCCATCCAACACAAACCAAATCCACAGTCATCACCATGCCTCCCAAAGCTGCCGACAAGAAGCCCGCTGCCTCCAAGGCCCCCGTTGCCTCCAAGGCTCCCGAGAAGAAGGATGCCGGCAAGAAGACTGCTTCCACTGGCGAGAAGAAGAAGCGAACCAAGGCGCGCAAGGAGACATACTCCTCTTACATCTACAAGGGTAAGTTTGGCACACCAAAACAACACACACGCTTTTGTAGCGACGCGTCACATGAGATGTTTTCTGAGCTTCGGTACTCTAAAGCTTGGGACATCGCATTGTGTGCCCATCGTGTCTCATCTTGACAGTGACCCTTCCTCGACCCCACTTCAATTCCTGGGCGCGTCTTCAATCGCTTTGACCATTCACTAACATTGTACTTCTAGTTCTCAAGCAGGTCCACCCTGACACTGGTATCTCTAACCGTGCCATGAGCATCCTCAACTCTTTCGTCAACGGTAAGCATTATCGACCTGGTTATTGAAACCACATTGCCTGACATTGCATACAGACATCTTTGAGCGTGTCGCCACAGAGGCCTCCAAGCTGGCCGCATACAACAAGAAGAGCACCATCTCTTCCCGTGAAATCCAGACCTCAGTCCGCCTGATCCTCCCCGGTGAATTGGCCAAGCACGCTGTATCGGAAGGTACTAAGGCAGTCACCAAGTACTCCTCATCAACGAAATAAGTGCTTGCGCGTGTCTGCTTTGTTTGTGTTTTGGGCGTGGGTTTTTTCTTTGCTTTGGCATCATGACGAGACCTGGCCAAAGTTCACTCCGGGTCCCTACATTTCGGGAGTCTCATAATGCGTTACGGATGGTCTGCTTTTTTCTAGGGGGCAATGTCTTTGCACACAACACGGTCTGGGGTTTGCGGTTGTACAATACACTTTGCCGATAGGGTTTTCGGAATGAGAATCTGGACATGAACAAATTTCAATTAAGATCTTGACCTACTTGTGAACCATGCTTGCATTTTGAATCTAGGGACATCGGCATAGTCCGCGGCGTTCGGTTGCAACGAGCCTCCCTCAAAGTTTTCGACCCTACAAAGCGATTGGTGTTGGGCGCAAGATAATCGCTGACATTGAAAACTCATTTCCGCCATCAGTCGTTCTTGCCCTTGCCTGAGTACCAAATTTTCGGACGGCAATATACCAGTCTAGCAATCAAGGCATAAATTGATATTCATGACACGGATCACTCGTGGATAGTTGAGGCATTCACGTCATAGTCCGCAGCGTCAAATAATTTCAAATGCAGCGGATACTGGGACGCCTTGGTGTCAAACGTTCAAAACTTGTCTAGTGACTACAGCTCTGATATGGCGAGAGAGACAGCATTTCGAAATGGCTGCAAAGAACCGCATGGCCAAATCGGTGGCTGGGCATACAATTTATTCTAATTCAAGCCTGTTTCGCTATATAATTCAGTGCGTCGCAGCTGCGGTCAAGTGTTTTGTACGGAATGCTACTACGACGTCACCATGTGGCTAGGATATAAATGTTCAGTGTTGTAACGCAGTATCTTATATTTCTCGGCTAGCCGGGACATGAGTTTTCGATACAGGTGATTTCTACACTGTTCTGTTATCACTATCTGTACCATCTGCGTAGGACGCCCCCTCTATCTATGTATTCATGTAGTCTCGTGACAAGAATATGGAACATGGCAATAACACAATGGGGCAAGAATCAAATGCAGACTCTCGAACATGTGTACAAGAGTTGCTTCCACCCTGGGGGAACGGCATAGATTCTCGTCTGGCGATAGTAACGATGATGTTAAAATAAAGTCGTACATAGATCAGATATCGCCCAGACCAGCCTTTGTTTTCTTGATGACGTGTGTCAAAGGCACGGTAATGCCTTGAGTTTCAACTGTGCCTAGGGACATGCCCTTGCTCCAGCCCATCTTCTCCAGCATGGCTCTGCCCTTGTTTTCGATACCAATTTCAGAGGCATGCTGCCCGACGATGTCTCCCTCGCGGAGAATAAGCGACGATCTGCCAGCTTTTGATTTGCCAGCACGGGGTTCAGCTCGCTTGAGGACACGAGCCGCATGGACTACCTTCTCGTCTACATCTACACGCGGAAACCATGTGCGTCTCACGCGGCTAAAAGCTTGCTCGAACAAGTCTTGATCATATGGCAACGTGGCTTTAGAGCGGTAGAGGACGGGGTACCTGCCACTTCCCGCGCCAGCTGATTTGGATTTGATATTGAAGGTATTGGCAATGGTGTGGACAATTTTACGAGCCCCTTTGTCGAAGGGCGGCAGGATGAGCCTAACTGGATTAGCCTAACGATTTAACAATAGTTCATGTATGCTCTGGAATAACGCACTGTTCTCGGGTGCTCAACATGAACACCTCAATTTCATCAGCCAAGTCATCGAGGGACATGCCTCCCTGATACTTAACTCGAAGATCGTGAGGATTGACGTTCTTGCCCAGCAGACCTTGTGACCGAAGTTCCTCACGAGCCTTCTTCTTGTCTGCCTTCTTAAGGCGATCTTTTTTGATGGCAGCGTTTAAGGCGTCTTCTAACTCTGAGTCTGATAAGCCGAAGGAAATAGGGCCTTTCTTTGATTTTTGTAAACGAGAGCTTTGCATGTCCATGAGATCTAGTTCATCAAATGCCTCGGCCATCTTCGTGGCGTTCGGAAACTGACTGCCTCCCTGGAACATCCTAGATTTCTTGGACCCACGTTTCGACTTACGGCGAGGCATACCCGTGGCAGCCATCCATCCATCGTCGGCATCGGCGCCATCCAAAAGCATGACATCACTTCCACCGAGACCCAACTCTTCTTGTTTAGCAGGCATATGTGCTAGGCGCTCATCTTCGGACTTAAGTTGAGGATTTCTGTCTTCTTCTTCCCCGTCATCATCCATCTCATCTTCTGAGTCACCTTCGCTAGAGGGCTGACTTGAGAAGGCATGGCTATCCGTACCACCCAGATCACGTAGTATGTTGAAGGAATAGGAGCCAAGACCAGGATGTGTGACATCTTCTAAGTGATCATCTTCGTCATCATCAAAATCATCCTGCATGTTAGCGATATAGTCGGCGATAATGGCAGCTTCTTCATCATCCTCGTCCGAGTTCCTGTTCAGGCGGTGTCTATGGGAGGATATAGATCTGCTGCGATCCGGTTTCAGGGATATGAAATCTGGCTCATGAGAACCTGGGCTGGAGGAGATGGTAACATCCACGATTTCTCTGACTACTCTGAAGTCCAGGCTCACCTCCTGCGGCGAAGCGGCTCTAGCTTTCTCGACCATGCTGCTAGTAGGTCTTGACGGGAAAGTTTTCTGTTGTTGACGAGCGGCATCTCGACCCTTGAACAAGATGACCTCCTCGCTTGAGTCCGAATCGACATCTGATTGCGCCGCTGGGTGCTCATATTGAAGCTGAGAGGACTTGGGCTCAGCTACCCGATCAATGACCGGCGACTGGATGGGCGAGACTTCAGGTTCGACGGCATTTGAAGCCAAGCTATTGCTCTGATCATAGATAGAGCTTACTGCTTTCTCTTGTACTGGTAGACTGGAATGTTTGGGTATTTCAAAGTCTTTAAGGGGGTCCATGACTCCCGAAGAAATGAAGAGGACTGGTTGGTATCTTAGCTTGGCATCGCGGCCACGAAACCCACGACGGTTGCTAGCCGTATTCCTAGCTTCTTCTGCAAGGGTATAGCCTGCTGAGGTTAGTAGAAGCTCATGTCCACCACTGGCGGATGTTGATGGGATAAAATACCATGGGAACGAGCAAAAGGCGAATCACTACTGTTACTGGCCGGGCCAAATCTTTGGCGTATGTGTTGTGGCGGCGGTCCCTTCGCTTTCGGATGCGTCTTCGCTCTTGGCTTATTCTTCTTTTTGACCATGGTAGCAGCAGACCAAAAGCAAGCAATAGGCTGGTATGGACGAGTACAAGGTCACCAGTAATGGGTGATATTACGTTGGCGTATATGAACAAACCGTAGTCAAGACCGAGGAATACCTAGCACACATTTCCTTCGTAGGTTGTATATTTGACAGGTGTGTTTCCCCTGGTTGAGGCTGATGTCGCCACCTGTAGTTAGACGGACGGTTGAAAGTTGCAAGTCAGAGGCAACAAAAGGAGAGAGAAAAAGAAACAGAACAGCTGTATCGCTCAATGACCTAATTGTACAGTGTATGGAGAGGCGAAAGAGAATGGGTTGAAGGCACAAGAGATTTAAGCTTGTGTGATAGAAGGACTTGGACACTAATTCCGGGGCTGTTTACGTGTAGCTTGACGAAGGTCCATATGGAGCAGAGCACTCGGTCGGTATATAAGCCTACTAACCTTTGAGTTACTGGTATGATGGATATAGACATAGTACAGTGCAAACTTACAGTACGATGAGTACTTCTTCATACAGTGGGGTGGTGGGGGACGCGGGGGGCAAAAGGGAGTAAGTAGTACCTACTACGTACATACTTCGTACCCGTAGCAGCTTTATCGATAGGTAGTCACGGCCTACCATTATCGTACCCTCTTATAGTGTACCTACTTAATACCTCTCAATGCCTTCGAAGTATGACGGCATTCATAAAGCAAGTAGACATTATGCCAACCCGGGATGACTTATCTCTGGGGAATATCAAGTGTTCGAGATTCAGAATGTGAAGGTTTGACTGACTTACCCAACTTCTAACTTGAAGCACGTTCATATGGATAGGGGATGGACCTACCTAGGTACTCACTTATACATATCTACCTAGGTACCGGTACCTATGTACTTAGCAGATTAGGTACTTAGTATGTATGTACATAAGTAGGCAGGCATGTATGTATTGGGTACCTTAGGTTGCAAAAGCCTTCACCCCGCCACGGTTTAGCATGAGTTGCACCGCCTATCTAGGTAGCCTGGTATCTGGTATGCAGACAGGTACCTATCTGTACTTACTGTACTCGAACCGATGCCTCAACTCTGGTGGTGAGTCTCAGAGTCTCAGGTGACTGATTACATACATACCCATACCTCATACCTGGGTATAATACCGAAATACACAAGCCTACCTACATACATACCTACCTCTTGCCTTCTTACGAGTCCAACCTTGCTGTTCACTTGACCTTGCTGCAGCTCACAATCCCATCATTCTCTTTCTCATCCTTATGTATAACACTACGCTCTAACAACGATATCAACCGCATCCCCTTGTGTTCACCGTCGGCCCGGGGTTATTATCTAGTGAGCGGACAGGCGAAGGAGTCCATCATTAATGCCCGGGCTTCCTCGCCGTGGCTTCCTTACGCCACCTGCTGCCGGCTCCATCGACTACTAACCTATCTTTCACGGTAGTCCTTCTCCTTGGCAAAGTGGCAGCTTGTTCTTCTTCCTACTTGTCTGTGCTAGTCACCAACTCCAAACCATCAGATTCGACATCCGTTTCTGTCCCACTCAGACTCAAACAGCCGAGTAGTTCATCGAATAATCGCTTCGTGTGATACTACGTAATACGTGGACATCCTTGTGTCAATCGCCGCCCTCTCAGCTATCTATTTCTATCCTATTCTAGGTCGCTTGTTCACGCTTTGCGTGACCGTGACCGTGACTCCATTCAAACCCCAATCCCCAACTTGGCCAAGCCTGACCCAGATCCAGACACCGACTGAAGCTGTAATCTGTTTTTGAACGATCTTGAACCGGTGTCCATTTGATCAGTATGGATACTACGGTCGATATCGGACGACGCCTCGTCCAAATGTTCTGGGACCCGGAGCCCACCAACGACGTCATCCGCGATCAGCCCGTATGGTGTCTCGGCTCGCGTTACACTCTGAATAACAACAACACCGGTCTAAAACGTGAGCCTACCGTTGCTACCGCACCCGACCCTGAAGATTCGACGAGGAGACCAGACCCCTCCCCCGCCCAACTGCCCGAAACCCCACCCGACTCGATATCCAGTAGCTTCGATGAGTCCTTAGCTTATGAGGAAGCCCCTCGGGACGGAGGTTGGCCCCCAGCCTTCCTCGATGATTTCGAATCTAGAATTTGGATGACCTACCGCTCCGAGTTCGACCCCATACCAAGGTCCCATGACCCAAAGGCCCTCGCTGCCTTATCATTCTCCATGCGAATCAAAACGCAGCTGTCTGACCAGACTGGCTTTGCCTCGGATAGTGGCTGGGGCTGCATGATTCGGTCTGGTCAGAGTCTACTTGCCAATGCTATGGCTGTACACCGACTTGGCCGAGGTTCGTTATGCCTCAAAGACTCCTCTGATCAATAATCACCTCCTCTAACCCTTTTGTAGAATGGCGACGGGGCGCGCGGGAAACAGAAGAAAGAGGGATCTTGGCCTTATTCGCAGACGATGCGAGGGCTCCTTATTCAATACACAACTTCGTGCGTCACGGTGCGTCAGCTTGTGGTAAATACCCGGGTGAATGGTTCGGACCCTCAGCGACGGCTAGATGCATTCAGTAAGCAGTCGGTAGTCTTATCCTATGTATCGTCATGGCTGCTAACCAGTTGGGTCCATCTAGAGTTCTGACTAATACGCAAGACCAAAATCTCCGTATTTATTCTACGGGTGATGGTCCAGACGTCTACGAAGATAACTTCATGAAGATCGCGAAACCGGAAGGTACCACTTTCCACCCCACCGTCATCTTGGTGGGAACGAGACTCGGCATAGACAAGATCACACCTGTCTACTGGGAAGCGCTGGTGGCTTCGTTACAGATGAAACAGTCGATAGGCATAGCTGGGTAAGTGTTGCTCAAGAGTACTCGGAATTTTAAGCATAATAATCTATGGCATCTAACGATAAAGATAGCGGTCGGCCGTCCTCTTCCCATTACTTTATCGGAGTTCAAGGACTCCACTTCTTCTATCTTGATCCTCATTATACAAGACCCATCTTTCCATATCGCGAGGACGTCACGCAATATACTAAAGAAGAGGTTGATACCTGTCATACCAGAAAGTTGCGCCGCTTACACATCAAAGAGATGGACCCTAGCATGTTGATCGGCTTTCTCATTCGCGATGAGGAAGATTGGCTAGATTGGAGGCGTAGCGTGCAGCATGTCCAAGGCAAAGCCATCATACACGTATCCGACCATGATCCCGTCGCTCAAATGAAGGAGCGCGGGAGCATTATAGATGATGTGGAGATTTTGAGCGACGAGGACGACGCCGATGACCAGGACACAGCCTCAAACGATGATCAGTCAAGGGATGAGCAATACCCATAGCGTGGAATGAATGCTCTTGCCATTAACGAGGTATACGATAAGATAGTATGAGGCGTTCCTGGGTTGAAATGGTTTTTTTTCCACAGTGGCGCTGAGTCACGGCGGCTTTTCTCTGGATATAGAGCCGTCCTAACAAGATGTAGGGCGAGTAGAGCAAGTTCATGCTAAACAGAAGCCCTGCGGAGAATTCGCGGTTGAGAGAAGCATTGTTCTGAGTTGAAGTAGCATAACACCATGGAACATGGAGGAGCTTGAGAGCGCTGGTGTGGTACCAATTTATACCAAAGCTGCGATTCGGCCTGCTGCTGACTGGTGTAACCCAGGTGATAATGGTTGTGTCTTTCATTGCCCATAGTAGCTAGTTGACGTAGCCGCCACCCGCGCATATTATAATAATAAATATCCCACGCCAGGCTCGTGAACGTAATTATTCCATTCATATGATCTATTAAATGGAACGAAGGAGAAAGCAGCCCGTTGGCATCTCGGCGGATAATCTGGCTTTCTCGACAAGTACATTCACCGTCTTTTGCCGCCCGATTTACCGGGCTTACTTGTTGACTGATTTATCTTTGGTGCTGCATGGTCTGGATTCTCTTTGATATGCTTGAAGAGCCCGCCTTTTGAATCATATGTAGAACGACATGTTAGACACTAAGTGATAAATATGGTGAGTATAGCCATTCATTGGAAAGGTTGCGAAAGCGAATGTGAAAGATCAATAAAACATAGACGAGGAAAGAATGAATTACCCTATGGCCCTCTTGTTCGGCGGCAGCTTGCCGGGCAGCCCTCTTTTCTTTTTTGGCCTTGGCCATACCCTTCTTTTTCACATTGCGGTTTTCCTCGACTACCACCTCGGCCATTTCAGTGGTCAACCCTTCAATAGTCGTCTCATAATCGCCGGTTAAACGTGCCTCTATGGCATCCCGCGGGGCATAATCGTCCTGTTCGCTTTCGTCATCCGATGCGGACGTTGCAGTTTTAGGCAGGGCAAAGTCGACATGGGTGCGAGATTCAGCTTCAGGTGAACTATTGGATTTCTGGATGTTATCGTTCTCGGCATCCTGAACATTACTATCTACCCCTGGAGCTGCATCTTTTAGCAGACTGTCTGTATGTGGCCTTATCTCTTCATCCAGGTCAAAGTTCGCGTCCTCCTTCCTCATCTGACGTTTCAATTGCTGGACGGCCTTTATGTGCTTCTTACTCTTCTCATGAGCCTCAAACTGTTTCTCACTCTTGAAGGTCTTATTACAGACGACACATTCGATTGCCTCGACCTCAGATTCGTCCTCACTTTCTGAGAACTCGCCCGCGTGGTCGTCATCGCCGCGAGACCGGGCCCATTCAGGGACCGCTTCAGCACTGTCCATCTTCTCCTGGTGAGCAGCGCGTGCTCGGGCGGCCTGGGCGGCAGCCGAGTCCCGCAAGATCTGCTGGCGCTCAGCCTCAGACTGGTTGTTCGGAACGTAGCGCGGATCCCGCTTCCGCACGAAGATGACAAGGGATCGCACAGCGTCGTTGAACTCGCGGATGGCGTCGTCGCGCAGCTTCTTATTCTCCTTCTCCATGAGGCGGCGGACCCTCCGGTCAGGAGCGTCGGACAGGCGCCACTTGTCCTTCCACGAGAAACTGAGGCGCGTAGAAAAGCTAGACCAGCGGCCGTAGAAAGTCTTGGCTACGGCATCATTGTCGGTAGACTCGCCAAACGATGGGTATTCTGGCGTGTCGAGGCCTTCCCAGTCAGCCGCGGCCAACTCGCCATCGGCCAGGCGATCGAAAGTCTCGCGTAGTATAGTGAAGAAGCTGTTTGGTGAGTCGTCGAGGGGCACGGACTTGTTGAAGCGGCCCATCAAGGTGTATATCTCGTCGGTGGTGGTCAGGCGCACGTTGCGATACTCGGGGGCGACGCCGGAGTCAGCGGGGTCGTCGCCACGGAGGATGGCATCACTGTGGGAGTCGTACCATGCTCGCTCTTGAGGGTCGGACAGAACCTCGTAGGCAGCCTGGACCTCGGCGAACTTGCGGGTAGCATTGTCGACATCGCCGAAATTTCGATCGGGGTGTAACTCTAGGGCCTTTTTCCTATAGGCTTTCTTGATTCTGATGTGGTCGAAGGGACGGAATCAGTCAAGAGAAAGGGAAAGGAATGGAAGGAAAGGCAAGGGAGAGGAGAGGAGAGGAGAGGAGAGGGACGTGGGAACTGACTCGTCGTCGGTAGCGGTGCGGTCGACCTCAAGGAGCTCATAATAATCCGTCTTTTTGGGCGGGCTGTTGGAAGTGGCAGTGCCCCGCGCAGACGACTGTTCGGCACCCATTACTGCTGATGGATATCCCGTCTACACTCGGTTGCGCGGCCGAATAAGAGGCTTGGTAATCCTCTACATAGGCTGTAACTAGTGTAAATCGCTATCGCGAAAGACGGATTTTTTCGGATCGGCTTACATCTGCACGAAGCTCGCAAGATGAGAATTAGGTACATGGGGGTTGCATACTTGTAAGTATGCATGCATGGGTAAGGGTAGGTTACCTAAGGTACGGTGCTGGCCCTCTTGACCCCTCCCCCCTCCCCCTCCCCCAGAGCCTGTCCGTCAGGGGCCAGTGACCTGTAGTGCTACATAGACCCTGTATCACATGCATAAAGAGGCGCATCATGCTACTACCTACCTACGGTACCTACCTACCTATGTACCTACAGTAGCAGGGCTTCAGTCTCAAGCACCTCCATCGTCTAAATCGAGCCATCCATCCTAATGCGTTCCCAATCATCTATGACGTTTCGTTCTTTTTATGGCCAATTGCTACGTGGCCCAAGATAGCTGTCCTATTCCAACACGCATCCAACGGGAGAAGAAGAAATAGTATATCTACCTACCTACCTACATATGTAGGTAGAAGCGAGTTAGGATGAAGTTTGCTCAGGAGTTTCGTAAAGCTCTTCAACGAGAAGGTAGCCTCCTCTACCCGCTTGCTTTTTTGCCCTTTTTGCTTTTCATTCTCAGTTCCACACTAATACACACACACACACACCTCAGCCTTCCCGCGCAGATGGGTAGATTGCGCCATTCCCTATGGCCAGCTCAAGAAATGCCTAAAGAAAGTCACCAAGGAGCTTGAGGAGATTGGCCTAGACAAAGAAACCTTGACACGCCTAGCAGTCCATCAACAACAGCCCTCATCCGGCGACAGCAACGCACCCGTCGACCCTGGCTTCAAGTATCAGCTTGCTATCGACGGCAGAGATGATGAATGCGGCAGCGGTGGAGAGTCTGTCCACTTTCGCCCAAAGTTGACCGTTTTTGTCAAAGTAGAGGACGGCATCGCCGTCGACGCCACATTATCACCATCCACGAGGGAGTTCTTGCAGAAGCTTGCGCTCAGCAGCACAGCGTTGACGACGGACGCTCTACCTTTGGCGGACACCTCGTCTGTGGCGTCCACCGCGCCGCCATCCCTGACCGCTAGCAGCGCCACCGACATCCGCCAAGTTGAGGTCCCGCTAGTATTTGATGCCGAATTCTTCGGAATACTGCAAACCGATGTGTCCAACATCAGGACACTAGAAGAGGAGGAGCAAACGAAGCTGGAAGGCCAGATCGTCGCGCTTGGGGAAGAACTTGGCCATGCTGTAGAACCATCTCGTGGGCGAAGAGCTAGAGGTGATTTGGAAGTCTGGCGTCAGATCTTTGAGCTTTACTTGGACGCGTGCATCTTCTTCTCTTCTCGAGAAAGTGATCATGGCGCTCGGACGAGTACCCAGGCCGTTGAACAGCTCCATTGGTTTCAAGACCAGGTAGTCCAAAGGAAATTAGTACAGAGACTAAGGTTGGACACAAGTCATAATGCATTTAACAACTTTGTCAGCATCAATACAGCTCTGCTATCCATCCTTAAATTTCAAGAGATCAATCGCCTTGCCGTCACCAAGATATTGAAGAGTATGAGACAAATACCCAACTGATTGTTATGTGCATCAACTAATCATGATTATCCTGTTGGGTAGAGTTTGATAAACGAACATCTCTAGGTGTTTCGAACAATTTCCTATTTGTTGCGAGATCCGATCGCTCTCTTGCCAACAGCGTTGCTCAAGATGTCTGTGCTCGAAGTATGTATCACTCATTATTCCTTCCCGTCATGACCATCTTCATTTAGTTAGCATTCATGCTCAGTTCTGTCACAGCCTCTCTGTGAAGCTTGACTTGAAAACTCCACTGCTAACGCTTAGTACCGAAGTGTCCACTGAGCTTATGTCTGTTGTCCCGCAACTAGACGACTATCTTTGCCCTATATGTTTCGCTATCGCATACTGGCCGGTTAGACTGCATTGTCAACACGTATTCTGCAGTCGATGCCTGGTCAAGATGTCACGAAAAGGCGAGAGACATTGCCCTCTATGCCGCGCGGACACCATTATGCTGGCAGGCCTAGAAAATTTCGATGCTGACCGGGCGGCATTTCTCCGGAAATATTTCCCGAAAGAAGTCAAGGAGAAGGTACGCGCCAACGAACGTGAGCGTAATCAAGAGATATTTGGCCCGTCTTACAGGACGGTACATTGTTGTATGATGTGATTTCAATGCTCTCGGCTTCGTGTATAACGCCCCGTATCAAGCTGCCCATCAACTCGTTAGGACAGGTCATGAGCATACTGTAATATCATGGCACATGGGCCAACTCTCCGAAAGTTCAATTCCTCGCAATTCGTCTGCTTATATCAGCAAACTGCATCTAGCTGCTTTACCCGTGGCATGCATACAGTATCCAACAACAAACATTCATTAGTGCCAGCCATATCAAAGGTGAGGTTCAGAAACTAAGAAGCCATTCACCTCACAACGGTTCGCAAATTCACCTCTGGCGGATCCCAGACAATATCTTTGAGATTTAAGCGTTGTCTCTGGGCAATAGTCATCTTAGATCGACCGTGGCGACCTGGAAGTTCCGCCACCGACTCGTTCCGCAACAAGAGATACCCGCGCAAGTCTTGGCCCTCATGAATTGGGTCGTATCGAGAAACATCCTCCAACCCGATAGCCTTCCTCGCCCTGCTACTGATACAATCGTAAAGAAGCTCCGCATCCTCAACAGTACCAACTTGATAGATTCCTACGGCCCACGATGCAAGTTGTAGTGGGTCCCCAGTCCCAAAGGGTGTAAAAGCATTCCCGACGTTGTTTATGCCCAGACAAGCGGATAATCCGAGTTCTCTGATCATGGAAGGAACGTGCATCGTCCCGCGGGGTCGATCGTGACTCCTGGATTCGGTTGATCCAGGCCGGCCCATCATGAATATATCACTAGTTGGCAAACCAATGAAATGGATAGGAAGTCTACTTGCAATGACGAGCTCAGCTAGTGCTTTCCTCTCAACATCATCAAACATACTAAGCTGGGTACAGTGACCGAGAGCAATGGTTTTAGACTTGTCGGCGATCTGTGCCCAGTTGTGCTTGAGAAGCAACTCCACTGCAGAATAGGTGAGAGGCTTCTGGGAGGGGAGAGACGAAGGGAGCTCCAGCGTATAATCCAAGTGAAAGTCGAGGTGTATATGATGCGCTAGGGCCTTTGTGATGGCCCATTCGATATTTGACAACGAATCTTCCCTGGACATCTCAACGTAAGGGGTTGTCCCGAGCGCCCCAATGAACGGGGCGAATTTGGCAAGTGCCTCGTCGATAATAGCCCTGTTTGTATCGCCATGAGTAGTTGAGAAGATGGGATCTTGGGCAAACGCACAGATCTGTACTTCGAGCAAATGGGCAAAATCCTCCTTGAGACGAATGGCGGTGGCTAGGGGGAGCAGGCCTGTTACGTGGTCTAACTCAACGAAGGCTCGCATAGACGTCACGCCTTGCGCATAGCTAGTAGCTAGCAACTGCGATCCGCGCAAATAGAGATCCTCCTGGGTGTAACGTTCCTTAGCTTGTGATGTATTTGTCAAGGCCTCAGCGAAGGACCCTGACTTAGGACATAGATCCGAGTAGTCCGGATGCCGCGAATTGACACCATTGTTACAGGTTAGGATATAGGCTTTGTCAAGGTGTATATGAGGATGGCAAAGGGGAGGTAAAATGAGCTGTGGTGGCTTATCAAGGCTCGATCTTGACGGGCGAACGATGCTTTGGACGCGTCCATCATTTATCTCTATGTCCCATCGCGCCCCTATGCCATCTCGAGCATCAGAAACGACGACGTTGTCCAACATCATAGTTCACGATCCGATTACTCTGCGTTCCTATTTGGTTCGGTCCCAAGGTCTGGTTATTTGCTTAAAGCACTACAAACTACTGTATGGCATGGGAACCTGTGGGGGGTGGCTTTGTGTGACGTCGAGCTTAAGAGGTGCACCTCGTCCTCCACCCCTCACGTTTGCTCATGCCTTAACCCCCCACACTATAGCTAGCTTCTTCTCCGACTTCGAGATATGGGTACTCAAAGCCAATACATAGCAAGTTCAGGAGAAGGATTCACAGAAGGGGATGTTTAGCATTGTATAGCATTACGTAGGCTGAGAGGAAGATGCGATTTCCCTCTGTCTCTTGTAGCTTAGTGACTTCACTTTAGCAGGGTGATGCCTTTCAGATTTGCACCTCGACGAGTCACAATTAAGTCACACACGTTCGATCCCGTGAGACAGAGGGGAACCACATTCACACTCAAAACCTATGCCGTTGATGTTTAGCGTAGTCTAACATTGTCGTAGGAGATTACTGCAATGCGATCACGGGGATAGTAATTAGATTGGTAACTATGATTCGACCAAAAGAAAAATTGCGGTCGATGAATGAGAACACGAAAGAAAGATGAGCCACTAGGCTACTTCATCGCGACAGTACAAAGCTTTTGTAGCCTTTGGTAGCATCTTTCCGCTCTGGATGGCTGGAGAAGCTACCCTAGGTTAGACAGACCATAGACATTTGCTGGTCACGAGCTATATCGCTAACGAAAGCAAAAGGGACTAACAAAAAGGGTAGACGAAGAAGAGGGCGGGGGATAGGTGGGCAAGCCGGTTTGGAGTGCGCCTTGTCTTTCTTAGCTCCGATCCCGGCAACGGCGAACCACGGACCCGATTATTATCGACGGTGCGTGACAGCCTCTTACATGAATACAGTAAATCATTGAATTGGATACACATCGAATCAATCTCCTATATCAATCCCTCCCTACCTTTATTCCCTCGAGAGTAGAAACGTAACGGGTTATCTAGCCTGCCTAACCTGAGTTCAAAGGCGAATTCGCTTAGAAATATCCCTAGGGAAACATCCTACTCGGGCAGCTCTATCATCGAGACAGAAGGCAACGGTGGCGCGAGGAAGAAACAAGGTGCTATAGGGGACTCCCAGGCTCAAATAGAAAACCAAAAAAGAACAATTATCATTCACAATAGGTTGTCCAGTCGCCAACTCTAACAAGAAAGATGCCGTTCATTGATCTGGGAGAGTCAATTCCTCCCAACACTGCTCACGTGAGTTGCTATCGTGGCGCCTCAACCTGCTCCTCATTGACATTCTGCTGCAGGCTGTCAGTGTCTCGCTTCCGACATGGAAAGCAAATATCGGCTATGAGGAGGGACAGGACTGGGTCGTCGGTACCATGGTCACGGGCTACCCTAGATTTTTCATTCACAAGTCAATCCAGGCATTGAGCACCGACATCGTCGCCAAGTACTGCCGTCCCGGCCAGTCAGGCATGCCATCGGCCATGCTCTTTCCCACAAGGCGGACCGCGCAGCGGTGCGTCGACTTCATGCGGGAGAAAGCCGAACCATCCACCGTGGCGGAGCTCTCCATCCTGCGCCTCGTGCTGGATCCGACGAAGGAGTTCGCTGAGCCGCTGCGGACCATATCGCCCTCTATCTCTGCCGTCATCTTCCCGGAGCACCTCTTTCCTATCGCGAAGCAGTATTGGCAGCACTCCGGCGCTGGAGTCTCTAGCCGACGTGCTGAATTCTGCCATGGCCTGTTCCGCGACGATCTACTGGTCCTCGACGACCGTCCACCCTCACCGCATCCGCCACAGCTGAACAAGCTGCGCCGCGGGCCAAAGCGGTACCAGCGCACCGCCTCCATCGACGAAACGAAAAGCGCCGGCACAAACGGCCGGCCCAGTCCACCGGCGGAAGAGCTCGCTGACAATCTCGAAAGCTCACGCTTTCTCGAGGAGCGCTTTGGTCGCAATCTTGACGTCTCGCTTGTGGAGAATGCTAAATCCGCTATTCGGCGTCGTATCGCGGGCGTGCTCACGACAGACCTGGACCTGGCCAGCAAGTCGCTGCCCGTCATGGAATCGAACGCGCGCGGCGTGTCAAACCTGCAGGAGCACGACATATACTTGACGCCGTGCGGCATGAACGCCATCTTCACAACGCACCAGGCCCTCCTAAAAGCGCGTACGCCGGAGAAGAGCATCAATTTCGGCTTCCCTTACGTCGACACACTGAAGATTCTGCAGAAATTCGGACCGGGTGCCATGTTCTACGGCCACGGGACCTCAGCGGATCTCGACGACCTCGAGGCCCGCCTCAAAGCCGGCGAGAGATTCCTGGGCCTATTCTGCGAGTTCCCAGGCAACCCGTTGCTATCGTGTCCAGACCTGACACGCATACGGCAGCTAGCAGACACGTACGACTTCGCCGTGGTGGTGGACGAGACGGTAGGCAACTTCGTCAACGTGAACGTGCTTCCCTTCGCCGACGTAGTAGTGAGCAGCCTGACGAAGATCTTCTCGGGCGACTGTAATGTCATGGGTGGGAGCTTGATTCTGAACCCGTCGGGGCGGTACTACTCAGCCCTGAAGGCGGTCATGGGCGAGGGCGTCTTCGAGGACACGTACTGGGCCGAGGACGTCGTTTTCATGGAGCGTAACTCTCGGAACTTTGTGACGCGCATCGACCGCGTCAACGCCAACGCCGAGGCCATCTGCGCCGTCCTCGAGGCCCACCCGCTCGTGTCCAAGGTCTATTATCCGAAGTGCAACGAGTCACGGCCCAACTACGAGGCCTGCCGCTTGCCGAAGGGCGGCTACGGCGGTCTTCTGTCATGCACACTGAAGACCCAGGCCCACGCCGTCGCCTTCCACGACGCCCTCGAGACGGCCAAGGGGCCGAGTCTCGGGACCAACTTCACCCTGACATCGCCCTATGTCATATTGGCGCATTACCACGAACTGGACTGGGCTGCCGGTTACGGCGTCGACCCAAGTCTCATTCGAATCAGCGTTGGGTTAGAAAGTAACTTGGGTGAACTTTTTGCCAAAGCGCTCAAGGCGGCGGAGGCAGTTCAATGAGTTAGTTGTTAGCTACCTAGTTGGTGAGTACACCATAGTAAATGATCTTATTGGACAGACAGCATCAACTGCTGCGCGATGGAGAGTCAATAAACGAAGAATGCTGTAGGCGTTGGGCCACTGCCAACCTCTCCTTCACCCGTGCCAGCCGTGCCCTTCTCTTACTCTGCTTAGTAAAAATAGCCCAAAGCATAGACAAGAAGCCAAGACACTCCATGGCCATTGTGGCAGGTAGTCGTCAATCCTGGCAATTATTTGGAAGATTATGGATCTATATCCACGCATTCTTACTACAAGTGCCATTGTATATGTATTGGGCCTGTACTATGTTAGTTAGAATCGAGTTGGTATGCACCGTGTAAAAACGAGGGCGGATTACCCAAGAACTGGAGGCAATTTACGATGAGGGGTTACCCAAATAACAAACCTTAGTCCACGTGCGTTTTTTTTTCCTTTTTCTTTTTCTTACATAGCTTCCGCATCTTCTCATAATACTGACTTCAAATTCACTGGATGGAAGTAGACTTTCATTAGAATGAAGTTATATTCAAAATGCCAAAAGCAGAACTATGTGCAAAGCCCAGCCGACCTAGCAACAAAAAACGCCTCTATGGTCTAGACAAGATCTGACTTATATACAAAAGGGAGTATCTCACAGAGAAGATAACTCGACGAAAAAATATCCAAAGAGAAAAAAAGAAAGGTGTTGCTTGCAATGCCTCGAGACTCGGCTACAATTCTGCGCCCATTCCGCTACATCGTGTATATATACTTGACAACTAACGAGAGTAAGCGTCATCAAAACCAATAAACATGTAGTAACATATGCGAGTGGCGTGAAATTAGAAGAGGGCAAAGAGTCCGAGATACAAAGTAAAGGTTTTGCTCGTATCTTCTATTCTGCTCTTGTCTCCTATGGTTGATGTTTTCCCATCTTCTCTGCGAGTTGGGAGTCATGCAGCATGTCCTATTGTGACCAAAACAATCAAGGACAAATGCGTATAGTTTCTCTGTGGGTGGGGTATCTCATAAATAAAAGGTCGCCTCGTCTTGTCTTGTGTCCAAAATGCGGTGGAAGAATTAATGATGTGCGTTGGAGGATTTCATAACCTATCTCTTGTTTAAAAATTCCACTGCTTGAGCCAAAGATCTACCCAGTCGTTGGTGACGGGTGTCAATTTCCGCATGGTCTGACTCTTGCGCGAGGTGACGCCAGTTTCTAGGTTGAATGGTGTGATCTTGACATCCTCAGGCAGAACGAGGCCTTCGTAGAATTCAAGTAGCTTGAGGCCGGGAAGCTCCTTGGCTGTGGCGGTGCGCTGTGCATCCTTGAGGGCCTGCACCCATTCCGCCCAGGGAACCGACCGTGTACCTACAGGCATCTTCTTCATGATTGTCGGTGAGATAACTTGCCAGTAGCTGAGTTTGGGGTTAACAGCGTGGTAAACCTTAAGCTCGTCGTCATCTTCCTCAAATTCACCTTTCTTTGCACCAACGCCAGCGAGCTCGACGACCATGTCTGCCAGCAAGTCCACAGGCACCCACTCAATACGATCAAGTGTGCCGAGATTGGACGGAAGCATTTTAAGATATTTGGACGATTCGACGATGGTTGGGAACCACTCCTGCTTGTTCCACTCACCCTTGTCGCCAGTTGTTACGGGACCTGCAATTTGACCTACACGGCAAACCGATGCGTCGACACCAGAAACCTTGACGGCCTGCTCGAGCAAGTTCTCGGCCATCAATTTAGATAAACTGTAGCCTTGCGCTCCGGCAATGGTCAGGTCATGGATGGGTTTCTCGGGAACGGGTGAGTCATCGGCCCATTTGGTGATGCTTCCAATCGACGAAATATAGAAGAGAGATGAGCCGTGTCGGCTCTTCTTGGCGAAGTCGACAAGATGGCGGACACCCCGAATGTGAGGTTCGAACGAAGAGAGATCCAGGTTGAAGTTGACAGGCCATTGGTTATGAATGATCTTGGTAACCCCCTTAAGAAGGACGTCGTATTTGCCCTGGCCGAGGCCGAAATCAGGCTTTGACAGATCAGCGGTGAGGAACTGGACCTTTTTGGCGGGCCAGACCTCAGTCAAACCCTTTGTCTTGAAACCGGCCCGTTGCCTTTCCTCTGCGTCGGCAGATCGGTTGAAACAATAGACACGTCTGACGGCAGGGTTTTTGACCAGTGTATTCAGGAGATATGTTCCCAACGAACCAGTCGTCCCGGTCACAATGACAGTATCACCGTCGATTGGAAGATCACGGGTATACTTGGCAACCATATCCTCTGCGAGCTTGAAAGTGGCTGTAGCAGGGTCCTCGCCCGTAGCGTCGGAATACAGAGTTGAGTAATAGGCCTGCGAGAGCTTCTCCAGGGTCGGGTTGCTGTAGATCAGAGTTGGGCCTAGCGTCACATTGATTTTCGCACGCTCGGCGGCGGTGCGGAGACTACCCAAGATCTGGAAAACGAGGAGTGAGTCGAAACCAGCGCTGAATAGGTTATCGTCGTCATTGAGCTCCTTCTTGAGCAAGACGTTGATGATGTTACGCAGACTATTGGCAATGCCCTGAGCGGAGCTGATATCCATGTCGCCTGACAAGGCCTTGGCCTCTTCGGCTTCGAGCTTCTCATAGAATTCATCGATCTCCTTTTCGTACGACCTTAGCATAGCAGGACGTTTGACCGTTCCCTTATCTGTGCGAAGGAAGGGCTTTCCAGGGACGGTGAGCATCATGTTGGATCGGAAGATACGAGCATGCGAGGGGGAAGCGGCGTTTGCTTTCTCGACAACCTCAGCGTAGATCTTGTCGAGTAGCGACTCTAGGCCTTCGGCAGTTGGTGGTGGTGGGTTAGTGAGCTCTAGGAGCACGGCCGGGTGAAATCGTCGGTTTCCAACTACTAGAGCAGCCTTCACTAGGGGATGCGAAGAAACACAGGCTTCAATATCGACGGGCTGGACCTTCTCGCCGTTTGAAAGAACGACGACGTCGTCAGCACGACCGACGCATAGCCATCGTCCAGGTTCCGTCGGGTGCGGTGCGAAGAGATCCTTGGTGGAATACTCCGTGTCATCGGGGAAAGTGTAGAAGAGACCTTGCCATCGCTTATACTGGAGTTTTTTAACGAAGAACAACTCATAAAGGCCAGGGGTGACCTCCCGCAACTCGGTGCCCAACTCTGGAGGGAACTTGAATGTTCTCCAGTCCTTGCCCTTCTGAGGTGCTACCATAGCCCAGATACCTCCTTCAGTGGAACCGTAGACATTTCGTACTGGAACCACGTTGTTGACGACATCGCCCAGCTGAGATGAGAGAGAACCTCCTCCCGTGATTATGTATTTGCAAGCACCCAACTTGGGTAGGGTCTTGGGTGTTTTAGCAAGTTCCTCAACAGTCGATGGAGGAATAAAGAAAACCTTCACTGGAAGGTTAGAAATAATGCGATCAATTGTATCAGCGCTGATCACTCCATTGGTGGGCTCTGTAACTACGGTCGAACCCAGCCAGAAGTTGAGGCCAAGCTTTACCATGAGACTGGCAGCCTACAGCATGTGTCAGTACAACTCGCCGCATAAGCTAGCCCTCGTAAACTAGGGTACTCACGTGGAACCACGGGAATGGGTTGAAAACTAGGTCTGAAGAAGCCCATGAAGGTGTGATTTCTTCATCTTGTTCAAGAGCGATCTCTCTGATAGCGTCGCCGCTAGCAATGGTGCCGAGGCGCATAACAATGGGCTTGGGGAGACCAGTTGAACCAGAAGTGTGAAGAACAGCGAGGGGGTCCAAGTTGGCCTGTTCCCAGGTCTTGGTGTAAGGATACTTGGCAACAGGACGAGGATCCAACAACTCTTCGAGAGTGGGTGTCTGGAGAACTTCCATAGGCCGGGTTTCAAGGATCTGGTTTACCAGGTCACTGTTTTCGGTCGACTTGGCCCAGATTCGACATTCCGTCCTGTCTATGACAGCCAAGCTACCTTCCAAACTGTTTCGAGGCGATACGAGAAGCGCCTGAATACACCATGAGTATTGACGAAATATTTCTCAAGCACGTGGTTACGCAAACATACCTTGTAGCCGGTCTTGATACAAGCCAGCACCAAAATGGGATAGGTCAAGTTGTCTAGCAGCGAGATGAGCATTAGAAAGGGACAAAAGAGGCATCTACAAAAGGTAGAAATGACGTACGGGGTCCAATATAGCCAATGGCCTCGAAGTTCTTGCCCTTGCCAAGAACACCCTCGATCCAGCGACATGCCCGGTTTACAGCATTGGCGAAACGCAGAGCGGTGATGTCCTCGAAACTGTCGCCATCGTCGGTCAAATGCGGGATTGTGTAAACGACCCGGTCCGGGTTGTCGCGGGCTGCTTCGTCGACAACATTGGGAATTAGGCGGTTGCCAGCAATTGTGCGAACGTAACCCATTGTGACTTGAATCTTTCTTCCTTCTTTTTCTATTGAACGGCGTCCTCCGTCTATAACACCCTGGTTGCCCCGGTATTTCGTCTTAGGCGTCGTCTATGAAATTTCGATCCGAGGTCCCGAGACGAATATACGAATGAATGTACGGCTGTGGTGAATAAGTCCTTGTAAACAAGAATGAGAATACAGAAATGAAGTGTATAACAAGAAGTGAAAGTGAAGTAAAGAAAACACCACGGCTGACGAGATCCAGATTGACGATCAAGGGGGGTCAGGGAATCCATATTATATAGATTCCGAACATGCCTGGATAATGGCTAGGCCCCGGCGGCTTTGACGCGCGCGACCTCCGGGGATAGGATGTAAGTCCCTGTTCTCTACGCTGAGTACGCTACACCATAGTATCGCATGCAAGTCACGTATGGAAGTATCCAGGTGGACCTGGGCAAGCTGAGTGTGTACAGTACGCTTCCCGGGACCAAAGATTGACGCTACGGGCCCATGTCCCAGTATTAGTGTGTAGTGTACACTCTATTTCGATGGTCATTGAAGGGTTGTCTCGTCTAGATCCGGTGTGCAGGTACGGCGAATACCTATACTAGTAGTGTACCTACACTGCAGACAGGAACAAGAACCAGACAGCCACATGGTCCTGGGTTCGACGGAGATACCCCTTGGCCAAAGATCCAATCAGAGGATGAGGACAGGCAGGCTGTCACTGAGGGGGTAGTGCTCGGGGCTCTATGCGGGTTAGGCCCAACAGGCCAGGGACACGGACATGATGGGAGAGACTGGCCGTTGGCTTGACCATCAGTACTGGATACAGTATGGGCGGTGGCTGTGGGAGGTCTGTACACTCTACCTACCGTCCACTAGCTAGTGGTCGTGGAGTGTCATGGAGGGAGGCAGCGATGGGGACAGAAGGGGGAGGGCAAGCTGACTGGATACCGGCCCAGGGTTGGGTGGGCTAGTTGAATGATTTGGAATGCGTGCCGGTTCGCTGACAGATGAAAAAGGGCAGCGACACGAGGCTTATTGTGCCGCCAAGAGGCCGGAACTGCATGCGTGGTTCTGTTCTTAGGTTCAATGCCACGCGTGCGCCGTCATTCCACTTTTCCGTCTGGTCTGAAGAGTGTAAGCAAGCGGAAGGGGGAAAGCACAGGAAGCAGAGGAAACAGAGGAAGCCAAACGGAGACGTGGTGGTGTGTGCAGTGTTTACTAGGTAAGTACCATGCAGCCATGATCATCACATCATACACAAAATTAGCATTGCGCTTACAAACAGTTGGTTACCCACATAGCAGCACTCTTCAAGTACTGTAAGTAGGTACGGAGTAGGGCAGACAGAGAGAGATAGAGAGGCATGTGACAAGGAAAAGGCGGCTCGTTCTCTATTCCGGACCTTGTACTCTGTCTGTATCTGTATCTGTACTCTGCACTCTGTCCGACCTCTCTCTCTCTCTCTGTGCAGGCACGTCATTGCCCGGAAAGCGTGGGCTTCGGCTGTCGGCGGCGGGGCGTGGAGGGAATTAAGTTAGGTACACGTACTTACAACTACTAGGTACTGTAGTACGGAGTATGCAACAATGAAAAAGGAGACGGGTTCGGCACTCGCGTTGTTGTGCGCTCATATGGTGGGCAGGTCGTAATAAGCTTAAAAGGTTGCTTCAACGCGAAGGATGGCATGCTGGTATCGGTACGCAGCTGTTGCGCGTGGTCGAGCCGCTGTTGGCGGCAGCTGAGAGTAGCGGTACATAGGATCATTAAGTATAATAATAGCATGCTTCAGCTCCCTAGCGCGGCGCAGCATACTTACTTAAGTAGAAGCCTGTCCCCAGATTTCTCATAGTATCCTTCACAATTCACACAAGTAGCTTTGCGTCATCCACACATGGCCCACTGCTACGTGTAGATGTGTACCATGCATGTACCTTATCCAGCATATGTCTTTTTATATTGGGCATGTATCTCGGTGGTTGATCTCAGATTTTCGATGCGCACTTGTTCTCGAACGATAAATTCCGCCATATATGGCAACTACTCTGTAGGTAGTGGGCAACAAAGCCAACGTTGGACCTTTCCTGTCCCGCCAGCCATGTTGCCTATGCAAGTACATGTGTATGGTATGTACTACATAATATGTACATATATTTATGTATGTCGATCATTGCTGTACCCATACTAGGTAGATAAATAATCTACTAAGAGATACATAGGGAGGTACTTACCGCCGACGTACCCACTGTACGACCGGTAACCCCGGTAGGTCGCAGTGTACACTAGGTACTATACCTAGGTACCTAGTGTACATGTCTGTGTCGCATGTGCCTGCAAGGTACGCCTCTGCTGAAGTCTACTTAAGTACTGTAAGTCTGCGAGGGGCGGATGGCATTTGTACTTCGTACTAGTACACAACGTACTCGTCGAGAAGGCTAGTTACAACTCTTCACGACGCCTGCATGATGCCCACATGCTAGGTATAACCTATAACCACTCCCTTGTTACTACTTAAGTAAGTATGACTTTTGCCGTATTCCCTTGAGAGGCCGCGCTATGTCGTGACACGGGCCTGGGAGTGAGGGACCACACGATCGGGCCCGGTCCTGCATGCATCACTAAGAGAGAAGGAAGCCGAAGAGAGAGGCACATCACATCGCACGTGTCGCGGAGTGGCATGTGGGATGTTGCATGTGTACAGTAGTGTACTTGGTGTAGGTAGGTACCTAGTGTAATGTAGTTAGTGTAGACCTCGACCGGCACGGTTCCCTCATCTCTGCATCCAAAAGACCCCTCCAGCATCTGCATTCCTCGTATGGAACAGAACGCTTTTTCACTTTGCCTCCTATGTATGTACTGGCCGGCGCGTGTAAGTAGGTACGTAGTAGTGTTCGACAGTCCATAAACTACTCAGCAGGCTGTGACGTCCACGGCGTCGCTATCTTCTTCGTGAAACCTACAGTAATCGATCCCGTCCTTTGCTCATTGGGGGAGTGTACTATGTTGCTCCTTTTCCTCCGTCCAACGATTCACTATTATAGAATCGGACATCGTCGCCACGTACGATACCAGTATGGTTAGGTACTACGTTTGCCCCTCCAAGATTGTGATCCATGTCTCACTACTACCGTCTTTCTGCAAGAGGTTAGGTACCTACCTATTGAAGTCTGCCAATGGTCTGCAAGATATGTATAACTTGCGGATTATGAAGAGTCCAAGGCTGGATCAGGTACTTAGTTATGGAACAGAGTATCACATACCCTGCGTTCAACTCTAATACCTACGAAGTAGGTACACCAAAGTGGCATCGGGACGACGTCTCTGCCAATATGGTACAAGGCTACCATTCCCAGCAACCCTAGTGATGGTTTGCGATCAACACATGGGGTTGTACGATTTGCCATAAGTAAGTACACTACAACAGATGCTAACTACAGATCTAATCAGGGAACCACAGTAGGTAGTCTGTATACATAGTAGGTGTACGCCTGCTACGGCTTGCCTAGCTTCCTTAATGTGATCTAGAGCAGCGCAGTGCCTGTAGGTGTATTGGTCGGTGTACGTTGACAGAGAGAATACCTACTGTTCTAATAATAAAAGGCTGGTTTGAATATTGAGGAGACAATCTAGGTTCTACCATTGACAAAGCTGGTCTAATCTGCTCAATCTAACCTATGCACAGCACACAATCTTGGTCTCCTGCAGCTACTCTATGATGATTGGGGCTGAGGAGAGGAACTACCTACCTACACTACCCAGCTGCCCACTCGCCCTGCCTAGTAGGTAGCTGTACAGGTACACATACTTGGGTGATAATATCGGTGTGAAGTGGAAAATTCCGCGTCGATATAAAACTTGGCCACGAGGTTACATACGCAAGCCTACTTAACAGCGGGGTTGCGAAGAACGAGGAGATTGGCACTATGATGGTATGCATAGGTAACGTAGATTACCGCTAATTTTGTACAGAGTACACTATGCCATGCCCAAGCGATCAGCCTACCGTAGGTAGGTGCTCAATACCTACTAAATATGTTGTATCCTGATGTCGCTGTTGGTTGCCGTTTGCATGAAATCGAACAGGGCCAAAATTACCAGTAGGTATCCTTATTATATGCCTGCCATATCAGTCGGGTAGTTAGGTGCACAGGCGTTCTCTTGCCGGCCGGCAAAGGAAACCAACCACTCGTAGGAGAAAAGAAAAAGCATATGACACAGCTGCAGGGCAGACTGCGTTATCCCTCGGTTCCCTGAATTGTGTTGTAATGGAACCGCGGCGTTGTGCGTTGTACTACCCAAGTAGTGGAATGATGGATGGTTCTGGTTGGTGGCTGCAACATCATGGCCCAGCCATGCCCATCCATGCCTGCAAGTCGATAGGTAGGTAGGACAGGTACCTAGGAGCAGATGGTTAGGAGGAAGAGGCGCGCATGTCTCGTCTGGCTCATCTGGATGGAGTCTGGATGGAGTCTGGATGATAACACCATGTGGCAGCCATCAGCTAAGCTTACAGTAGGTACCTAGCTTGCCTGGTATGGGCGTATCTCGGTTGGCTCGGTCTCAGCCACCCGATAGCTCGACAAGCGGATAACGACCGGATAAGGTAGGAGTCCGGACGACAACGACAACGACAACGACGACGTCTGCGGTGGTTCTGAGGTGGTCAGGGAGGGGACGGAGAGGGCACACGCATGGACACATCTACACTAAGAAACTACGTTGTTGCTTTACTCGAGTAGGTGTAGCGTTCTCGGCAGATCGAGTAGCGCGGGTGAGCATCTCAAATACTGAAAACCCAGCTAGACTACCTAGTGCACGCCCTATCGCCTTCTCGAGCGTCTAATCGAGAGCTGCCTCTAGCGCAAACGTGTAGAGGCTGGGCTAAGTCGAGATAGCGCAGAACCCGGAGCTGCACGGCTCGTGAGGAAAAGAAGCTTTTTTCTGTCCACATCTCGCGCCTAAACTACACTTCACTACATACATAGTACACACTATATTACGCTAGGTACAAGTACTCAGTACCAACGTCACTCTCAAGTTAAACATTGCTGAGTGTAGTTCGCAGATCTGCTAGAATTAGAAGGGGCGGTACGTTGTTAGATAGCTAGATTCTGGCAGATCAATTTGATGAGTAAAAGAAGCGGAAAGGTGCAGCTTGCCTTTCTTGGCTCATATACTTGAAGTACTATCATACAGTGCCAACGGGCAGAGTCCAGGGAGTACTACCTAGGTATGTACTAGGTAGACTCTGGTAGGTAGTGTGCACTGGAGTCAGAGCTCGGTCTCAACGGTCGGAAGTTTCAAGTTGCAAGTTTTGTAGCAAGAAATACAGTGCGTCATACGGTATATGACACAGACCCGGAGGTTACCTACGATGATGTGATACGGTACCTAGGCAGTACCTAGGTAGCGTTGTGCAAAGTTAAGCTTAAGCTTACTTTAAGTAGTCATACCTTAGTATCGCCAAGCAAATTGAAACCACACCTCTTCTCGTGCAGACACGCAGTAGGTATTCTGACCAGTACCAGTATGGACACTTACCAACACAACCAACACGACTAACACGATACGCAGACCGTGATACCAACTACTGCTGTCTGGCTCGTGTACCGGGTTTTATCAGTTCTCGCCACTCGCGTTTCTCCTGGACCCGAACAGGCAGACTACTAAGTTACTAACTGAAGTGTGCAGTTAGCCTGAGTTGGCCCCATCCAGGTCCCCGTACAGACCCCCATAGTCGCTGCTGGTTGCAGTAATCTAGGTTCTTATTGACGCAGTACATACCTACTGTTGGTGATGGCGTCTTCTCGTTCGCAAAGGAATTTCCCGTACCTCTAGCCAGCCCACCACTTAAGCACTTACTTCGTAGGTACTTGCCAGTTTCGTTACCGCTCCTCTTTGGGGATCGACAGCTATATCCGGAACACCCAACCAACACTCTGCAACACCAAAACAGTACAGGGTTACTGTTTGAGAGCTGCCACTTTGGGAAATGACGTCTGCATTGTACAGTGCACCTTAACATGATTACTTACGACCGTTGAGCCGAGCTGATCCAATCACGGGCAAGATGCTAGCGAAATACCACCAGACAATCTCCCAGCTTCATCTCGTCTCGTACCATTCTCCATTTGATGTCCGCCTATCCTTAATGTCTTAGTAATGTTCACAGCAGATGAAAGAAACAAATTGCCTACCATACTTAGTAGGCCAAAGTTGCCGCCCAACTAGCAAGCATCAATAAGAGACTGGCCAAAGCAGAAAGGGAGATATGGTAGAAGGAGTGACACGGCTGAAGTCAGTCACAGCAAAAGTGTTGCATACTTCCTAGGTACTTATGTGCTGCGTGGCCCACATCCCCAAGAATTTTTACCTTCTTCTCTCCTTCTCTATGAGAAAAGAGAGAGAGAGAGAGAAAGGGAAGAATATCTCCCTATCTTGCTGTATCTTGGCTCGATCGCCCCGGTGCATGCTACCCCATACACAGCTAACCACCTTCCTACACAAGTACGAGGTTGCACAAACAGCGAGTATAGGATACAAACAATGTAACATTGTAACAGTAAATGCATGAGCGACATGCTGAAGACGTTGATTCAGTTCAACGACGTTTCGTCGGCTACAGGAGACCTGGTATGCGCTTCCCGCGCATTCCATCCATACCAACCATACATGTCGTCGGCGAGCAGTGGACGATCATCGCACCACATGCCGCCGTACACTAAGTAACAGTCTTGGCTGTGCTGCTGGCACAGTCATCTTTCTTTTGCAAGCTTTGGAACAATAGACGCTGATTCTGGTAAAGTTCCTTGATAGAGAAGTTGGAGTCTATACTAGGTACCGAGCCTTGACCTTGGCTACTGGGTACGCAGTCCGATATTCGAGCTCTCCATATAGATGCAGGTACCCAGCTACTTCGCATGCAATAGGTAACGCAGACAGATGCATGGCAGATGCGAGAGACTATCTACTCGAAAAACGCGACGCCGCACGACACATGCGAGAGGAGCGGTCAAAGTCTTCGTAGGTATACATACGGTCACATTGCAAAAGGGATGGCAATACGTGCAGATAACTTACGTAGCAGTGTAAATTGATGCCCTGTCACATCCGACTGCTGATAATGTAGGTATGTAGTAAGCCCATAACGGAATACATATATACCTACCACGAATAGTTACAAGCCCGAAGATGCAGGTTTTTATCGGTCGGGGAAATTACTTACGAACGTAGAGACGGAGGGCCACAGAAGAATACCTAGGCACCAGAGAGAGACTAGACTCTACCTTCAACCGATTGATAACTGTCCATGATGAGTAATTACCCGTTTCCCATCCTTGTTAACAACAAGCACCCGAGGTAAAAATAAACAGATATACATAGGTAGGTCTTATTAAGACGGGAAGCCCCTTCTGTGCATCCTCCATCAATCTACCTAGTATGTACTATGTATAACCCTCAACACCAAGCTTTTTGACCTTGGGGTCTCCACACACACACATATATACCTACATTACAAAAGCTTGCCATGGAAGAGCCCAGCCCATGAGAGAGAGAGAGAGCCAGGGCTGAGTTTCAGCTAACGACGCCGGACCGAATCGGACTAGCCGGAGCCTGCGGGAAAGCCTCAAAATCGAGAAGGCGTCTGCAATTGGTCCGATGACGAATCAGCCACACACGCTAAATCCAGCTGCAGTCACGCACCACTACCTACCACCAACCATCGACATCATCAAACATCAGCATCACGAACCTCATTCTCCTCATCGTAATTCTGTTCTAACCGTAAATCATCGCGATCTTTCCACTAAGTTTAACTAACGCAGCAATTATCATAGTGATAGGCAAAGTAGGCAGGTATAGATCCAGCTGAGAGATAGGTAGTTAAAGTATGGTAGCGTTGGGAGTAAAGGGCGTTGGGATTCCCCGACTTCCCAATACCTAACACCAGAAATAACTATTCACTAGACAAACACATGTTATCGAATGACAAACGGCCGTTTACGGTTTAATAAGTCGCCAAACACACTCACATCTCGCAATATATATACTAATTATCAATCCGTCTGGGATATACAAACCACAAGATCGCCAGTTGGTTGTAGTGTGTACAATGTGGACAAGGCGGACACAATTTCACGAACGGAACAGTTGGTTGGCTAATACTGAATACACAATTCGAAATAATACTATATCGTAAGTTCTATGCCTGTAATAATGCTCAGATCTAAATATAAACAACTAGTATACCCAACCTACAGCTTATCAGGTTATTTATTATTCATCTTCAAAATACATACGTACGTCAACCCCTACACACTAAACAACAACACCGAGCCGGAGCCCCAGCTTACATCGCAAAACCACGTGGTAGACTAGTATCCTAACCTAACGCCCCATTTTCTAGGCTTGTTCAACGGCCATGCCCCTAAAGGGCTGACCGTATGCAAAACCGCATAATGGTAGGTCGGTCGGGAGATGCTCCTGCGGGACAGTCTTGTATAAGCATGCTAGAGTGGCCTTAAGAGTCATTCTTTTTGATCTCATGCTGTAATAATGTACACCTTGACACCGTTGCTAGTCCTAGCCTCTTGCGCTGCCGCTAACCCCCGTCACCGTCTCTATTATGTCTACAGGACGATTTAGAAGTGAATCGCCTTCGAGTATGTCGCCATGGCCGCCTCCTTGAAGGCCTCAGCTAGTGTCGGGTGTGCGTGGCACGTGCGGGCGATATCCTCGGTCGAGGCTCCATACTCGAGAGCCAGGGTAGCCTCCGCAATCATCTCACCTGCATTGGGCCCGATAATGTGGCACCCCAATAGTCTATCGGTTTCGGGATCGGCCAGCATCTTGACCATGCCATCCGTGTCAAGGTTGGTCTTGGCACGCGAGTTGGCACTAAAGGGGAAAGTGCCAACCTTGTAGGGAATGTTCTTCTCCTTGAGCTCCTGCTCGTTCTGGCCGACCCAGGCAACCTCAGGGTGTGTGTACATGACTGAAGGGATCACACCGTAGTTGACATGTCCGTAGCCCTTCTTGATGTACTCAACAGCGGCCACAGCCTCCTCTTCAGCCTTGTGAGCCAGCATAGGTCCGAAAGTGACATCGCCAATGCAGCGGATGTGAGAGGCCTTGGTGCGGTACTCGGAGTCAATAACAACGCGGCCACGTTCGTCAACCTCGAGTCCGGCATTTTCGAGGGCAAGGCCGGACGTGTAAGGGCGGCGGCCAATAGCGACGAGGACGACGTCGGCATCAAGCTGTTGTAGGTTTAGGTTAGATTCAATCATATATGTAACGGTTACAGAGAAGACCTACTGTTTCAGGCTTGCCTCCTTTGGCAGAGTCGACCTCGAGTTTGACGGTCTCGCCGCTCTGGTCGCCGCTAACAACCTTGGTGCCAAGCTTAAACTCAACACCCTGCTTTTTAAGCAGTTTTTGAGCTTGCTTAGAGATTTCGGCATCCATGCCGGGGCCACCAATCTGGTTTAGGAATTCGACGACGGTAACCTGAGCACCCAACCTTGACCACACGGAACCCATTTCCAGACCAATGATACCACCACCAATAACAATCATTTTCTCAGGTACCTTCTCAAGGGAAAGAGCGCCAGTGCTTGTAATCACACGCTTCTCGTCAATCTCGAGGCCAGGGAATGGGGTGGCCTCACTACCGGTAGCAATGAGAATATTCTTGCCCTTGACACTGGTCTCGCCACCCTCGTTTAGGGCAACCTTGATTTCATGTTCGTTGACGAACGATCCAGTACCTTTGATATATTCTACACCGTTCTTCTTGAAAAGAAACTCGATTCCCTTGGTCAATCCCGTGACGGACGTCTCCTTGGCCTTCATCATAGCCTCAAGGTTGAGCTTGACATCGCCGACCTCGATACCACGGTTCTTGGTATCATGGAGAATCTGGTGGTACAGGTGGGAGTTGTTGAGGAGCGATTTTGAAGGGATACATCCGACGTTGAGACAGGTACCACCGAGGGCTCCGCGCTTCTCGATACAGGCAACCTAAGGTGAGGACGGCGTGTTAGCAAGGAACTTCGTATCCGGTATCGGGTTGTGCCAGGAGAGAGGATCGCGCAACACACCTTAAGACCCTCCTGTCCTGCCTTGATAGCGGCAACATATCCAGCGACACCACCGCCAATGATGACTAGGTCCTTCTCCTCTGTAGCTCCATCGCGCTCATCAGTGAAATGTTTTCGGCTAAATCGGCGAGGACATAGTCCAAGAACACATTGCGCTTACCTGCCTGGCTGGCATAGCCTCTTCTCCAGCGCGACACGGGGGAGACGACTGTGGGGAGGCTGTATTCACGTTAGCAGACTCGTAGATGGTATAGAAGCGCCATTGGCAAGGATTGTCTAGGTACGTACGAGCTCTGGGAGCGGAATGATGATCGGATGGCGGTCCGCGGTATTAAACGGCTTGAGAGCATGGCGGATGTGATGGGCAAGGCGGAGGGCGGCGATAGAGTGATTCGCGCAAGACAAATAGGGATTAGAAGTATACGGATACTGCAAGAGAGGGGACTGGGTCGCGCCGGGCGGAAATGAGGGTATCTTGGTTAGAGTCGGGACTACAGGTACGTGGTGATAATTTGGTGGATGGGTCGGGTTGACTGCTGGGAACTGGGAAATTTTGGGGGTCCGAGTCGCTGGGCTAAAAGGCCCGGAAATATGGGGCCTGGAGGTGAGTTCTGCCACCTGCGCGCTCTCCAATTCGCTGGGGGCAAAAAGCCGCTGTGGCCAAGCACCGAACATAGCCGCGTGACGGGATACGTACAGAGACGGCACGGCCTGCTCACCTTGCACTCGGAGCTGAATACACGATGATTAATCGGAATGCGTGACCTCATTTCTTGATATACGGCCAATGACTGTTCACCCAGGCCACGCGAGGTTTGCCCAATCTTTCCGTGGAACATTCCTTCTGATAAAGCACACATATCGGTATCGAAGACAAGAAGGTTCCCATAGTTCAGAGAAGGGCCATTACACAAAGAACATGGGGCCTGATCAATCGCACATCACTCTTATTAGAGCCTCGGAGGCGGCGTAAGCCAACTGATCATGGGTAACCTGCAAAAAAACTGGACACACGCCTAGTACCTATACTCGAGACCTTGTACAATAAGTAGCTTAGCTCTGTATCGGATACAAATCATGCGTAGTTTGCCTGTTCTATCTATGCGCAGCGGTAATACAGCATCAACATATCAAAGCGAAAGGCAGATACTATGAAGAATATTACGCGTCGTCGATGATGAGGTACCTAGGTGCTAGTATAATTTGGAAAATGGCATTTAGTACTAGATATATGTCAGTTTTTTTGTTCTCGAAAGTGGATATTCGCTGCTGGCTTTTCGAACACCCCTCATTAGACCCAAGCAAGTCAAGACTATCTACAATCATTTCACATAGGCAAATACTGAGGTTGACTGTAAATATTTCGAAATAACTTTCCAATTTACATGCTAACTTCCCCATTGAAACGGCTTGTCTAGACTCAATGGTGATTGTTACTCAAGAGATCGGAAACAGTTGACGTCGACTTTCACATAGAATATGATGACATGGTAATGTTTTTTCCGCTATGTTCAAGGCGTCTTCTCTAATTGTCGTCATTATTGATATTGAGGGTGGATGAGACCTAGTCTTCGAACACGAGCGTCGTTATATACAATAATCAAATATCTTTTCTTACCAAGGGCCATCGTCTCCCAGCGTCGCTTAACGCTGCTCAAGGTCTTCCTGGACTAGCAAGGAATCCAACAACTCAAGTACCTCATCACAACGCTTCCTCGCAAGTTTCACGGCCTTCCTATCATTCTCAACAAGCTGGGTTGCACGGACATGCCGCCTTAGGAAGTACTGCACGCCACGTCCAACGTCCAAATCCGTGGCCAGACCTCCAAATATCTCTTTGATATCTTTTGCCCTGGCCTCTTGCAGCACGGTAAGCAGCAACACCTCGGTGAAGATGTGCGTCTTCTCTTGAAGGGCCGCAAGATTCCGATATTTGAAGACATCAGCGAGTTTAAGCGTTCGCCATGTAACCAAGTAGGCAAATAACTTGGCTGTATTGAATAACCATCTCACGCCCTCGTCAGACTCGCCATCTAGCTCGTCATCTCCGGTATCACCATCCCCGGTATCGACGTCTTCGCCCATCTTCTTATAGCGAATGGTCAGACACCGGCGAAACTGGAAACGCATCTCTTTATCATCGCTGAATCTATCAGCCAAAAGGGCATAATAGTGGTTGTATACGTTCTGTCGCTCACCGCTGCGGACGATAACCTCGGCAATTTCTTTTCGCTGGTGCTTGTTGAGTCGTAGTTTCTGCACAAGGAGGTCGGCGCCGTCACAGTCCGTAGCCGCGTGTAGAGCCACAAAGATGCGTTGCCTAACTTCTGTGTTGAAACCCTGCTCTCGTGCTAGTTGCCAAAGGTCAGGTATACCTAAGTCGTCGCCTGCCTGCATGATAGTCTCATTATCGAGGCCATCATCATCGTCCTCGCTGTCATCATGCAGGCTCTTATCCTTTCCCTGTCCACGCTGGTTTCCCAGCCAGCTAGCACCCACGAGCCACCATTTACCTTGTGTCTCCGAGTCCTGTATATCCTTTAGACCGACGCGAAGCGGTTGCACGTCATGGCTACCCTTAAGTGTACCTATTTTCTTCCTTAGTAGAGTGCGCTGTTCCGCAAGGTCTTTATTCCTCGCGACGGCCTTGGCCTTGTTGCTTTGCAACTTCTTCATCTCGTCAATCATAAACTTCGTTCTGACTGACATATCCTTCGTGTTATTAAACTGTAGGCGATTAACGATGTCGCGTAGCGCGCGTGGGTCATCGCGCCTCAGAGAAGGCCCGCAGAGCTGGATAATCCTGAGCAAGAGCTCTGTATTGAGCTCCGATGGTTTTTCTAGGAACAATCGAACGTAGTCGAAGATGAGGTTACAGCTGATGACTTGCATATTGTAAAGCTCGGCGATCAATGAAACCAAATGCTTCGATCCAGCATCAGACTGATCCCCCGATGCTGCAGCGGAACGCTCCTCCAGCGTCTCAACGAGCTGCTGTACGAACTGGGCGCTCACAGCCATTCCCATGGTCTTGTGCACTGCAGCAATGAACCCAGCAATCATCGTAAAAAAGGAGTCTGGTCGCTTCTCGGGAGAGCAGACAAGTGCCATAATCAGGTCGATAAGGGTAGAGGTCACGATCTGCCTAGGGTTTGTCTGGTACAAGTCCGTGACGTCCTTGAGGATGCCTGTCATGTTATCGTTTGTAAGCCGGTTGATCAATCCCTGGATGCGCCTCTTGAGCTGAGCTTCGGATTGATCGGCTGATCCAGACTGTTTGCGAAGTGAAGGTGGTACGTATTTGGCAACATTAGTAGTCGGCGCAATATACGGGTTCTCCCGTTGGCGTGGAGCTGGCTCTTCTTCTTCTTGTAAGCTTTCGAACCCATCAAATTTATCTTTGTCATCTTGACTGTCTTCGTCGTCTTCACCGTTACTATCGCTGCCCATGAGAGATACATCGTCCTCATCATCGTCCTCCTCGAATCCATCTTCGCCTATGCTCCCCTCAGTGTCCTCGTCATCCTCCGCAATGACAGTGGTGACAGCCGACGAAGCTGCCGCTGCTGCCTCGGCCTTTCGCCGCTTTTGAGCCAGCCATTCTTCAGCTTCAGCTTTGCGCTTGGTCTTCGACAAGGGCCCAGTCTCATCATCACTATCGATTCCGTCTAGGCCTTCCAATAGACCGCCAAGACCGTCTTCGTCAAACGACTTTGGCAATTTTTTTTTGCCCTTGATCCCAAGCTTCTTTTCAAGTTTTGCGATTTCCTTTTCGTCCTCCGTAATTTTCGCCATATCTGATTTGGATAGCTTAGGCTTGTTAAGTTGTTTTGTTCCACTCCCCTCATCGTCATCCTCGTCTTCAACCTCGCTCTCGCTCTCATCCTCGTCTTCTCCGCCATTGATACCATTTTCCTCTAAATATTCGTCATCAATGTCAAAATCGTCTTCATCGAGCTCATCGTCGCTACTGAACGGTAATCCGTTGTCCTCGCTCTTGGGCGAAGCTTTCTGATGGCGGGATGCAGGTGACTGGCGCGCGGGTTGTGTGGTTTGCCGAGACTGTGAACTCCTAGCATATCTCTTCTGAATGCGGGCCTCTTTCCTTTGATCTTTCCTTGAACGCTGGCGTTTGTTACGCCCTGAGCCCCCTTGCTGGATGTCGAGCTCGTGAAGCAGAGAGGATGGCAGTGACAGCTTTCTCTTAGCACCAGGAGCCATCGTGGGAATTTATAAAATAATACGTGTTTGGTACAGTTTAAGTTATATAGTTTCCTCCCTAATCCACGATCTCGGTTTCTTACTATGTAACTGTTCAAATTGTGGCTTTGCTGTTTGACATTCTCGCGGGTTTCAGGGGATGAAATTATAAAAAAAATTAAAATTTACGCGACAGATGTACCTACTAAGGTACTTAGAGAGAGTTACTCCCACGGTACTTAGATGTGCGGCAGACCCATAGTTAGACTGCGGCTATTTACCCAAATGATTAGGTGCACTTAAGTATTTCTGTAGTACCTACCTTGCTTATCTGTATCTAGTACATACCCCAGGTTACTTACTTACTGCCCAGTATTACCACAGCAATAGTACCTAGGTTAGGCATTTCAAAGTCTCCGTGAATCCGTCGCATTGATATGTTTTCTAGGGATCTTGCCTACTAATGAGAGTCATGTATAGAAATATGAATTATTACACCTTACTTCTACATATCTCAACCTTGATCTTTCGAGTCTTCTTGAAAGAGGTTTGCTTAGTTCAAATATGGTCAAGACCCCCGCCACTCAAGGCATGAGCTCAATCCACCAACCTTATAGTATACCTACACACGTAGGTACTTTTGGAGGCGGGCGGCATAGGCAGCCCACAATTTCCTCCTTCACTCGACCGTTCGACTAGTAGTGGGACATATAATACAGGTTACAACGCACCACGCAATACACTCGTACATTTCACGAGATTTCGTTTCAAGCTGAGCGCGTGGCGTATATTCCACTCGTAGCTGTATTCGTAGCCCTCGACCATCAGCACATAGATAGCGACGAGGGCATAGCCCGCATTGACTGTTCGCCATGGGTCACCTGAGCAATGACGAGGTATCCTCAACCCTCTCCTAACCTGTAGCAGTACATTTATGGAGAGAGAGAGAGCACATGGTGTAAAACCTACACAGAAACATGTTCTATAAGCTTCTGCTGACCAGCCTTCCGCATCATTCCAGTTCTTCGCGAAACTCACCGGGCTCTTCGACTCGGCAAAAGGCAAAGACCACGGGTCTATCGTCCTAACACAAAAGAGATGTACGACGACATGGAGAATCATACCCAATAGCAAGTTATAATACCCTGGATGGACGTCCGATGCTAACGAAGCCATCTGTTGCTTAAGTATCCTACGATCAGCCTTTCCCCGAACCCACAAGCGATGGCGTCCTACCGGACCTACAACCTCCCCGCCCATTACCGATCCTGATACGCGCGACAAACAGTAAGGGCAAAGAGGATCGCAAGGCAAATAAGAAGATCAAGTTCTCAACCGTCGTAGAGCCTGATGTGCTCCCGGCTTTTTTCGAGAGGTACGCTGAGACGTGCAAGCAGGGTATGGGTTCCCTCAAGCCTAGAGATCGGAGCAAGCGGAAGGGTAAGGCGAAGAAGAAAACCAGAACCGCCGTTGGGGCCACAACGACGACAATTCCCTGAACTATTCACTGTCGGTATACATTAAGTTGTTCATCTGAATCTCAGCATCTGCTGCGGAATCATCAATGCTGCAGGTACTTGCGACACAATGAAGGGTTGTACTACGAAAAATGAGAGGGGGCGCGTCACTTAATCCTGGATTGCTGCTGATTGTCATCAACGCCACCCGAGTCAAAGAGGCAGGAGGGGGAGATAGGCATGCAATTTAGGGCCCTAGCGGTTAGATCGAGTGCGCGTCCACTACGCTGTGCTATCGGCGGATGCGACACCAACATAGTCGAATCGTGACAAACCATATTACAAGTGCCCAGACCAAGTGCCTCAACAACGTATTCAAGTGTTGATCGTACAACCGGGATAGGGGCTGTCGCCGGATCACTGTCTCCGCTCCGCTCAAATAGACGCAGGGTATCGCATCGATCATGCTTAGGCTCGGGGTCGAGGGGTAGTGTGCGACCCGTCTATGAAGACTCTTGGAAGACACAGGGAAAGGAAAAGTAAAAGAGAACCTTAGTACATACGATTGGCGGTATAAGTCATGAAATGACACCCCATGTTGTGAACTCAGGAGTGCACAAGTTCAGAAACCCCGAACCAATCACTTAGATCGTCTTCCTTGCCTTCTCTCTTTATTTCCACCCACCTCCAATCAAGCAACATGTTTTTCAAGCTTAGGCCTCGCAAGTAGTACTGCATGGCCGGCAGGTATGCATAGGAAGGCAAGTTGTGGATTCAATATATCTATATGGCTGTAATGGTGCGCTTGTCATTCAGCTGATTATTCGGTCGCAAGCAAGTAAGCACGAAGTAGATTACCTGTGTATTTAGAAACATACTTTATAATGCTTAACCTGGTCTCCAAGGAAATATGGGTGAAGTCATCCAGCAGCATTCCTCACCATGTCTTCTTGCATCACTAGGTAGGGACCAACAAGCAGAAAGGGGTTTGGGATATATCAGACATTGCGCCCGGTACTGATTATAGCATCAATACACTTGGACGCTGTACAACATAATGAATTTTTTAAAAAAAGAGAATACTATTCGGCAAACAATCTATTTTCGCGCATCCTCTCTTCTCGGGCCCCCACGCCGCACCACTTATGGAACCCATACACCCCACTTGTGTTTGGCTTAACACAGCAAACAAGCAATTAGCAAAAGAAAAAAGTCAAGGAAAATTATGAGGCCCGTAGCGCCTTAGTTGTAGACATCTCAGTTTTTGTAAACCCAGTTGGACCCCAAGCCAATGCTGTAAACACGTGCGCCTTTTCCCCCGCTTTGCTCAGTTATACAACCGCAAAGCGCTGCCCACTCCGAAACCCTGGCATCGGGTCGTGATTCTCTCTCAAGTCGTAGTTTGGCCATGGCGATCAAAGACCCTTGACAGAAAGCGTTTTACAATGACCAACCCCCAGGGAAGGAATATGGAAACAAATACGATGTACACGGTTGGTTATAGCAGGCGTGAAGCTGGCCTCGGGATCCTTAGAAAAAAAGAAAAATCGTTGGCTTTTGGTACTGATACTTTTGTCCCAATGGCTTTTGGTTCATTCGCGTCCCTGGTGAAATTCGTTCCATCCGAGGCTTAATAAAGGTCGAAACCTGGGACCTTACATCATCTGTTCTTGTGAGAGGCCACCATGAGGATCTGTATCCATGCTGTCACCACCACCAGGGGTGATGTACTTGACGTAACTTAGACCGAGAGGACGGCCGCCATACTGGTAACCCTGGAATTTAGTGATCGATGTCTCGGCGGTTGTCTGGCTGTCAAACCGAACGACGCCAGTTCCTCGGGAACGTCCGCTTGGTTCATATTGAATCTCAGCTTGGTCAACTTTTCCAATGGTAGTAAACAGCTCGACGAGGTCTTCGTTGCTTGTAGACCATGGGAGCTAGATCATAAAGTTAACACCGAGTCGAATTCACACGAGATAAAAGTCTGTAAACTCACATTGCGAACATAAATGGTATCGCTAGGCTCGGTACCGGACGTTGCATGATCAGTGAAAGGGTTCGGTGCAGCAGCAGCGGCAGCGGCAGTGTTTTGGTCGTAGGGTCCACCTCCAACACCACCGCCGCCATAGCCACCACGTCCACCATAGCCTCCAAAACCACCGCGTCCTCCGCCAAATCCTCCACGACTACCGTAACCGCCAAATCCTCCGCGGCCGCCGCCAAACCCGCCTCTGCCATATCCACCACTGCCACCTCCTGCGGAATTAGCAAAGCGATCCTCACGGACTTCTAGCAAGCGGCCTTGCCATTCATATCCATTGAACTGTTGGATGGCACTACGGGCATCATCTGGGGACTCGAACATAACAATCCCAGAGCCCTTAGGCCGACCGTCCGGACCGAGGTGAACATCAGCGCGAATCACAGTACCGTTTCGAGCTATATTTCTTTAGTTTAGTCGGAGGCCTGTAAAATGATAACCAATGCAAAGGGGGCGCGAACCTGCTTGGCGGAAGAGGTCTTTCAAATCTTGCCAGCCCACGGTGTATGGAAGCTATAATTACAGTTAATACAGAGGCAGATGCGATGGGGGTGTCGACATAGGAGCGGAAAGACAAACGTTAGCGATGTAAAGCTGGCGACTACCGCCGCCCATGCCGCCCATGCCACCACCGTAGCCGCCGCCACCACCGCCGCCGTAACCACCTTGCATACCACCACCGCCGAAGCCACCGCGGCCGCCGGTTGCTCCAATAAAGCGTGGCTCGGCCTCACGGTCCTATTTCCCGTCTTCAGCACAATATCAAATAAACGTTTCCATCGGAGAAGTCTTACTTCGCGTACGTAGACGAGCCGGCCCATCAAATTTTGGTTGCTGAGGGTGGCCACAGCCGCTTGTGCTTGCTCCCTTGTAGCATATTCCACAATTCTGCAGTCCAAGTTAGTTCAGGATCTCAACCCCTGCCACGTGTGGTTCGCCGAAGGCATAGGTGCATTACTTACCCGCATCCCTACATGACCCCATGGACAAAGGTCCCAACCCGTCAATCCATCGATCCCAACAAAGGCCAGAGAAAGAAAAACCAAAAAGAAAACCAGCCAGAATCACGTGTAAAGGCCCACCTTCGACATTCCATTCGGAAGCTGTAAAACATCGGCAAAGAGAACCTCTCCAGCTAGAATTTTTCATACGTCAGTCAAACATCCCATTAACACTACAATATAGCCTCGAGTGTGGATAACTCACCCTGTCTCATGAAATCCTTAAGATGATGCCACTTCACATCGTATGATAGGTTACCAACGTAGACACGCCGGTCCTGTTGCGAAGCGTCTCGAATGTTACTCATCATCTGTTCGCGAGCTGCGGCACGCTCCTCGAACGATCGTTGAGGTGCAGCTCCAAATCCCGATCCCGAACCTGGTCCTCCAGCCGGTGCTCCAGCGCCAGTCATGGGAGAACGCGACCGCCTGTCTGCTCTACGATATTCGTCCCGGCTCCTAGACCGGCTTCGAGGGGTGTATGAACGGCGTCGGCCCGAACGACCTGGACTCCTAGATCGACCGCGGCGGGGCGAACGAGTTCTTTCGCGCTGCAATCTAGTATTAGCATCCTGCAATGACGTACTGGACCTTATTTTGAACCTTGTCCGGCTGTAGCCGGTGTGATTAAGGGTAATTTGCTTTTGACGTTATATGGAGAGGGAAATGGTCAGGAAGAGAGTCTGTGTTCGGCTGAGGGAATGCATCAATTCAAAGCAAGGCGAGGCGAGCTCTGGGTGCTGCGACTCCCTAACAGGACTCATTGGCGTCATTTTTCGAAAGCTTCTATCGATTGACCCAGAGCCGAATCTACCTTGCCATTTCCATATTCATGTTTAGGGTAGGGTCAAGCCTGGCGGTCATGGCCACCAAGGTACTCAAAGTTTAGACTAGCCTCATATGATTCAGAGTCTTGCTTTTTAGTACCGCAAGCACCTTGCCGTAGCCTAGGCAATGTCATACCGATGGGTATGCCGACTAGGATTTTACATGGAGGGCAGAAACGTATACTCTTTCCGGGAATGCTGAGAAAAGTATGATACTTACTGGGCGATAAGTGTCGCCAGAATCAGCTGTTGAGACGGCCAGGTTAGAAGCTAGATTCCACAAACGAAGAAGCAGGGAAATTGCTCAAGAGTACAAGGAACAGTCAGGTAATATGGTTTGCGGTAGTCCCGCAGAGAACAACCAAGAGCGTTGTGAATCTCTCGGGCCGTGCTTGCATACGGGGATCAAGAAGGTCAAGCCCGTTAGTGGATCGGGGAAGGGGGCAAAGGGTTCAGGGAGTGGGGGGAAGCAAGTAATGGTCGCGAAGTATAAAAGGAGAGGCGAGATGTATATGTAGAGTGGCTGCTAATAGGTATAAGACAGCCAGAGTGAAATCTGTAGAGCCCTGTGGAAAGTCGAGTGGAGGATGCTGATTGGGCAGAGCGGAGAGCGGGTAATACGGTGATGTGGGCACTGCTACCACGGCAAACGATAGATATGCCCACGTAATGGTAGGCCAAAGCAGTAACACGTCAAGACCTAGGCAGGCAATGGATTTTGCATCCCTTGAACATGCGGCTAAGGGGAGGGGGGGATTGGTGGGAAGCCCCGGCGCCAGGTTGGTGGCCAGGTAGGGCGGGATTAACAACGGGGCCTGTGAATGTGAGTGCAGGAGGAATATGTAGGCTGTTATGTACGTGTACGCTTACAGCTTCTACATGCGCAATGGAGGCAGGTAGGCAGGGAGGAACATGCGGGAAGGAAAAGCGGGCAATAGCATACACACTCACTCACTCGATCTCTCTCACTCACGCACATACACACAGACACACAGACACAACTGTATCTGTCTCTTGGGGAGGCTTAATGAGTGAATAAGGCTGGTCAAGGAGCCGAGAGACGATATGGGTAAGGCGGGGAGCAAAACTACCGAGATAGAGAAACAAGGTACACAAGGAAAGGGGATTGGCTGACCGTAGCCAATTCTGATACAACACAGACGTATGTGCAATGAACTGCGATACTCTGTCGATAATCCAATGCAGGCAGGACAAGGATGAAAAGCGAAGGGCGAGGAAATGCAGAAAAGGACAACCGTGTAGACAGGTGTGTAAGAGAGAAATGATATGCGACTTACCCATGGTAGCAAGTTGATAGGAGGTCCTGACTTCTTGTCCTACTTCGCTGCCTTTCGAGGAAAGAAAAAAAATTTTCTTTTCTTTTCCCTAAACAGAACAGGACTTTGGGGATAGGACAGCACCAATAGCAGCAGCACTCAGGCTGTGTAATCTGTATGGAGGGGTGAGTGAGCCTTTAGAAATGACAAGGAGCAGGTCATTATGCAGGTGTTGGGGAAGAGCTGGGAGTGGGTGAAAAGAACGGGACGGGGCTGGATAGGGCCTCTTCAGCGCTGTAAGGTACCTCGGTATGTGTGTATATAGATAGGCAAATGGAGTACCTAAGACAAAAATATACATCAGAAAAGCCGTACCAGCCAGCGTTGTGTCCACCATCTACTGTTATGAAAGCAACGACGGGAGCGCCGCTGCGCCCCTGTGCATTATGTGGCTCATCACATATGCAATTGTATGGGTTGGGGGCCGTCCATCCAACCCAGAGCCGGCAACGCGAGCAATAACATGAGGTAGGTATGTGGCCATCGGAGCAGCGAGAGCCCAGGGTAGGTAGGTGGTAATGTGCCATGGCATGAGGGTGGGAGCTGGGTGAGGGGGGAGCAGGACAGACAGGCCGGCCATGGGAACACAATACGAGCACACAGGCATTACACTATAGTGCGCAATAAGGCTGGATGGCTGAGTATAGCGTGTATCGCATGGAAGCCGGATGGGATGTGTTGGGATGAGCTACCGGGATTGGGCAGATGGGGTCTGCAAGGCAACGCCAACTCCTTAAGCTCCAGAGGTCCCGCAACAGCTGGGCGTGGGCGTGGGCATGGGCGGATGTATCGAAAGACGTAGGTAGATGGGGAACTGTGGTGGTGTAGGTATGTGAAGCGCACGTAGGTATTGTATGTGTGCGTGTGTGTACGTGCTAGTGTTGCAATGGAGGAGGGCGGATCATGCAAAGTACGAAGTAGGTAGGGTCATGTACCAGAGCCGGGCGCATATGCGGCCTCAAATAGGGCCCTCCGGATAAGACTCGACGGATGGGGAATGGATGGGAAATGGATGGTGAATGGATGACGGAGCACGCAGACTGGCAGATGCCCAGCAGCAGGCGCAGCAGAGTGGTCGTGAGAGGAGACGCAAAGAAAGAGAGAGTACATACCTTTTCCAGCAACCAAGGTGGTGCGCGGTAGACAGAAGGTGACGATGAGGCGACGAGATAGGTAGGCAGACAGGGACGGTAGACAGGTAGGCAGGTAGGCAGGTACTACCAAAGGGCGACACAAGACCCCAAGACGAGCTGAGTGGTGTAGCAGGCGTTGTTGTACACACACTCGCAGACACACACGGAAAGAGGCACACAGAACTCTCCCAAGCTTCAAGAGATCCACGAGATCGTCCAATGAGAAGGAGAAATGGGCGACTGGGAGATGAACACCCTGCCGATAGGGCTTAGGTTAACTTCTGTACGAGATGGGACGGAATGAGAGGTATGTAGGTATGTAGGTATCGCGTTGATGATGGTGCGTGGTGTGGTGTGGGTGGTGGAAGAGCGTCACGTCACGTCACGTCACGTCGGTCAGACAGAACAGTCACTGGCCGGTCAGAGACTGTTGTAGGTAGGTTAGGTAGCTCTGTTGACTTGGCCGGTGGGAACAACAAGGTGGGCAGCGCTGGTTACTTAATCAGCGACTCTCGCTCGGGTATTAGGTAGATAAGTAAGTAGGTAGGTGGTAAGTGGATAGCAGGTAAAAGTAATCGGGCTAGACAGCTTAGGGTAACTGGGCATACGAAGTAGGTACTTTTGCTCAGGCTCGGCTCACCCTGTTGTCAGTCAGCTAACTTCCAAGGCTGAGTGTATAATTTATGCAGAAAGAAACAGTCCTCAAAACGAACCCCCGAGATTTAACGGCCAACTAACGATTGTACACAGAATATACACAGAGTGAAGAGTTCGTCTTATCCCGTGCCCTCAGTTTTGGCGCTTATGGCCATCATTCTTTTCGTTTCGTGTACCATTGGTCACGAAGTGGACCCTATCATCAACCTGACGAGACGTGGATCACTGCATCTAGCTCAAAATACAATGCCACCCCGTTTGTTAAATCCTTCAACAAACTACTACTTGATTGGACGATTTATTGAGAGCAAAATACAATCCTAGAGTAGGTAACATGATTTTGTTACGAACCAACAGAGCGATGGCCTATCGGACCTAGATCAGCAGACAACCCGCAGCCGGGAACGCCACAAAGTCACGTGATCAGAAAAAGATCACAGAAGCTCGGTGATCCAAGCCATTCAGGCTCACCTACGGGAGAGTGGATCAAAGAGCTTGCTAGTCTATTAGTAGAGGAAGGAATGTCGATATATTGATATATATCTTATATATTTATCATTACGAACCAACAGGAAGCCGGCCTGTGTCACAGCCAGTACAGACTTGTAACGGTCGTACCTTGAGCTTGGCAGCTAGTGGTATCCATACTATCTACAAATATTCTAAGCTAGAGAAAGGAAGAAAGAGGCGACGAGGCTTCTGTTATGAACAAAGTCATCATAGAAGAAGTGCGAAGGAGGTGGACCAGCTAGCTGCCGTCCGTTCACACCCGTCAGGATAGTCAATTCATGTCCTAACCGTTACAAAACCTCTTACATATTAAGCTACACCCAGATGAGGAAAGTATTTACATTTACACGGGGCAAATATGGATATAAAGAGATACTGTCTCGTTGTACCTACCTAGTTATTCTTTTCCCTTTCTGTCTTTCTTTCCTTCCTTCCTTCTTTCTTTCCTTCTTGACTCTTGATGGCTTTCGTTAATAGAGTAGTAGCTCCTACTACTAGCTATATCCTAACTTTTAGTACGTTCGCCGTGACGTGATATTAAGAGCCCTAAATTATTGATCAGAGACAACTTTGGCTCCTCAATTGTCGAAGACGTTGTTGCAGCGTGGTTTATCTCGATCGAAGTGTTGCAGCCGCACTTCGCAGATATTAATTTCATATCCTCAACAGTACAAAGCGTAGAAAAGAATGCCAGACCTCCACTTCATCCACCGGGCTCATGATCTTAGGCAAGTATTCCCGCTTCCATTCCAGCTCATAATCGTAGTAGAAGCGGTCGTCTGGCACCTTGAATTGTCGCGCCTTGCAATACTCCCAATATGCAGGATCCCATCTCACCTAACCCTAGTCGATGATAGCTGCTAAGTTCGGACTGTTTCTCTTCACGAGAATGTTGCACGCGACGAGGCCGTTATGCGTAAACACGACGGGTCCGGGATTTGTAACATCGATGCCAGGTGTGTCCTGAAACTGCTCGACTGCACCTACACCTGGAAGGGACCCATGACTTGTTCATTCATCGTAAAAAAGATATGTGTTAGTGGCTGTTTGTGTATACTCCCTGATTCGTGGTTCAGCCATCTGAGTCAAGAGTAGTATAATATGATGTTGTATACATGCATGTTCGCCATTGACCAATGTAGCAAGCGCCTTCGTCCTGCCTCAAGTTGCGCCACGCAGATACCGCCGTCCTTGCCGTCCTTCTCGTTCAAAGCACGGATCTGAGCCGGTGTTGGCAACGAAGCGGCTCGTTTCTCGTGGGCTGATCATTCCTATAGTAAGGTAAGGTAAGGTAAGGTACCTAGTATATTTGTGTCTCTGTATGTCTTTGCCAGGTTCCTGGTAACACACGTTACGGGAGACTGGGGAGGTTGGGAGGTAGCGAGTACCTACATACTATAGGTAATATGTAGTTAAAGGTAGATACCTAGGTAGGTCGTGATGAGAAACATTGGTACTGTGCTGGTCTAGACTTCTCGATCCCAAAACTCCATGCCAGATTGGACTTTGCCCCGTTGCAGGATGATGCAGCCTGGCAAAAGCGGAAATGCGTAAAAAAAATTATGCTGGCTGATGCGCACCTGCGCTGCGCACACACCTCATTGGTAGTGGAGATGCTGTGGGTAAGTATGTATGTAGATGACTCCATGAATACCTCCGGTAGGTATGCCGCTACTAGCACATCATAGCAAGGGCATTGGCCTATCATCGTGCGCACCAGCTAGCCCGTACGAAGTACTGCCCGGCGATATGCGGTTCGACCATCTTACAGAGTACAGATTTCAGGGACTCGCATGCCTTGCCGAGCTTGCCTAGGTATTGTGAATTCTCTGGTGGGCTCGTACTTAACACTCTGTGTCTAGTTAAAACCGAGTCATTTTCCCCGTTATTGTTTCAAGAGCTCCATTTGTGCATGTTCACCCCTCACTTTCCAGAAGTGATATTACATCAAGTATACGGGTGCATATAGCTTTAGCTCATATCTGTGGTATCTGATTAGACTTTTGGTCGTTTGCTTTGTTCTGTAAACTCAGGTATGTATAAGTAGGTAGTATATTTTCGCATATATATGGTCGTCATATAGGAGCTAATTATTGCTAGCCTTAGATGTCAGCCACATAATTATAGACAACCAACATTGACAAGTAGCCTGTTTGGGTCTCCCAGGAAAAAAGAGGCGTGATTTGTCTAAGGTGAGCCAGTTGAAAGATGATTGGACCTGGATCGAGGGCATTTCATGGAAAGATTTCAGGTTGATGGCTTTTGAACATGCAGCCTCGGGTTTCCTAGAACTTACTTACCTTACGACCCTTGTCTTCTTGCGAGTTTCCACTATCGGTCTCCACAACTTAGACCTGCCTACTGTACAATATGCTTGTTGCAAGTCAAATTCTTCTTCAACCCAACCATCTAAATGGAGGCGATTCACGGCCACGTGGGTTGAGGATACCCGCAGAGAATACGACTGTGATAAGATTATGGCCATACGGGAGTCGATGAACAGCATATGACAGTCGGGCTTTTCTTGGCGCTTATCCATAAATTATCTATCTCTGCTACAAGACTGCATATGTATGTAGCTGCCTAGTAGGTGCTCAACTACCTTTTGCTCTGTTAACATTTCCCTTTGCTTCGAGAAATAGCTACTATGTTTACTGGGTTATACTTAGTTTACACTATTAGCAGCCGAAGTTGTGGTCCGTGTTTGCAGGCTACAAACCACAGTCAGTGTGAGTTTACGGATGCTACTTATTGCACGACAATTTTCCGGGCGAGCGAGAGATCGTCAATTTCCGTGTATTGTGTTCCACGCAAATCTCAACACCCTATTCATTAGAATATCCCTCGGATAGTGGCCCAGTGGCTCTGTGCGCAAGGGAAAAACACTTGGACGCTGTGCACCTCACATCACCACTCGTTTTGACGTTCCTTGCTCGCCACACAACGTGGCATATGGCCCTGTCAATCACTCATACAGATGCTATGTGACATTGAGTTTTTATTACTATTATTTTATGCTCAACCCCTGTCCGAGAATCCATTGGGGAAAATCTTGTGGCCTGGTTTGGCCGTACTAGGTACACATGTGAGTCACTCCTCTATTAATCAGTTCCCGTAATTTGACACTAGAATTACTGTACTAGCACCTGAAAGAGGCGCTGACACAGCATCTACTACGGCTTACATTGGTCAGCTCTTCCATAAGACTAGAATATAACTAATCGCAGGGAGAATTAACAGTGAGTGAACAGTGTCCAATATCTATCTCCTCTACTATATGTACCGGTCACCATAGAAGAGCAGGTACCTGCTTATATTAGAATTTCCAGCGTTAACATAACACTGTGCTTTGGCTTTCCGTACATGTGCAATTATCTACACCGGTAGTATCTAAACTTTTTATTGGTAACAGAAGGGCTAACTGATCTTGCCGTCGTGGCCAGTGATTTGTCAATTTTGTCACTGTAGTTTCTAGGCGCCATGAGATACTTTTCAGTGCGGGAATAGGTAGTTGCATGCCACCCACGCTTTGGTCTCGCTGTATGGGGGCATAGCTTGAAAGAGGGTCACCCTTTGACGCACCTAGTATTATAATCTATCGATGGAGTTAGGACACCGGCGGGAGTATGCAGAGTTTCGTACTGCAAAAGACACAGATTATTACAGTCTCCTGGATACTAATAATGAATACATGCAGGATAGTGGCCCCCAAGCCATCGAAGCACTCCAAAGATCCTGCAGTGGCACTCACAAAGAGATTACGAAGGCCCATCTATGCCTAGGTAGACGCCAGGAGGACGCCAAAAGGAAATGAGACATCCTAGGTCCTACACAGTGGTGTACTGACCAGAGCGATGTTCATGCAGCACATTGATAATTACTTGACAACAAAACTTCTCAAATACGGCCTCGTAATATACCTACAACCCAGTGTGGGACGATAAGTAGACGATCAAGAAAGAAATTGAATCGATTCTTCCCATATGAGCCTTATATCGAGTCGAGCTGCGGTAGAAATAGGACCCTCATCAAATGCGACTATTAAGACAATCGGGTTTTTAGCGAGACACTGAATTTGCAGCTTTGATCTGCATTATGCATTGTACAAATTGTTGGTGCACAACCACCGATTCTCCGGTAGCTTCCGTTGTCTAAATTCCATATATTTAAGTGTTTCGGTTACTGGCAACGATATCTATCCAAACCTCATAAGGTCCAACATTGACAGTCTACAGTTCAACTAGGCACATGTGCTGACTCCGAGTAGCACTCCGCTCGATTGCGAACTTAGGAATGCTGTATCAATAGCTCTGTTGAGTAGGGCCTGCATGGCTAACACCTGGAACGAGACTGACAGATAAACAATGTCGAGCATGAACTCACCGCCTTCAGGCAAACGACTGCCCTGCTGCCTACAGCTAGCAGGTCAATATACCCGTTATCCCTGCCGACCTACCTACGAATGTCACCATTGGTGTGGGTTGGAAAATGAACACGAATTATATCTCGAAGCAGCCGCTTCACCATGCTTTAGTGAGATGTGGCTAAAGACTCTCCAGGACTCGGTACCTAGGTACGCAACCAACCTGCAATCTACCTGCTCAAATTTTGAGTAGCAGTGGTAATACAATCATTTCCTGGGCAGGCTTGTGAGCCATGTACCTGCCATGTAGTCTCATTTTTCGTTCACCGACATTGAGACACGGTCCATATAACCTAATCATTGTGAATGAATGCGTTATGGTTTTCACAAGAGATAGGACTGACCTATCCACCTCGGAGCTGGTTCTACAAATTAAATTAAAGTCGTGTAACACTGCCTTATTAAAATTGAAGACATGGGGATCGATCAATATTGAATCTTTCAATATATTCTTATTGGGAACGGCACGTTCAAAGGGCCAAATGGCGGATATTAGGGTAGTTACTTTTTATATGGCACAATTCCTCCACAGCTCCGGCCGCTTGAACTTGCTATCAAAAAAGGCTCTTTGTATGGTAGATCCTGCTGAGGCAGAGGGTGGTTGGCTGTCTATGAAGAAATGAATCAGTAATACATACCTCACAGCCGCCGATGTGCTTCTCCATGGCCCTCCGCCAATAATGTCATGGAGCCAGGTATGTGGTGAGTCACCTCACCTGACCCTGGCCCAGACCAATCATCCACAATAACCTATATAACCCTTGCTTCAACCTACCAATAGCTGGGGCGCCGGCTGCTTGCTCTCATGTACGTCGATGAATTGTTAGTTCGATTACCATGGATGGCAGACAGCCTTGTACGTTGGCTTATTTCTCAAGTTTCAAGATGGTCTAGGTATATTATAGATGGCTCATATAAATCTTGTGCATTACCCGTAGCCTAGTTTTCCTCCCCAACAGTAAATGATAGTACCTAGCTGTGTTATGATAAGACACCTTGCCATGATCCTAAGAATGTGATGACTAGACGTATTTGTACCGTAGCTTTTTAGCATGTAGAGCTCTTGGCAGAAAGATCCCGTGCTTCGGAACATGTTGAGGCTTGGCTTGAAGGACGTTGTTGAGTAAACACCCGTGAGCTGACGTACATACATATGTAATAAGTGGATACCGGTGAAGTACATGGTGCGAATCTTAGTGGCTTATCGGGGTATTAGAACTTATCGGATAGGTATTCAGACAATCCTCATGATGTGATTTCGGGAGTATTGAGGTTTCGCTCTGAAGTGGCCAACATCAACGCACGTAGTCATTGGCATTCCTCCACATACATCTACAATGGCACCGTCGAGGGCGCTCGCACGCCTAAACCTACTTCGCCGAGCCCAGCCAGCAGTCCGACGGCCCTACCATTCTTACGACCACCCAGCGCCCCCTGGTGCCTTCAACACATGCGAGCAATCCATCCTCTCCGCGGCCTACAAACACGTCCCCGAACACGGCTTCACACAGCACGCACTGTCTCTTGGCGCCCGAGATGCTGGGTATCTAGATATTAGTACCAATTTACTCCCCCAGGGCCCCTTCAGCCTGATCCAGTACCACCTCGTGACGCAACGAGAGGCGCTGGCGCCTCGTCGCGACGCCATCTTCGCCGAAGATGCGAGCGCTACCACTGTTCCTGCGCGTGTGGAGCGGTTGACGTGGGAGAGGTTACTGGGCAACCAAGAGGTGAATCACAGGTGGCAAGAGGTCTGAGCAATGCCCATCTCCCTTCACATAACTCGAGACTAAAGTGCCCAGGCCCTGGCTATAATGGCCCAGCCAACCCACGTACCGGCATCGCTCCATGAGCTCGCGCTCCTGGCTGATGAGATACACTTTCAGGCAGGCGACACCTCCGTCGATCCTTCGTGGTACACGAAGCGCGGCGGCCTATCCATAATCTACGCCTCGTCCGAACTGTTCATGACGAACGACCAATCGCCGGGATTCAGAGAAACGCGAGCCTTTTTACAACGCCGCTTCGCTGAGGGTAGCACTTTATCCAATGCTGTCGGTGGTCTCACACAGTGGATTGGCTTTACTGCCTCGGCTGGTGTGAATGTGCTGAGAAGTAAGGGTGTGAGGATATGAAAAAGACTTGGTTTGAATTAGAGAGCTTCCATTAAACTATGTACTATTAATTGTCGATATGAATGATGGTAGATATGGACTGCTAGATGGAGCTATCCCGTATATGTATAAAGCATGTCTATTTCTGTACCAATAGCAGTTGGGAAGAGATTTTCTCACCATGTGTCACATATGGATGCATAGGAGCAGCTTCAAACATCTTGTTGCATATCAAATAGGCGATCCACTAATAGTAAAGCCATCTCGATATAAGGCTGAATCGAAGCCTCTTTATCTATGGTACTCACTCTAAACATGTCATACCACCAGACGCGCCAAAAATGCTGCGCGTGGTCTATCAGTGGCATTTGCCGCGTAGCTAGCCCGAACATACCTGCTTTCCATGAGCGAATATTGACCTCCGAAACGAAACCCGGGTCCCCAACTCCGTACATAAGCTATCGTCAACCAAGAAAGAGAATTCACGGATTCGATCTCAAGACATTGATGGATATTTATTGCATCATCTCGGGGAGACGTTGTTGACGAGGGTCAGTGAGCCTGTCAGCATATTAGTTTACGAGTGGCTTCACTCTTTGAGTTTGCATCCATACCTGATGATCTTGACATCCTTATCAAGCTTCGCTCTGCCTTCAATGGCGTTAGGTGTAATTAGGACAAACTGTTTGCCTACCGAGCGACGAGCAGCACCAATCTACCCATTGGTTAGTTTCACCGTTGTATCATTGCATCGTGTCGTAAATGCTTTACTTACAAGCATGTTTGTGCTAATTGCACGGTTGACGTTATCCATGAAGACGTCAAACTCGTCCAGGCAACGTAGTGGAGAGCCCATGGCATCCCAAATAGCGAGAAGAAGACAAATAGACGAGAAAGACTTTTCGCCGCCCGAGAGCGTCTTTGTATTTCTTCCTCGACCGTTCTCTCGCGTCTTGTCTGGCTCAACAATAACCTCAAGTTTCCGGGATCTGTGGTCGAGGAGAAGCTGGCCCCTAAAGCCACGTTCGCTTAAAAGATAGCCAAAATTGCACCGTGCTTGTGCCGATACATGCCTCTGAAATTCTCGATACTTGGCCAGGCGATCCATTAAAGCCTTCTTCAGCGAGTCAGACGTCATCCGGATGTTCTTGACACCCTCCTTGGCGTCACGGTACTCCTGAGTCGCTTGGGTGGCACGAGTGTTGATTTGTTCCTCCGAGGCACCCATCTGTTGTCTTAATTTACTCATTTGCTCACGTATCGACTCATACTTGCGCTCGATGCTCTGGTAGGTTTCCCCTTCGGGTATGTGTACCCGCGTGGGCGCAATATTACTAGCTTTTTCAATATAGTCCTGGACGAAGTCGGCTTGGCGATCCCGAGAAGTTTCGGCTTGTGTTTTCGCCACCTTTGCAACCTCATGATTTTCGTGGGCCATATTCTTCTCACTTAGAGCGATGTGTCTGGTTTCCTTAAGTCTGTTTACCTTATCCTTGGCTTTGAGGACCTGCGCTTTATGATCTCGCGACATCAGTTTAGCGTCATTAATCTCTTGTTTGAGATTTTCGATGTCCGTATTCATCTCTCGCTTCTTGATAGCAACTTCGGCATACTGATTGCCATAGTGGTCTTTCTTCTCTTGCGCTTCTTGAAGATCATTTTTGAGACCTTGAAGCCTATCGTCGATACCTTCAAAATTGTCGAGCTCTGCCTCGATACGATGTATGGCAACTTGGGCATTAGTGAATTCGTTGTTTAGCTCTTTGCTACGTCGGCGGTGCTGTGCGACTGCTTGCCTAGCACGTTGAACTGCCTGCTCTGCAGTTCTTTTCGAACCTTCGAGATCCCGATATTCAGCCTGAAGTTGCGTCACCAGATCCTTATAATAAAGAACTTGACTATCTTGATCTGTCTTCATGCGTGGTTTATGCCCAATATTAGTCGTAATAGGACTTGTAGAAAGATTGCCGCGAATGTTTGTGATACGGGTACCATGGCCCTTTTTCTTTTCCTGGAAAGCAAGGCATACCCCTGAGTTTTCGGGAAGGCCATCAAACATCACATTTTCTGCCTCAGCTCGGTTTTCAATAAGAAGGGTTTGCTCGATTTGATGATTGATGATCATATGATCACGCACACGTTTGTCGTCAAACTTCAACACCCTCAGTATAGTATTAAATCTTGCATCTGGCTCTCTCAGATTGTCTAGAGATGCCTTCCCTATGAAGACAGGACATCCTTGAATCCGTAATCTGTCCATGTGACCCATGAGACGTACCTGATCTGGCTTACTTTCGACGATAAACCCACTCAGACTTGGTCCAAGATACTTATCAAGGATAGGCATCCACTGGGTTTTGGTGAGTTGTACATACGTCCCCAATGGTCCAATAGGTTTGTGTATGAAACCACGGTCTTCCTCGATATGTTTGAGAAGTTGGCGAAGTCTGTTATCGAAGGCATCAAGTGGATCTTTTCGTCTCTGATCGAGAGCTCGCAAGCTTGATTCTGCAGCTTGAACGTCGCTTCGCTTCTGCGCAAGAATGCTGGTGGGCTCTTTCGTCTCATTGAGTGCTTCTTGTTCTGCCTCCTCCAGGGGTTTAAGGCCAGGTCGATGTTCTGCTATCATCTCCTTGATTCTCGCTTCGTGCCGACGAGCTTCATCGAGTTCCTTCTGTTTCTCAGTAACTATCCCACCATTCATCTTCTCCAGCCTCTGTTCTTCTTCACGAATCGACTGTTCGTACTTTTTGACAGTCTTGGCCCAATTATCAAGACTGCCGTGCATTTCTCTTTCTTGAGAATGCAGTGTTGCAATAGCTTCCTTTGCAGTTTCAAAGCGTTCCTTCACTTCTCGTACTACATCATCTGCTTGGCCATCTTCTTGGGTACCGGTTTCTAAGGCTTCTTCAGCTTGCTTTATCCTGTTGTCGATGGATTCAAGTATGTGGGCTTTCTCAGCTATTATCTGCAATGTGTTGGTGATTTGCTCTTGTGCTGCAACAATAGCATCTTCTTTTCTTTTGAGTATTTCCTCTTGCTCCTCCACTTGAGCCCATGCTAACTGATCCTTGTATACATGAGCCCTGTTGCGCATTTCATTCGATTTGCTGGCGGCATCCCTCAGCTTGACTGCCTTCTCGTATTTGTCTTTCAGATACGCGAGGTTCTCCTCAAGCTCAGTTAGCTTATTCTCCTGGTCCTCGAGATATTGGGTCAATGTCTTATAATCATCATCGAGTTGTTCAAGCTGAGTACCCTTGACAAAGTATGAATATTTCATTGCAGGTGTGGCGGCATTTAGAAACTGTCTAGCGTTATCCTGAGACAGGACATTCAGAGGGTTGTCGACTTGGAGACAATACCACTCGACTATATCATCCACTTCGGCCTTTTTGGTGGACATTATTCGGCCGGCGGCTGATTTGACCTTGAAGCCGCTAGAACCAGTCTTGGTGAACCATCGCTCGCAGACGATGGAGTCACCGTATAGATCGGGCTTGTAAGCGTCTTCGCCCTGATTCTTGAGCCTGACTACCAGGCTCGCATGCTCGGTGCCTTCCTTGACGAAACTTTTCAAACTGCCACCACGGTTTGTAGCACTGGCCTTTCCACCGAGACATAATGTGATGGCGGTCAAGACAGCGCTTTTGCCACTACCATTCTCGCCGACAATGAAGTTTAGGAGGGGGCCAAGCTCGACGTGGAGCTTGACGTGGCACATAAAGTTGATGCAGGTGATGCTCTCGATAATGGCATTGTCAGCTGCATGGTTATCGCCAATGATGGTGGGGCGTTCCCTAAGGCGCTGAGTAGCGCGCTCGTCGTCTTGTTCGATGTGCTCCAGATGTCTGAAGTCCTGATCGCGGATGAGCTCATACTGTGTTGCCGGAGGGGGTGTTGGCTCATCTTCGGCTTCGGGCATAGGCTCGTCATTTTCGTCATCCACATGGTTGCGCCTAGGAGGTTTTCGACCTGCGTCGTTGGTAGAGAGACGGGCTTTCTTTCGCTGCTAATGTATGGTGTTAGTTCATCTGTGTCTTTGGAGCTGCTAATAACATGACAGGCTAACCGTCTGGTTTCGAAGACTGGAGCTCGCTGCGGTTTCGGTGATAGTGTAATCATCGGTAGATGCGTCCTGGTTGAAAGCGACCTGGCGCGAGCGTTTAGAAGAGGTTGTAGAAGGCATATTGATATTGGCCCGGTTCTAGCGAGGATTGATGCTGAGTTCGTAATACTAGGTACCTTAAGTGCCCGCGGGCGAACAGCATCATGGGTCTAGAGATACTTAAAAGCGTATTGCTCTATCTCTCCTGCTCTTCCTGGACCGTGGTACGTAGTAGCAATTTCAGATGAATGCCAAATCGTTCGAACTATCAATTCCAAGGTTCTTACTAGAGGAGTAGGTGCATGTGAAGTGTAGTGTAGTTGGCGTGCAGGTAGGGCGCAACGCGTAGCTGGCGTCCGCGCTCTGCCTAAACGCGACGGGACGCGATGAGCACTGAGCTCCCACTAAATATGCCCCAGTTGCCTGTAAGTAAGTACCTACCTAGGTACCTGTATTTAATCTCAAAAGCCACCCTCACCCCACTTCTGCAGATCAGTGCATAGGTACCTAGGTAGGTAGGTACCTAATGTACTTACACAGTACTTACATTATTGCTTAGGTACCTACTTACCTAGCAACCTTATTATACTTACTTAGCTTCAAAGGTTTGGTTAGTAAGATACCTACCTACCATATGTAGGTAGATATCATGGTATATGAAAAATTAAGTCTTGAGGCGCCGAGCTCTCTCTCTCTTCGACCCAAGGGGATGATCTTTTTCATATAGCCCTTCCTAGCACTCTGCTACCAATCTCGGCGTCTCCTTGTCAACCTATACCATCAATAGGGTTTCTCAACCTTGCTATCTTAAGCATGGATCTCCAACAAGGGAACCACCACATGTTTCAAACTGGATCCGAACCATTTCCTAGGACTCTACCCGATAACTGCGTTGAGTACATGCTGTTCATACTTGAAACTGCGTCCGAGCCTCGTGCCTTGTTGGCCGAACTAGAAAATATCCGTAGGAGTGCCATGCAGTTGTGCCTGACCACAACCAAGGACTACATCTGGCAAAGAGATTCCTTCCAACTCCAGGTCAAGAGAGCAGATGGATTAGTCTATCTACACGGAACGACAGATTACGGCGATTCCATCGAGGATGAGTGGCTAATAGTCTACTTGCTAAGGACCCTGACCACGACTTTCCCATCTTTATGGGTTCGAGTGTTCGACAGTGATGGCGAGTTTCTCCTAGTCGAAGCAGCCAACATTGTTCCAAAATGGCTGAGCCCAGAGATTGATAGTAATCGCACTTGGATACACCAGGGAAAGCTGAAGCTTATTCCCCTGTCCGCCAGCTCGGGGGAGAAACGGCCTCTTACCTTGATAGAAGCAGTCAGCTATATCAGACTGCACCCAGACGCTTTAGTGCACTCTCCATTCATAGAGGCTGAAGCATTTTATCGCCTGGAGAAGTATCCGGACAATATCAGAGCCTTGATGCATCATTCTCTCATCACTATACCCAGGAAGCTGGTATTCATTCTTCATGAGCAGCCTGCAGCAATCGCCCCGGCTACTGAGGCCTTTTATTTACGAGATCCCACGGCTTTGAAGCCACTGATGACCGCGTCCCCGGATTTGCATTTCCCTCCCAAAGACTTAGTAACAGTTAGTGTTAGATTCACTAAAGTAATATTTGCACAATTCAAATCTCAGCAATTCACTGTGCCACCGCTTTGGAGTGATATTCTCAAGCGAACTCAAGAAGGCTCGAGTCCTATCACGGAACAGGAACGAAAACAACTAGCCCGCCTTGAGCTAGGAATGAAAGTGGCCAGCGGCTTTGAGATCCTTGCTGCAAGCGCCAGTAAGAAAGATAATCGTTTAGCACGCGAATTCGCAATTCTTCTTGAAGATGTGGAGGAAGATGGCGACAATGCTCTACCTACTGACGAGGACATCACAACTTGGCCAAACATCAACCGAGAAGATGACGAGGCTTGGCTGAACATCGATTTCGAAGACTTCGACAATGAGCTACAGGGGAGGCGGAGAGGCGGGGCGGAGAAACATAAAGGGTTTGGCGACTCCAAAGCCCAAGCCGACCTGCGCAAAATAGTGTCTCGTTTCCAAGACTTTCTTAACGACGAAACGGCAGGTATTGAGGGAGCCGAGCTAGACGATATGGACGAAGATAATGATAGCTCAGATGAGGGCGGTGAAGGGCCCGAGCTTGACGACGACAGCAGTGAGGATGAAGACAAAGCAGTCAGCTTTGATGAGGACCAGTTCAACCGAATGATGAGGGAAATGATGGGTATGCCTCCAGAAGACGTGACAGATCTTCCAATGGCGACCTCGTTGGAGAGATCTCATGAGAGGAAGGGAGACACAAAAGTGGAAGATGAGGGCGGAGAAGAGGAGGAAGATGGAGAAGCCATTAGACAGCTCGCAGCACAGATGGAGGCTGAGCTGAGAGAGTATGGAGCACTGGGTTTGGATGTCAAGCAAGAAGGAACCAGGGCTTTGAATTCTGAAAAAGACCTGGCTGTTCAATACAAAGGTGAAGATGCTGAGGAGGCGGTCGAAGACAGTGGTGACGAAGAAGTTGACATTGACTACAATTTGGCAAAGAACCTCCTCGAAAGTTTCAAGAGCCAGGCCGGATTAGCTGGTCCAGCTGGCAATCTGATGGGGATGATGGGGATGAAGCTACCCCGGGATGAAGATGAAGATGAAGAGCCGGAAGATCAGAAGTAGGTAGACCTTGTATATAAGATAAGTAGAGAAAGAAACCCCTGAATATCAAGTCGGTCTATATTGACCTTCACAGGTAGTTTCCCGGCTACGACACCCTTGTCTCGGTACGAGTAGGCACTGTGCTCGTCTGCCTACTGCAGCACGTATCCCGGTATGTATTTGCTGCGCTGCATATGTATCTAGGTGCTTATAGGCGTGGTACCTAAGGCTTGATGTTGGAAGTCTGTATCTGCTTTTCATAATGAAGCGGCAGTATGGGTTGTGATGTGGTACCTATGGAAGAAGGATTGCCCAGGTGCTAGGTACCTATTATGGTACCTAATATAGAGGTACCTACAGGTATTAACTGTAGGTAGGTAGGTAGGTACATAGTATGAGGTATGTACAGGTGTACTACCTTAGGTAGGCACCTAGTAGGAACATGGCATTAACCCCCGCCATTAGTGCCGTAAGGCCGCTGTCATCTACATACCTAGTACAGCCACCTTAACGATTTCCTACGACGTCACAGGGTGAGTGGTAGAAATGATTGCTACATCAATTCAATTCTACTTTGTTTACACCACGCCGGTGGTGATTGGTTTAAAGAAGACATTCGCGCTCCTTCACAACATATCAGTTCACAGACTAGGAATACTATCCATGTCTTTCCGTAGTGAGCCTTGCAAGCAGGCGAGACTGGTAGCACGTTCGCACTATTGTCGTGTCCTTGCCGCTTCCCGGGGCCTCGTCGTGCCGCCCTACGCTCAAAGCTTGTGATCGTGTACCACAATTGCATTTGCGACAATATATAGTACACCCTTTTACGACCATATTCCAGCGACAACGGATAGAGAAGGAGTGGAAAATAATAATCAACCAGTGTCTTGGCGATTGCCTCGGTGCGATCATGTGGTCCAGCAGAGGCTTAGCAAGCCTACAGAAGACATACGACGAGAGCTACTTGAAGTGCTCAACCGCCGTCTATTATGAGAGTCAGGTATCCAGTCAGCTCCCAACGACGATACTTGGTGTCTTGCTTACTAACAGGATTACCCACAGGGTGATGAAAAGGAGGCTACGCTTTGCTGGAAGAACGCGCTTGAACAGATTCGAACCGGCACAGCCAGTAAAAAACATGGCGACTACGCGCCTAAATCCGAGACCGAGCGCACCCTCGTTCAGAGCTTGCGCGAGCTGGAGTCCCAATGCAAGGAGAGGATAGATCTTCTCGAAGCCCTACGACTGTCCCGGCAAGATTTTCAGGTTCTAGACCATGCACCGCAACGACAAGGGGTTGGGCAAGCTGGGCAAGATGACCGTCCATCTCAGTCCTCCACACCGAGTAAAGGATGGATCGGGGATGGAACCATACCTGCCATAACATATACTGAGCTATCAAAGCCACCTCTGCCCCAGCGCCCCTCTCTAGCCTCTAGGAGCTCTTCAGATCGGGCGGCTGTTGGTCGCCGTTCGTCAATAGACCAAATCCTAGACCAGTTCGAAGCTACATCCTCCGCACAGGCACCGTCTCTGCCTCCCTACAGTTCCATACCATCATCATCAAAGGGTGTTCAAAGGTCATCTAGTCCTGATAAGAGGACAATGCGTACAACACTCCGGTCAGGCATGTCAGACAAATCACTCAGGTCCACCCGAATGACTCCTTCTAAATCCAGCAAAGGTCCTGGTGCCAGTAAAGCAGCCACATTAGCATGGAGCAGCCGTAACTCGAGAGCCAGTCTAGATGCTACAACAGATATCCGCCATGCATCACCCCAGCCTGCCGAATTAAGGCATTCTCATGATCAACCACGACGTAGCACAGCGACGAACCAAAGCTATTGGGACAGCCATACGAGAAGGCTGGTTGAAACACACAGCCAGCCGACAATACCGAGCACCGACTTCTTATCAGACACTGAATCAACTCCACGCATATTAGGTGACGACGCCACGACTGCACCGTCGCCACTTGCTTTAGGCGCGGCTTCGAGCGCTTTGAATGCACTTTCCTTGCAAGAACGTGCAATACCAAACTCAGCTGGTAAACGGCGGCCATTGCCCAAAAGTTTTTCAAATCAAGACGTCCAGCATGGGACCCCCAGGGGCTCCAGTTCGGGACCAGCAAAAGCCCCAAAAGGGGACCACCAGACACACAAAGGCTTGCAAGTGGAAGACAAATGTGATGAACCAAGTACTAGCTCAAATAAGCTTAGTCGTTATCACTCCAGCCGTCAACGAGAAGAGGAGCCAACTTCGTCAAGCGAAGATATGGCACCAGGCTCACGTCAGTCACAACGAAAGGGCAAGCAAAAGACTACACCACTGACCGACGATTCTGATATCCAGTCGCCAGATAACCCTAGGGAAGATGAACACAGTCACAGCAAGAGTCAATGGGAAAGGGAAAAGAAGAAAATTCTTAGAAATCTCCCACCTGGTATTGACGAGTCAGCCGCAAAGGCTATATTTAACGAGATTGTAGTGGAAGGGGATGAAGTTTATTGGGGCGATGTAGCTGGTTTGGAAGTGGCTAAAAATGCCTTGAGAGAGACCGTAGTGTATCCTTTCTTGCGACCCGACCTATTCATGGGCCTACGCGAACCTGCCAGAGGCATGCTGCTCTTCGGGCCCCCAGGTACGGGCAAGACAATGTTGGCTCGCGCAGTTGCAACAGAGTCGAAGTCTACGTTCTTTTCCATATCAGCGAGTAGTCTTACGAGCAAATACCTTGGTGACTCAGAGAAGCTAGTTCGTGCTCTGTTTGCTCTGGCAAAGACATTAGCTCCTAGCATCATATTTGTTGACGAAATTGATTCCTTGTTATCCCAGAGGTCGGGGTCAGGCGATCATGAATCAACTCGGCGAATCAAGACAGAATTTCTAATCCAATGGAGTGATTTACAACGAGCCGCAGCAGGCCGTGAAAGCCCAGGAAGCACTAAAGATCGAGGAGACGCGAATCGAGTCCTCGTCTTGGCGGCGACCAATTTACCATGGGCCATCGACGAAGCTGCCAGACGTCGGTTTGTAAGACGGCAGTACATCCCTCTGCCGGAGCCAGAGACTAGAGCCACCCAATTCAAGACGCTACTCGGACAGCAGACTCACAACCTCACAGATGCCGACATTTCAACATTGGTCGACTTGACAGATGGTAGGATTACTGCTAACCAGAAGATTGGTAACGATAACATACTAACGATATCGCACTAGGCTTCTCTGGATCTGATATTACAGCGCTGGCAAAGGACGCTGCTATGGGTCCGCTCCGTTCTCTCGGTGAAGCTGTCCTCCACATGACCATGGATCAGATTCGGCCGATCGAACTGAAGGATTTTCGGGCCAGTCTTCGAACAATACGGCCCAGCGTGGATAAGGCAGGACTAAAGGAGTACGAAGAGTGGGCTAAGCAATTCGGTGAACGTGGTGGTTGAGATCAACCCACTCGGTGGCAGAAGAGTCATATCTGCCTTTTATACGTTCCAACAGAAGACAAAGCTTCGTAACCGTGTTCAGCTGATTAGTGCCATCAATACTAACTTTAACATATCTGCTGGGCTTGAATATTGGTCTCCATCCATCTTAGCCAATGGTATGCATAAGTATTGTTACATTATTCGAATATATCATGTATACACACACGCGTATATATATATTCATATATATTGATTCCCTGCCATGTCTTCTAGCGGGTCTATTCCTACACATCTCTCTCCTCACTTCGGAGACTGAGGAAGGGATGAAACATTTTTCGTTATACCGGCTAATTGTCGAATATAAACAGTCGCCATTCGATTTTGCGCGTTTGATTCTCTCCCCTGCCTCAGCTCTTCAGTTATCATCCGTAATCTTCAGCAATATCAGTATATGGTAGAGTTAGCTGAGTGACTACCTCTTAACGCCAATACCCAGTCTGTCATTCATTCATATCAAGCGTCACGAGACATAGGCAGTACGGCTCTTCTTCAGAGTGCTGCTATACGGATAGCACTGTTATGAAGCCGACGGCTCCACGGCTCTCCCCGCCTCCTCCAAGATTTTATTAGTACCGCTCGTAGCGACGCCCGCATCAGCGGCAGAGCGGCGAAGCATCCTCTGCTCGTCTTTGGCGTTGCGCTTAGACATGCGCTCGGAGGCTCGCTCTTCTAGGCTCGGGATGGGCGGCCGCTCGTCGATGCCGACGCCATACGGCGCAATGATGTGCTTCACTACGTGTCGCACGTGCTGCGACTCGCGCCACGACGGTGTGATGGCTACTACGTCGCCCTGGCGCAACGAGTTGGCTGGATCGTGGACGAGTTTGTACCGCGGGGCTTTGAACCACTGTTGGCAGACGAATACATTAGTGATGCGCATCCAGTCAGGAAATTCGTTAAGGCAAGGGTGGTGGTAGTGAATAGATGCTCGTAGTTAATTGAGAGTGGAACATACCTTGTGAACTCTCTGCTCCCACCTCTGGCCACCCAATCGTACCTTGACGGTCTTGTCCATCAGGCCAGCCGACACAACGATTCCGTGCATCTCCTTGGCCGCCCTCCGCAGCCCGGCGGCGATTTCCGACGCCATCTCCTTTGGGTGCCTGTCTGCGGCCCTCTTTTGCTTTTGCGATAAGGTCGGTTTCGTTATTTTTATGGTTGTCGGAAGCTAGAGGTTGGCTTGCGAATCGTCTCGGCAGACGGCGTGACTGATTCGAGGTAGTCGTCGATTGATGTGTTCTAGAATTGTAGCTCAAGGATTAGCGGGTCCCTGGAATTTTATTTGGAGGTTGCGGCTTATCGCTCCAGCACTTAGAGTACAGTAGGTAGGTACTTATGATTGGTAGGCGCCCACACTACCTTTATGTACTCCGTACCTACGAAGGATTTCCTGCCGACGGCCAATTATCTATAGATACATATGAGCATCAAAGCCCAGAGACTCGGTAATGATGAAATCAACGTGTAGATGCTTGGGAAGAAAAAAAAAATGAAAATGAAAAAGGCTTTTATCAGTCACTCATCTCCCTTGGATACGAATGAAGTACAATATGCCACGCCAATGCGCCTCTTATTCGGAACAGTGTATACATGGATTGAAATGGATAATATCTTTAATTGTTCGTCCTAACTTCATGTCATGTACCTATTATGTGTGCTATGCCTCACCTTGTCTCCTACTGGATCCCAGCAAGCTAGTCTCCTCATCAATAGGAGCAGTCCTTACTTTTACCTCGTTTGGCTTGGCCTTTTGCAGACTCAGCCATATCGCCGCGCCGATAATCAAAACGCTACCGACGAGACTCAGCACCGGTGGTGTCGTTCCCCAGATGACTCGCTCGATGATAAGCGCTAGCACCATTTGAAAATACTGAGAATACGGTGAAAGTTAGCAGTATACTCTGACCATTTCACGTTACTCCTCTTGCGCCTTACCGTCATATTCGTCGCTCTACCGCCTTTCTCTCGTTGTAGTCCCTCGGTCAACAGAAATTGTAGAAGGAATCCAGATATGCCGATGATGAGCAATAGGGACCACTGCAGAGCTCCCCTGGGAAGGATGAATTGGAGGTCTGGGTGAACTAGGATAATCAGGCCAGAGGCAATCGTTGACAATCCCGCAAAATAGTTTACACTAATCAGCGAATGGACTCGTTTACCGATGACCCGGATTGTGCTGTAAGCCGTTGCGGCTGCGAAGGTGCCAAGGATAGAACAGATTACAGCAAGCGTCCGCCGCGGTGAGGAAGGAGAGCCTACGACTGGTGGGCTGTCCAGAGATCCGTCTACGATGAACATCGTCACTGCAAAATTTTCCAGATCTGGCGCTGACACACTTGGATTTCTAACCAGAAATGCCGGTCGCGCGATAAGGAGAACGCCAACTAGGGAAATGAGGCCCGAGACCGCCTCTTGGATGCGATATGGCTCCTAAATAAGGTGTTAGATATCATCTATTGCTTCCCACAGCAGACACCGTTAATCCCCAATACAACTCACATGTAGCCAGATATAGCAAAGAAAAGCAGTCCAAGTTGGCACTAGGAAGGATATGGCGGTAGCATCTGATATTTCCAAATATGAGAGCGAGTCTATGAAAGAACGTTAGCAGACTTGATACTCATTCAGTCATGTGCCAAGAGATATGCATTCATTTCCTGTGAATCCTCCTCAAGGATCGAAATAGATGCCACTCACAGTACAGGCCGAAAAGCCCCACGAATCCAGAGGTTCCACGCGCGACCAGCAAACCAAACATATTTCGCGGGCCCATGGGGAAGTTGGGGACTTTCTTATACCACATGTACAATGTGCCCAAAATGGCCGTCGCTAACATGCGGACAAAGATGATGTGTAGGGCATGAAACTGGTTCGGCGAATCTTTGGCTGTCAATAGCTTTGCCGCCGTGTTCATCTACAATAGTACACACACACCATTAGTAGACTATAGCAATGATTGACTTCGGATCAGCAAGAAGACCAGGGTCGTGGCCGTCTTCTAAACAAGGAATGATTTTAAGCATAGGATTCATCGACAGAATGGGTAGCAATCGAATTGGATGGTAACAGTAGAGATAGAACGCACCACTGAGCCAAAAGTTTGCGCCGAGAACACCAAGAACAGCCCAAAGTTCCTCTCATAAAATTCACGTGCACATCTCATATAGCTCCTGCATTCCTGCGCGGATGTCAAGTCGCCATCGCCACCGTCAGGGTGCACGGCAGGCGGCGACATAGATGTGACCGGGTTGTGCCGGTCCGGTCCGGACAACCCCTTATGCCCGCCGGCTTGTGTTCCATAACTCATTCTCGGAAATACTCTCCTGGGGTATTGTGTAGTCTTATTCGGTGAATTGTTTACAAATGTTGTTTCCTCCCGGTCTGCTTCCTGGCGTTTACTGGAGGGGAAGAAAAAAAAAAACGAGAACACGGCGACCCACAGTTTATATCACAAGGGTATCCGGCCCGAAGTCGGGAACTCGTAAACCTAAAGCCGACTTACACCATCTAATACCAGCTCTCGTTATATATAACAATCCTTGGTTGATATTTTTATACTACTAGAAGCATCAGAACGTTCAGCTGTACCATCCATTATAAGAGTTCGCAACGATTCAACACGTAGTGGAAGATTGAAATGAGCTTCATTTTCGAGAGTATTTATTCATTTAGTCCATCGCAAATTGGCCATACTGGTAGATACACTCAAGCTTTTATGACTCATCAAGCTCGAACGGTCTACTTATCCACGAGCGATTCTGAGGAGTCCAGCCATATCACCGTTGAAAACCTCGCTGTCTCCGCCGAAGCTATAGGCATCGTTGTACTGCCAGAATGTGTAGTACGGCCAGCCGCCGGGAGGAGTACCGGCACTGCTGCTGTACCGAGCAAGGACCAGTGGGTTGGTGTTAACAAAGGCGTTAGAGTTGCCGGTGCAGGTTTGCCAGTAGCTTGGATTTGTATATATGAGAGGATATACTCCTGTCTTGGAGTGGTAGGTATTGCTAAAGTCCCTGATCCAAGCAACAGTGGCGCTAGGCGAGAGCACACAGCTACCTTCTAGATCAAGCATACCGGGGAGGGTGATGCCATCACCCGACCATCCACCTCCGTGAGCAAGGAAGTAGTTCGCCTGGGTTGCACCGGAGCTCACGTCCAGATGAGCAAAGTGATAACCCCCACGAATAAGGCCAGCATTTGTGGCACCGGTGTAATGGGAGCTAAACTTGGGATCGCGGTAGGTTGTGCCCTCGGTAGCCTGTTCGCAATATTAGCTTCTTGCTAGCTGTTTTTCCAATAGTAAAGCCGTGCTAGATGGCCTCACCTTGATTATGACGAATCGGGCGCCGGCGTTGTAAGCTCCAGCGAAGTTGACGCTTGACTGGTAATGGGAGATATCGAATCCCTGGACAGCTGCCAGAGCGCCGTTGGCAAGTCCCAGGAGGGAAATTATACAAGCCTTCATTGTTGGTTCGAACCGTTGCGGCTATATCTTAGAACTGAGGTGATTGTCACGATCAAATCGACTTTGATGGGGGCGAAGGTCGAGCTTTATGCTGTGCTCCCAATAATCGAGTCGCCATCGCGTAACTGCTCCTTTGTGAAGTTCCACATGATGGCGGCGAATCACAATAAAGGCGTTATCAACATGCAAGCCAATGACCCTGTAATTCGCTCGTTACGGTAACGAATACCTCTTACACAGGTGCGATATGGCATGGGCATGTCGAACTGCCGATCTTCCCTTAGTCTGTGGATCTTGTGGTGGAAGTATTCCGACTAATTGAGATGGGTTCAAGGATCTGGATGGTATCGTTTCTATTTATCGAGCGCATCCCATCATGTCATCCACCGTTGAGGCTACACCAAGGCAAGCTTCGTGGCGCTCACCTGCCGATCTTGGAACAAGTGAAACTAATGAGGCAGTTCATAGGGTTTCATTGCGCTAGTGGTGGGCGGCTGAATTCCGCCCAATCTCTATCGTCTATCGTCATGAATGGGACTCAACATTTGGTTTAAAGCTCTACGTTAGCCCTAGCAGTAGACGTCGTGTTGAGTTAGATTTCAACTGCTCGCTCGAGATTGGTTCTGTGGTCTCCTATACTTGATTACCTATGTTTCATAGGCGAATAGCTAGATTCGAGGACCGGGGGAAAATGACCTACCTTGTTTCTCCTGCTAATTCATCGTCGATGGGCTGTCTTACTGTCTCTAATGTGTGTGATACGATTAAGGACTAATAGATAATCTCATATAACCACATTCCTGAAAGGGACTGAAACTTGTGTAGAAATTAATGTAATGTACCCCGAGGGTATCCGCTCCGAACTGGGAGGAGTCGAGGTTCGCTTGCGTTCTTGCGAATATTCCGACTGATAATGAGAGTTTTGATATTCATGGGTGACAGTCAAGACGTGTGAAGCGTGTGACTGTTCTGTGGGAGCTCTACCTTCTTCTCGACACTCGTTTATGACAACGAATTAACGGTTGAAGAGGGTTTTGTGTCGGGCTTGTGAGCAACGTCAGAAGCGTCTTGAGGATATTACCCAAAAGTACTACTAACTACCTAGGTGGGATGATGGACAAACTCACTAGCGGGAATGAAGGCCGATGCCCTTGCCCGACAACATCGTCGAAGCTCCCGCTGACTGATACGAGATACGAGTGATAGTGCACATGTCATGATGTACCTAGGTATTGAAACATGCCCCACCTCAGCCGGAACATTGAGCATACCTGCATCTCCAAGAACGCAAAGATGAGTAGCTAATTGAGTTTTCCCCTTTGAACACTTCTATAGCTTTTCGACAACTGTAATTCAATCGGGTAGTTCTTCTAGTTTTGGCGAGTATGCTGCTGGGTTCATTGATCACGGCGCGGGACACCGGCGCCTTCTATGCAATGTGGCATCGAGTTTGACTTCCTGGTCTGTGTTGTGCCACAAATCTCAGCGGACTCATCTATCTCACTCTCGCCAACAGAAGTATAGCAGATCATGGCCTAGCTAGTATCTCGTGGACCCAACATGACGGTTTGTCCTCTCTCGCAAGAGACCTGACACAGAGTTATATCGTCTACAACGTATACCCAATCGGCAGTCCAAAAGTGAGGATGACGCCGAGAACTACAATAAACACCGAATGGTGAAGGATACCAGACGAAGACTTCGGCTAGATATGACACTATCTCGGGACTAGTGGTTTATGCAAAGTGGTCAACAGTCACGAGGGAAAAGGCGGACATCGGAGGTTTCCTTTTCGCTCGGGGTTCACTCACCTTGTGTTGTATTGCACACGTGAAAATCGCCGACCCGCCGGCCCAAAATCATACGCTCGACATAACATCGAGACAGCATAAGCAGCGAAAATCACTACAGGCAATACTATGGTACTCAGTTTGAATAGGAAACAGCCGAAAATCGCCGTCATGCCGGAGATTTTCGGTCTCCGAATCCATAGCCGATCTAATGCTGCAGGGTCTCAGTATTTGTACGTGTACTAGGTAGGTACTGCATGTGAGTTCGCCGGGCACAATAGGTTTTGATCGGCCGCAAGGTTTGTCCGTCAGGACTTCTACAAGGTGCTACAACGTAGTAGGCAGACCAAAAAAAACAATCGGCCGAATTCGCTCTCTTGTGCGTGTGGGCATGCATGTATTGTCGCGGACCGGAGTAAATCTGAAAGCTTCCAAGGCCGATCGACAACCCCAAGTATACTATGTAAGCTGATGTTTCCTCTTTCGGACTTGGCCTAGTGCCATGCAGTGTACTTTCTAGGTACATACAGTAAGTTAAGCACTGCCTATATAGCTACGTAGCGTAGCATATCATAGCAGGTATTCTAAAGGTACCTATGTTAGTAGTTTGTGGTAGGAGGCTTTCTTGAAAAACCAAAGCAAAAACCCGGCCGCCGTCACTCACCGATTCTTTATTTATTTTTGTCTGCTTTTCCTCTCCTCTTTTTCGCCATTTGGGAATTCCAATTAATTCTAGAAGTCTTAGACTTTGATCATTTTCGACTAAAGCTACTTCTCATCTAGTGTCTCGAGTCCGCATCTATCACAAATACATACCTGACTTCCTATCTACTTATTTTTTTATTATTATTACTGGCCTACATTGGTGTGAGCGCGCTCCAACGAGAGGGGTAAATTGAATACATTTGTCGGTAGTGACACAAGCATCTCGTTAGACGACCGGGAAGCGAAGAAAAGTATAATCCCCAACCCGAAACGACCATCAACATGTCTGCCTCGCCAGAGTATCCCCGCGCAGGGAAGCGTCCTCGTAAGTCCTCGGATTTTCTTTCTGAATTCTTCTGCGTTAGCCTTCCTCGGCCCCTCTTCTCTCAGTCCTGCCAACCTACAACCTACGACCAACGACCAACTACTACCACCACGACCACCACCTACCTACCTACCTACCTACATAGGTATCTGACCTACCGGTAGGTAGTTGGTGTGAGCCTCTACGGCCGCTACCCCTCTTACCTAAGATACCTGAAGAGGCAAAAACCGAGTGATAATCATAACATGGTCGTTTTTGTTTCGTCTTAATGTTTTTCTTCCCCTTCATTTCGTGATTGCTACCGCTACCTACCCGGCCTATGCATTCATCGGCTACGCTACCTGCCTACCATCACGCCAGCTGCACTTGTCGTGCTCGGGTGGTCTAAGCTCACGAGGGGAGGATTACCTCTATGTAGCCTCGGTAGCTTAGCGTTTCAATCCTCTCTCCTTCTGCCTTCTTTGATCCTCCGGCAGATCCTTCTACATTTGCTTGCGCAGCATTCTTAACAATATGGCTGCAACCACAGGTACCCAGTCACTCCCGCCTCCCGCCCTCCCTCAGCTCGTCGCCGAACAAAATGTCCCCATCGCTGCGAGCGATAAGGACACCCAGAGGCTTATCGTTGTGCTCTCCAACGCCAGCCTCGAAACCTACAAGGCTTCCCATGGTGGTGGTGCCGGTCGCATGGGCATGCAGCGCGAGGACAAGTACTCCCTCCTCAATAGCGATGAACATATCGGTGTCATGCGCAAGATGAACCGTGATATCAGCGACGCGAGGCCCGACATTACGCATCAGGTGCGTGGTCCCGCCCCTATTGTTGCCCAACCAACATTTCTCTGTCCTCAAGTCTGCATTCAACATGCTGATGGCGACCAACTAACATAGTGCCTCCTGACTCTCCTCGACTCTCCCATAAACAAGGCTGGAAAGCTCCAAATATACATACATACCGCGAAGGGTGTCCTGATCGAGGTTTCGCCGACGGTGCGAATTCCGCGAACCTTCAAACGCTTCGCTGGTTTGATGGTTCAACTTCTCCACCGCTTGTCTATTCGGTCCACAAACTCGCAAGAGAAGCTATTACGTGTCATCCAAAACCCCATCACCGACCATCTACCGCCAAATTGTCGTAAGGTTACTCTTAGCTTTGACGAGCAGATCGTGCGACCGAGAGACTATATTCAAAACCTTAAGCCCAAGGAGAGCATTTGTGTTTTTGTTGGTGCCATGGCTAAAGGTTCCGACAACTTCGCCGATGAGTACGTAGACGAGAAGATCGCGATCAGTAACTACAGTCTGTCGGCTAGCGTTGCCTGCAGCAAGTTTTGCCACGCTGCTGAAGATGTTTGGGATATTATATAAGCCCGCTTCCGGATCCTCCGTGAGACATTAGTACATGTCTTCATAATGTGTGGGATGAATGGGCGGTGGTGCATATGAGGTTGCCATGAGCGGTCGACGGTCTCTGCAGGATCTGTCATACAACATTGCGGTGAATGCAGGCGTCCCTAGAGCTTGGGTCCACGAGTTTTTCTGTCTCTGTTTTTACAACCAAAACATCAGGCGTTCAACATGAGATCCAAGACGTTTTCACCGTCTCGGCGGGCCAATTCAACCTAGCCCGCCATTTTCCCTTCGTATTCTCTTGTCTTCTATTCTATAGTAGACCGTCGGGACACCCGCACCCATCCCCTCGTTCCTAAATCGGCGTTCTGATATGTACCGGCCCCAGGGTTTGACCTTGGTCCATAACTTACTATATTTTAGGAAGCAAGGCATGTACTTGGCCAGGTCTGCTGAGGATTATTGCTGTATCACCGAGGCTGATTAGACAGGTCGAGAGAGCTACGTATTCTCAGGTGGTAGTTTTGAGCAGAGACGGGTGTGAAACGGAGTACATCCCAGTCGAAGTTTGGGTCGGTAACTCGTGCATTGGGGGTGTGCATCCAACACATCATCTGCTTTGCTACTACGTACTATGGCTCAATTAACAGGGCTAAGTCTACCGTCTATCGTTATGAATACATGAGAAAAGAGACAAGAGGTGGCTCTTCTTGACGTTGGCGTTAGTTCGCCATGTCGTTGTCAATCAGAGCCTTCTGCAAGAATAGTCGATAGCGAAGAAAGGACATAGAATGAATCATGGATCCGATTTGTAACCATGCAGAACTCAGACTGGTCGCCCTGTGTTTCCTAATCGCTACCCCAGGACTGGCGGAGACAAGTGGGGGGATATGTCTGTTGTGTAAAGGGGAGCGTCACGGCGCAGCGTCCGGGCTCCACCTACAGACAATCGCTTGTGTCTTGCGGCCTACACGTGTAAAGCCCCACGGCCAGTCGAGGGGCGAGGGGTGAGTAGGTATCTAGCGTAGCGTAACGGAGAGGGGATGGTGAGGGTTTATATCGATCCAATATTCCCTCTAGTGCTCTGCCTATGCCACCAATGGTTCCCGGCTCGCCGGCCTCACTCTGCTCTGCGCGTCCTTTGGGCTGTGTTAGACGGGCTGCGTTGATTGGACCACGACAGGCCCACGTCTGGAATCCGCATTGCGGCTGTCTTTCTTTGGAGCAGTCTGCAGACTGTCAACCCCTACTATCCCGGTTGTGAGGTGGTGGCCTCACATCGCCTCGAATCGTGTGGGCAGTATGCAAGCACCATCTCGCTGGCCCCAAAGGGGACATGACATGCCCCAGTTCTAGAAGTAAGGCATCAATCAACGTGGCAGCCCCTCCGCTGCCAAGAGACCCATATGCCACTGGTCACCGGAGGGTTTGGAGACTTCACCCGTGACGATGGAGATTTCCGGAGGGCAGCAGATTGGTCCGATTGGTCTGAAGGAATGTCGGTCTAGCTGAATCCTCAAATGCAGACCGTTTCTTATACTTAGTCCAACATCATCAAAACATAACGTCTTGACATATCACGAGCTAGTTGTAACCTTGCCACCATCTCCTATTCGCTCTCGTATTATCTAGTTAATCGAGAAGTATCGGTACGTGGGTCCGTCTTCTGAGGAGTGCTTGATGGCACTTCAGCTAATATGGGAACAGGTAACGGGCCGCATCAATACCCGGGCTGAAGAACTCGTACCTGCCAAAGCTACCCAGCCTGCATCTATACCTGATAATAAGCTGCCTCGCCAATACCTGGTTCTGACTTGGCTAGCTATTTCTTTAGAGGTACTCCTGGATCCTTTAAGAGACGGTGTTGTACACTGTTGCTAATCTCATATTTGCTTAGAACACTTGACTTCCTTATTCCCTTCACCCTTCTTCCTTTCGTCAACTCGGAAGATTGAAAGCAAAGCTCATTGGCACACATTAAGGAAGACGCCGAACTCACTATCTTCACATCCGTCATTGTTGCCTCCTTGACCGGCAAGGACGCGGGAGTTATAATCTCAATTTCCAGGGCTTGTATAGTATAGCTAGCTCAGTAGAGTCTACCCCTGTCTCGGCTTATATATATCGGTCAAGTAGTCGCTCCATTACCCAGCACATTATATCTACATATCAACGACCTCACATTGTCGAAAAGAGGGGCATTGATACATCATCCAACCCACTACATTTTCTTCCAGATCGTTCACTACGCCGGTTGCATCCTCACTCGGCCCGCCCCAAATGCAAGCCCTACCGTACGTCCAAGTCAAGAATCTCCCTTCTTCGGCCTCCTTCTACTCGGCCGTCACTCAGCCCCTAGGCCTACGATTTACCTCTGCGAACTCATCCGCTATTGTTTTTGGCAACTCGGAGCCTATTTTCGAGGTCAAGACTGGCATCAGCGCACCCCGGCCGACACGTATAGTCCTCTCGGTCAGCTCGCCGTCCGCTGTGACCGCTTTTCACGCTGCCGCAAGGAGGGCTAACCCGAATGGTAACTCTAACATCCTCCTCAAGGAAGACGACGGGTTGAGCGGTGAAAGCCGAGCGAGCGCAACTGATCTCGAGGGCAACATTATGGAAATCGTCTACCTTCCCCCGGATCGTACAGGCTCTGCCGCGCGCCAGGCTACTCGAGTCCTTGAATGGAATTTGGACGTCGCCACCTCGACCATCAGTGCCACACGCTCCGTTGTTAGCTCAATTTCTCAATCACGACCTGGCCTAGCGACCATCATGCCGAGCACGGATGACGAAGCCTGTAGAATTATTCGACGGAGTTTCACTACATCTACTGTCGAATCCTCTCCACCCCAACAACAGGCCTCAAAAGGCCTCAGCACTGGTGCTACAGTAGGGACCGTGCTAGGTGCGGTTGCGGCAGGTGCCATAGGAGCCGGACTTGCATATGCTTTTATAAAGAAGGACCGCGAACGCGCTCCTCGCCAGGAGTTCGAGGCACCGCCCTTTCAACGTCGAGCAACGTACCCTGAGCCGCATCAGGACCACCAACCACGGTATGTCGAGTTAGAGAGGACCGTTGAGAAAATGAGGTATCCAGAGCAGTACCCCCCTAGACCAAACCAATGCCCACACCCTTCTTATACGACACGGCGTCCGGAAGCTGGTAGTCCACCTGTGGAAGTTGATGATCGGGCCAGTCGCCATAGCCCAAGTTCACGCACGCGGGACCGCTCCCCCCGGAAACCTTTGATGATCACTGAAACAGAGCACAACAGCAACGTCGGTTTGCAACTTCCCGAGCCACCTCGTCCCGCCACTGAAGTTGAGCCAGTCAGCCAGGCTGAAACTCGACACACCACGAACCCCAAATCTCAGCTTCATGCGGAATTATTCAAGCGACACCATCCAGTCGCTTCCAAAGCTCCGTCCAAGGCCCCCTCGCAGGCACCAGACGCTCGTAGCCATGTGTCATCACGATCAAGGCGCGGTGATGATGACCGGCGCAGCCATGCGGGCTCCAGGCATAGTACCGTGCGCCCGCCTCGCGACGATGCCAAAACATATGTTTCGGCACGCACCGATAAATCTGCTACTACGGTCCGGCCAGCTAAGACACAGTCCAAGGCACCTAGCCGCGCGGCGAGCTACGTATCAGCGCGCAATATTCCAACGCCACCGAAAGAGAGCGATTGGCAAGATCTCGTCGATGAAGATGACAAGGCTAGCGTGGCGCCAAGTGACAGTATTAGCTGTGTCGGGGAAGAACGACCCAGTAAGTACTTTGGCTTTCCTCTATTCTTACTACCAACAGCAGCAGTACAAGAAGAAGAGTGGAGAGATTCTATATGACCTGAGCTCGGAGTACACACATGTGTGGTTACGAGCTGTTTCTAACTTCATTTCTTCCTTCTAGAACCTCATGCTAGAGATATACCCTTCCTGCAGCGCCAAGAACGTATCATCATCCAGTAAACCGGTGCACGGGACTGGACATTTCCTTCTACTTAATTCTGCATCAGAACTTCGAACCTATATAGGTTCGTCTGACAGATTTTTCGCCACAGCCGCCATCTGTCAGTTTCATTTACGGCAGTATCGTCATCCGTTGATATCGGCGGATAACCAACTCGATAGACGGAACGATGAATCTCCTAGTTGAAAGACATAGACTTAGTGGGCACTCAGATAAGGGATGGAACAGAACCAGCGAGAGCCGCGTATCGCCGATGACAATTTTGCTAATATGACTCAACTTGACGACTGTTTGGATTTAATAGTTGAAAAGAGGTTGGAGATCTAGAGAGAACGTGAAAGTGTTATTCGGGCTTATATTATAATAATCAAACAACTGGAAATTGATATTTGGGATGGGAATGTTGGCCAGTTCTAGATTCTTTTTTCGACATCGTATTAGAAGTTACAAGGCGGGATATAGAAGAAACAAGACGCTGTATAGAAATGGTGCATATCAGAAACGGACAACCTTTGCCTTTCTTTTGTTTCGTCGACTGAGCAGAGCGCTTACTTTAGGTATCTTAGTCTGGATTTGAGGAAAACGGGGTGTCCAACGCGAAAGAGACGGCGAGGGGCCATGCGCATGCATATATATACGTGTGTGAAAATATGTGACACTGTGCCGATAATAAGAGATACTAACTTAATCCTTTAAGGGGAGATGTTTAGGGTTGAATTGATCTATTGTAGGTATTCGAATATTACTTAAAAGGAGTGTTATAACTTACGTGAATGCACATGTGACTGAGGTTTTTCACTACTGATTCCGATGGGAGTAAGCTTCTTGAGATACTAGGAGCCTGGAGAAAAGAGGTGTCTTATCATGCCATTGATACGTTCTCATACATGAAGGTTGGTTAGCCTTGAAGGAGTACCCAATCATAAATCTCAATGTCATTACGAGGAACTCATAACGATTCTTACAGCAGAATAAGAAACACTGGTTCTTCAAACGATGAGGGACCTGGTTGAAACTTGAGCTCCATGCTACCATACACATGCAGCCATGGTCCTCGATCACCCTTGACCACTCACTCTCTTAGTTAACTGGACCTCTCACACACACAAATATTTACTTACATATTAAGTTGTTCTCATATCTTAAAGTATAAGGGGTCACATATGCTCCCCAAGCGATTATTGGTAGCATTGGCATGGGCTAAGCGGTGTCCCAGCATCTTTGATTTTATATATAAGTATGGTAGTCAGTCTACGTAGTTATTGCACAAGGTATCATACTCCCGTACCAGGCCGGACTGTCCCGTAGAACAATCGCTGCTGCCTGATAGCATCCCGATCTTCCTAACTGGGTAACTTAACGAAGCAATGAAAAGGATGGAGTAGGGATGTCTGATATTGGTAAGCTACAGTAGACGTGACGTGCTCGCACTGAAGCGGTGAGAAATGATGGGCCAGATGGGCAGATGACGGGTTCGCTATTGTCCATGAGGTGGTCAGTAGAGCATTACGCAGCGGAAAATAGAACCAAATGGCTGCTCATAACAACATACGATGGCCCGCGATCCCAGTTCATACATATATCCAGAGCCGATCTCGAGGTAGGTATCAGTATGCTGTAGAGTATGTAGAAGAGAAGTAGGTAGGTACCTAAAGTAGGTACCTAGGTACTTACTGTAGCTCACTCCCCGAGTTCCCTTTCCCCCACCGCTTCTTTCGGCTACCCCTGTCAGCGCCCCTGTCTAGAACCAGTCCTAACAGTGCTAGCTTCCCCAACCTGCCCACTCGCCACCCACCCTCCTCCGCCGCCGCCTCGCCGCCTCGGTGGATCAGGCGATAAAGTTCAAACCACACCCAGGTTCCCAGCTCCCAGGTCAGACCTGGTGTTTCCAAGATATTTATTTGGTCCGGCACATACCAATTGGAATGGCTCTGCACACCACTGCCTTTTCACACTGAAGATACGTGGAACACTCATAGCTGGTAGGAGCTGGAGCTGCCGCTGCCGCTGGACCAGCCATGGCTCCCAGGACTTACCCGTCCATGTCCAGGAGAGAGATCGAGGGGCTCGTAGCCGATGGCCGCATGGTTTTCATTCTCGATCAGCATGTCATCAAGGCTGATGCATGGGCGCCATATCATCCTGGCGGTGATAAAGCCATTCGCCACATGATCGGACGGGATGCTACAGATGAAGTGACTGCGTGCGTCTCCCCCTCTCTTTGCAATTGCCGCTGCCGTTGCTCAACCCACCTTGCCTGTGACCCTCGCTGATACCGTTCTCGACTATGCTATATAGTCTCCATTCCCGTGAAGCGAGAGAGCAGATGAACCGGTACCGCATTGGAAAGTTTGAAGGCAGATGGTCCAACTTCACCCCGCCCATCCAGGGAGGCAAGTTTAGACGGCTATCCGAAACTGGCCCCGAGGGAAAGATCGACAACGACCTAGAATGTCCGACTACCTCTGCCGCCTCCACGGCCTCGTCGAGCGACTCGGAATCTCGGCCTCCTTCTCCCGTTTTTGACGTCAATGTGAAAGGAGCTCTTCGGAAGCGCCATACTCCAGTGACCTCCTCAAGCGCGGCATCAGTCTGTTCGATCTCGTCTGTTGAGTCGGAAGATAGAGGCATGTCCTTCCTGAACACTCTAACCCACGAGAAAATCGCCCTAGACTTGGACAAATACCCACCTATAGATTCTGCAACGCAAGACAACATCGTGACCAAATACCGGGAACTGCACCAGCGTGTCAAAGACCAAGGCCTCTACCAATGCAATTACCTGGATTATGCTGTCGAATGCTTTCGCTATTCGCTGCTTGCTGTTACCTCGTTTTTATTCCTTCGCTGGGGTTGGTATGCTACCAGCGCTGCATTCCTGGGGGCATTATGGCACCAGTTAGTCTTTACAGCTCATGACGCCGGTCATATGGGCATCACCCATGACTTCCACACCGATTCGGTCATTGGCATTATCATTGCCGACTTCTTGGGTGGTTTATCTCTGGGCTGGTGGAAAAAAAACCATAACGTTCACCATGTTGTAACGAACGCACCGGAACATGATCCAGACATCGAGCATATGCCATTCCTGGCTGTTTCTCACCGTCTTTTCCAGTCTTTGCGCTCTACATATTACGACCATGTAATGGAGTACGACGCCGTAGCCAAAGTGTTTCTCCGGATTCAACATTACGCTTATTATATCCTTCTCTCCTTTGGTCGCCTCAACCTCTACCGTCTCTCTTGGACCTATTTAATCCTTGGTCAAGGTCCCCGGAAAGGACCAGCCTGGTGGCACCGCCACTTGGAGATTGTGGGCCAACTATTCTTCTGGACTTGGTTCGGATATGGCATTCTGTACAAGACCCTCCCTACCAATTGGGATAGGTTTGTCTTCTTTCTGATTAGCCATGTCGTTCCCATGCCTGTACATGCCCAGATCTGCCTATCACACTTTGCGATGAGCACATCTGACCTAGGCCCACACGAGTCCTTTCCGCAAAAGATGCTTCGTACCACTATGGACATCGATTGTCCAGCTTGGTTAGACTTCTTCCATGGTGGGCTGCAGTTTCAAGTCATCCATCATCTGTTCCCTCGAATCCCGCGCCACAACCTTCGTCGGACCCAAAAACTGGTACAAGAATTTTGCAATGATGTTGGCATTCCTTATGCGCTATATGGCTTCGTAGATGGAAACAAGATGGTTGTTGGGACACTAGCTGAAGTATCAAGACAGGCTGCTATCTTGGCAAAGTGTCAGGAGGTTATCACTGCAGGCGGGGACCCTTTGCATGAGCATAGTCACTAATTTAGTGATATAGATGTGGCTTCTGCACATAGATGATTGCATTATTCAGAATTTTGCTTCTCATGCAAGCAACCCTACTCATGTCTGTTGTCATATATGACAACTCAGCTCTTAGTTCCTTAAGCATGTATTATTGGATAAGGTGTATCACCACGGGGATGAGCAACATTGTCCGATATGTTCATATGTGGGCAGTCAGAGAGTGTCGAGAAAGGGTTAGACCTGATGACACATGCTCCCTTACCTTTGTTAGGTCTATCTATACCTAGTACCTAGCGTGTATTCGAATCGAGAGGCGTGTACGTAGGTAGATCTATCTCATGGCGTACAAGATGCAAATGAGCATATAACGTGTTCCGCCCAATGTTACTAGCCTCACATGTAAAGCTATCGCATTAGAACTTGTGATGTCGCTAGAAATCTACATTTACATAATCCTTAATTATAACCACTTCTCAAATATAGAATGTATGGAAACAATGCTTCCGCAACCTCCTAGCACTAAACTGTTTTTGTACTTTCCCTTCTAGAAGTCGTTATCTATCTCATCACGCTCTACCGCAATAAGCAAATGATATATCGTATCCAGCAAGGTTTTTCTATTGGGGTGAACCTTGGCCTTCGCTTTGGGAAATCACTAGACTGTCAAACTTGTACTGATCCGGTAATTTTGTCTGCAAGGCTTTCAATGGTTCCAGAATGCTGGGTTGAAACTAGACGCACGCTCATCACATCACTCAAATGCATGTCTCCCATTGTATGTTGTTATAGACGTGCTAGGTATATTAATGTTGGCTGCATGTGGCCCTCCTTCGTCCTAATATGGAAGATAGTGAGGAGATCAACAAAATCATATAGATAAAAAAAAGATATAAAGAGAGGAAGAGCGCGCGCTGTGGGAGTAATCAAGGTGCTTGACTACTCGTCAGTCCTCTATGCCATTGCTACATTTCTCACATTAAAAACAGAACACAATCCTTTTTTGCGTCAAAGGCGAATGCAATTCGCATGAACTAGACGACTTCTCTTTGTCGTATGAAGCAGAAAAGTGGCCTTGTCCTTCGAGAATAAGATGCCACGCAACATGGATGAAAAGGCTTCCCAGCGTATCTTGAGAACCAGGGGTCGTGACGTGAGGATACTATCAACCTCTACGCAGTCTATCTCTCTAATAATCTTTAATACATAGGATCCTTTCTACAGAAGAGCTGCTATGGCTTCTCGAAATAACAGTGGTGGGAAACAAGGGCAGCAAGGGGAGTCAGCTCAGGGACGGGAGCAGCAGGAAACCAAGAACAAGAACGATAAGACGTCAGAGTCGGAAAGTAGTCGTCAGTCGTGATTAATGTGAAGCAAGGGACACACTTGGCATAAGAACTAGAAAACCAGGGGGATGTTGGGCATGTCTGGAACTAGCTATGTATACACAGATGGAGCTACAGTACGAGACTTCATCACCAACAAGAAGTATGGCCGAAGTTTCTATTACTAGCTCTTTGATACTTCCAGGTGATACCATAACTCCCGCCTGGCCACTTACATGGCAGCAAGGGTGTGTATACGACCCAAATGTTCAACTGTTGGCTGCAAGTGTGATCGCGGGGGTGCCATGACCTGTAAGCGGGTGCTATCGAGTTAGGCGTAGGATCATATGACAAGAAGGAACCGGTTTCGACCTCCCGGGGCTATGTGCGATATAGACGGCATTCGACCGGTCGGCCCAGTTGTTCCAACTAGACTATAAAAGGCGTGCTCAACGGGGGAGCTGACGACAAAAGCAAAACATTGCGTCGTGATATACCCTGTAGTGTAGATCTACATTGTACATTACATATGAGGCTTTTTAAATTTTCTCTGCCGCTGCAAATAGAAATAAAACGAGGCATCTGGACTAAGCCAATGGCGGCAGGGTGAGAAGAGAATGTAATGCTGCATGTGGAACTCTGTGATAGCAAGACCCCGGTTTCTTCCAGGCCGCCGCCGACTTTGCATCAACCAAGACCAAACCTACGCGTTTGATCTCACTGCGGACTACGCATCAATGATAGATTGAAATGAACGGACTAGTAAACACTGATGTCGCATGGTCTTCCCAGCCCTCAGCTTGCTCTCACACCACATCATGATATCTCCACCCAGTTCATGGATAAGTGATACACACCGAGATTGGTGGCATTATTCGGGAGAAGATGCGAGGTCAAGCCTTTGATCATAGAATGCAACCTCATGCTGACGGTAGGCCCAAAGGTTCTTTAGATGCGTGGCTGGTGATCTTGCACCTTTATATACCACTCCTGTCACATTTCAAGAGTGTCGCTCGGTGTAGTTATAGACCGAGCAATAGACTCTCTCATATGCGCACACCTCCAGCCTGGTATATTCATATTGAATTTCTTGGATAGGCAATAGAATACACATGAATATATTCCTTTTCACAGAAGGAGCTTAGCTGAGTTTAGGTTAGCTGTCTGCGATCAAGGACATGCCTTCTCTTGTGTTGAGAGACTTTTCGACGAGCAAGACCCTTTCGTCACGACAAACTTACTGATCTATCTAATTAATCAAAATCGACCTAACAGTACTAACAGGTTTCACTCATGATCCCATTTGCTAAATGTATACGGAGCTTTGTGATATAGTCTGGCATCCTCCTCCGCTAATATAATATCATCATAACGTGGTTGTTGAAATCGAGGATTTTTAGCGATACTCTACCATCTATATCAGGTTGTGATAGTGATATATATCTTTACGGTCATCTCACTGCTCAAACTAGGTGAGCCGTCAAGGAAGATCACAGGAAAGAAGCGCACGCGGATAAAGAAGTGAGGTTAAGCATGGATTATACCCACATAACCTCGGCTGTTAATATCTTAGTAAACATGAAGCTATCTAGGTTATACACTTTCGTCCCGTATTGCATGTAACTTCACTACTATACTAGATGGGTTCGAGAATTGAGCAACACCAGTGTCACAGAGGCTGTACCTGTAGGTACTCATATATGTATATCTGATGCTTACGTATACCATCTACTTACAATACCATGGGCGTAGGTATTGGCACGGATCAATGCTGACAAATCTCATTGCAGCCCAATCTTAGCATGCGCCTACTTACTTATCCTACTTTCATCTCGAAGTTGAGGTTGTTCCCGTGAAATGCAGCGGACAAGAACCCCCATGAACGTTCAGGCAAGCACCCTGACTTGTCGTGTCTTCAATGGGTTCGTAGGTCTGAGGCAAACAAGACAACATTCGCTCATGTTCTGGTAGCGAAACTCTAGGAAAAGTGTGGTAGTGAGAGAACCTGGTAGGTGGTGACGAAGTTACTGCAAGCTAAGCATGAGTAGACGAGGGCTGGGCTCTCTGTCCTTCTGGGAGCATCGCAGAACTTGGGGCAAGCCGGATCATTGCTCGATGGTTGCTGCTTGACTTTGCGATGCCCGCCTAAAGCAGGTTTGCTCTTATGTGGCGACACAACAAGTGCACGGCACCGCGGCAATCGCACGACCTTACGGCGGCGTCCAACACGCAGCTCTCACGAGTGCTCGTAACAGCTACATCATGAAGGTAGCCTCGAGATTATCTGGGCAGCCTTGGGTAAGTTTGTTGGTAGTACTGGATTCACATGTTGGCCTAGTCGCCCGGTATCTTGATTTTCTCCGTGGACGGCGCGATTTCTTTGACGCATATCTACGTATACCTGTTTAAATATCTAAGTAAAACTTCTTCATATGCCTATCTAGGTTTCTTAATGTAGATAAGATAGCCTTTGGTATGGTTAGGTAATTCCTTACCTGAATTGAACATTCAAGGTTGTGGTATCACGGGCTGGCAGAGGCAGGACCTATCACTCAGTGGGAGGGCCACTGCGCTGTACTCCCTACTGCCCCGCCCCTTCTGTCCCCCCCCCCCCAGTTGCCTTTTAGTGCGTGCTCTCTCATCCATCATTCACCCTATATCTAGGTACCTATCTATCTTGATCCCGTAGTCTTGCGTTCACATATCACCACCGCTTCAATCTCAGTGTATCAACCTACTGTCTGTGCTTGGCACCTTATTTACATATCAGATCAGATCAGTTCACTTAGAAAATACAAGATATACCCAGCTATCCAGCTCAAGCCAGGGCCCTGTTTGTCGAAATAGCGTTTCGTACGAGATTCTCTCTTCCTGCCAGCGGCAGTGGTGGCTAGGATTTCCAGTCACTGTCTCTGCCGCGGCGACGAGAACGTCCGCCTCCCTCTCCCCAGCTGCATTTTGCAGTTCCCGTGGAGAACTAAGGCTAAGTGTTCTATTTCTAGGTGGTTCAGCTTATTCTGAGAGCTCAACCAAGAAGTCGGCCATGGACGCCCACATAGCCCGCCTTCTCAATGATAAGCTCTATGAAAAGCGGAAGACTGGCGCTCTCGAGTATGTATCTGACCACCCACTCATTTCGTCATACTTAGCCTCGAGCTGACCCCGTTGATGAGGCTTGAGCGATCTATCCGTGAGCAGATCGTCGCAAAGGACTATAGCAAGGTCCAGAGTATCATCCAGCAGCTGTGTGACGAATATGCATACGCCGTACACCAACCACATGCGAGGAACGGTGGCCTTATAGGCTTGGCCGCGGCAGCTATCGCCCTCGGTCCAGTACGCCACAACCACCTTTCCTGTACCCTGGCCCCGGCACCTACGCTGTTTTTGCTAACCCCGCCGTCGTAGGAGCTCCCCAGATATCTAGAGACAATTGTGCCCCCTGTACTCGCTTGCTTCACCGACCAGGATGCTCGTGTTCGCTATTATGCATGCGAGTCTATGTATAACATCGCAAAGGTTGCTAAAGGAGAAATACTACGATATTTTAACCACATATTTGACGCCCTATGCAAGGTACATATATGATGACTCCCCTTGACCTCCCTCGATTAGTGTTTATTCACTGATATGGTGGTACGTGTGTAGCTAGGCGCCGACTCGGAGCTATCTGTTAAAAATGGCGCGGAGCTTCTCGATCGCCTCATCAAAGACATAGTCTCCGAATCTGCTGCTACATACGTGTCAGTGTTGGAGTCCGCCGATGAGAAGGACTCGGATACCCAGGACGCCCAAAATATCTCCAGCCTTCCGACTGCCTTTTCCCTGCCTAGATTTATTCCCTTGCTGAAAGAGCGTATATGGGTCATCAATCCATTCACTCGTACATTCCTTGTAGGCTGGATTACTCTCCTCGATTCCATTCCTGATCTTGAACTTGTGACATATTTGCCAGAATTCTTGGGCGGTCTGCTCAAATTTCTTAGCGGCAACAACGCGGATGTTCGAGTTGCGACACAGAGCTGTTTAGATAAGTTCCTGAACGAAATTAATAGAATTGCTCGGGTGAAGAAAGGCATCGCCGAGAGTAAACAGTCCAAAGGGGATGGGAAGCGGAAAAGGGAAGACTCCATCGAAAGCGGAAGCGCGCGAGTGGCTCCCGAGGATGTCGAAGCAGAAGGCTCCATCACAGCTATAGACGATGCTGACGAAGATGTGAGTAGTGAAGATGATTGGATACCGGGACAAGATGTTCAGGTCAACTACAAGGCGATTCTCGAAATCCTAACTGCAACTTTAGATTCGCATCTGGGTGAGTACACCGACCTACCGGCGGATAAGGAAGAAGTTATGTATCTGACATATAACGTAGAGGAGGATGGCCTGCTGGAGAGTTTGCGGTGGATAGTCTCATTTCTAGATATCTGCCCTGAGGAGGTGCTACCTTTCACGCCCAAAATCCTGGCTCACCTGCTGCCGGCCATGGCTAGCGGTGTAGAGCCCATACGCCAGGCCGCAGGGCGGGTCAATACTTCACTCATGGAATATGTGGTTTCCCTAACCGACGAGTCTGACGCGTCACCCAGCCAGCCGCCATCGCGGTTACCAACGTCTCTCCCCGCTGACCGTACCGAGGGCACGACTAGTGCACGAGCCTCTCTTTCTAGTTCACGGGAGGTTGACGTACAAAGTCCGACACCAGCAAACCACCCCAGAACACCGACACCAGCCGGATCTGTTGTGAATCCACAACCTGATTTGGATTACGCAGCTGCCGTACAATCACTGACCTTGTTATTTCTCAATGACCACGAGGCTACGCGCGTCGCGGCATTGACATGGCTCATCATGCTACACCGCAAGGCACCACGCAAAATTGTTGCCTTCAATGATGGTACATTTCCTGCTCTGTTGAAAACCCTGTCGGATCCATCCGACGCTGTCGTGAAAAAGGATTTGCAACTTCTGTCACAGATATCTAGGAATAGCGAAGATGACTATTTCTCCAACTTCATGGTCAATCTCTTACAGCTTTTCTCTACTGATCGAAAGTTGTTGGAGTTGCGAGGCAATCTGATTATCAGACAACTTTGTACCAACCTTAGCCCAGAGCGTATATATCGTACGCTAGCAGAGACAATTGAGAAAGAAGAAGACCTTGAGTTTGCTAGCATAATGGTTCAGAATCTCAACAATAATCTCATCACTGCGCCGGAACTTGCCGACCTTCGCAAACGACTTAGAAACCTGGAGACCAAGGTGACACGGGCCCCGAAAAAAAGTACGTCTCATGTTAGGATGGCGAGCTAACAACATCGCAGGATGGACAGATGTTCTTCGTTGCTCTGTTTCGGTCCTGGTGTTATAACGCCGTGGCCACGTTCTCTCTGTGCCTGCTTGCGCAAGCATACGAGGCTGCATACAACCTGCTCCAAATATTGTAAGATCACAGCCAAAGCTACAAAAGAGGAGTATTGCTCATGAATTACAGTGCGGAACTCGAAATGACTGTCAATATTCTCATCCAAATCGACAAACTCGTCCAGTTGATCGAGTCTCCCGTGTTCACATGTTAGTATCGGCATGATAGTGATTCTGTTTCATCTCCAGCCATTTCATGCTAACTATGTCGTACGATAGATCTTCGTCTACAGCTTCTTGAGCCCGAAAAATATCCTTATCTATATAAGTGTCTATATGGACTACTCATGCTTCTACCACAATCCTCTGCCTTTGCCGCGCTCAAGAATAGACTCAATAGTGTTAGCACCATCGGATTCCTGCACACTGGCCCACGACCGTATGTATCTTTACCCAGTACTCCTATTATTGCTAGGCCCACCATCACTCCAAAACATACGCTCACTTCTCTCATTCATGCCGACACCACCGTCCCTCCAAAACATCTGCCCACTACCCCGGACCCTTTTCATTGCAAATTCAATTTTCCCACTAGAACCCCTAGCAGTAGCCAGCATCCACACCTTCGACAAGGTCAGGTAGCGAAGGCTGCTGCCACCTTTGAGAGCCAACCCCTTCAACGTAGAATTCATGACACTCACTTTTGTCCCACTAGTCCTGTCTCCACCCCCAGTACATCTGGCTATGATCGGCCGAATAGGTTAGGTAAAGGCCGCGAAGATGGTATCATTCGCTGGGATCAGCTCCTCGAGAAATTCAAGAGCGTGCAAGAAAGAGCAAGACGAGCTCAGCGGTCGGTGGGTGGAAGAAATTTCGATGACAGATCAGACTTGAACGAGTTGCGAATTAGCGACAGCGCAGGGGCCAAGGAAACGGCGCGTCCTCCTACCGTTACAGGACCACCTGTACCACAGAAAGATGCTACTACGACGGCGGCGCCACCTAGACGTATCGGCCTAGGGAGACAGTTTGGTAGACTAGGGGCAACAGTAGCGGGCCGCGGGAAGCGACAGCCATAGCGTTAACTGGGGCTGACCTCGGTTTGTGGTTGGTAAGGGAGGGATCGAGGAAGATTGCGTGGTTTGGCTACCCTTACATGTACAAAAGCGACGAAGAGTTATTTGTCATGCGACATCATTGGAACATCACGTAGAACACAGCGAAGATACCCAGGTATAGCGCATAAAACCAGGGGGTATCTTATTCACACTAATAAAGACTTGTTTCTGCCTTGCTCATGCTCGTCATTCATCTTCTACTTTAAGCTCATGCCCAGCTAGATTCTTCGCGAAGCCCGGACCTTGACTGGACTCTCGCGCTCAACTAGCATCTCAAAGTTGGCGTCTCGTCGCTCGGTCGCCTCACGGAGCTGAGTGCGGAGGTTTTCCAGCTCAACCCTCGCGGCCTCAATATCGGGCGGTAGACCGGCGAAGGCCTTGACCTGGGCGTCGAGGTCTTTTTTCTTGACAAGGAGGTCCAAGTACGCCTCCTCGTCCAGCCTGACCTCCTCGACGGTCAAAGCGGGTATGGCGACCTTCTTCTCCAAGGCCTCGACGCAGCGGCGCAACTCGGGGAGCCTGGCAGCCATGTCCTCGACGGCGTGCGGGAGGGCGTCCGAGTCTGCTGCGGCGGCGGCGGCGGCGGGAAGCTGATACTGAGGGCCATGGCGCAGGTCTTCGAGAAACGCCTGCAGACGCGCCGACTCGTCGTCCAGGTACGCCTGCAGGAGCCCCACGCGGTGTAGCAGGTGGGACGTCTCGTGGGCCGCGCCCTGCAGGTCGACGAAGACGCGGCAGAGGTTGGACGAGCTCGGGTCCGCGGCGGCGTTGAGACATAGCGAGACGTCGGCCAGTGCGTCTAGGGCTGTCTGTCCGTCCTTGGATAGTCCCGCGTCGAGGGCCTGGAGGAGATCTTCGGCCAAGAGGTCCCCGTGGATCGGTACCACGGCACCACTGCTACTAGCATTGTCGCTGCTCTGACGTCGACGGCGGCTGTCTTTCTCCTGCTCTGCGGCGCGCACTTCATCTAGGGCGGCGGACTCGAGACGCGCGAGCCGGTGGCGCTCCTCGTCTGCTTCTTCGTTGGCGGCTATAAGAGAGAGCAGGACCTCGAGGGTCTCTGGGTTTCGCTCGAATGACGGTGGCGAGGTGGAAGATAATGAGGCAGCGGCGGCTTTGGAGAGATGGGTCCATTGGCGGCGGAGCCAGGCGTCTACGTAGGCCCAGTCTTTGGCTGTCGATGCTGCTGCGCGGGCTATCGAGGGGGAGAATATGGCTGCTTGGGGAGCTAGGTGGGACATTGTGTGCTCTCTCTCTCTCTCTCTCTCTCTCTCTCTCTCTCCATCTATCTCCTTCCCTCTTTTCGTCTTTGATTGTTCTCTCCTCTCTATGTACGTGGCTATTAGCGAGTGGTTGTTGGGCCACGGCTGCTCATTATATTTTTTTTCTTTCAATATGCAGTGATTGTCGCAAAAGTATGTGTGGTTTCGTAGCGAGCTTGAGGAAGGTGTACAGAGGTTACAATGGTTCATGACATTAGTTGGCTACCTATATTATCTACTGCAGATAGTGGGGTATAGTAGAGAGGCCGGCGGTGAGAACACGCAGGTTTGTTTATATTTACATAGCTACTCTGTATACATACAATAGTCACTGTCTGCCTATATTCAGCTAGACAACCAATGGCTACGGGGGTGATGATGATGGTGATGCATGTAGAATGTGCGCAGAGTTAATCTTTTGATCGATAACTAGGTTTATATTCAGTCCATCAAGATATATCGCATGTACCTAGGAATCCCTTTGTACCTATTTTCTTTTGAGCCTCAAGAATCAATCACAAGCCGATTCTCGTCGCGGTAATGAGCGACCCACAATAGACATCGAGTCCGCCGAAAACGTGGGGTAAAAGCCAAGCGCCCAAGCTAGGTCAGACTACCTAGGTGTACAGAATACTTGGTTAAAATAAATACCTACATATATGTAGAGAGCTCTGTAGGTAGGCGTGGCATAACATGTACCTACGTCATATACCTATCTACGGTATCATATATCATCGGCTCTGTGGGAGGTGTCATCAAGCCCCCTGGTCTACATGGACATCTCACTCTACCTACATGTTGACATAGGTACCTATGTAGAATACCGCCTCTAGCGTACCTACGCCAGCAAATGTAATACACAGCATTATGGATTGTAAAGTACTTACTTATCTCAGTAACTTAGGGTTTCACTGAAAGTTCGAACCAAGATCAAGATCAAGATTACGTATCTCCGGTAGGCACCTCCTCGAGTGTCTACAAAGTCTCGGTATGTATATCAGTGGGGCAAGAACATGCATGTGTCGATAACAAGTACATACCAGATACCTACCAGATACATACCCAGCCTGAAGTGGCCAGCTGGTCAATGCAACCTTGTGCCGGGTTGCGTTACGCAGATACCTCTGTCACATGCTACTTGCCCACCCATTCCCGTGTACTTTCCTACCACTTTTACTTCTCCGTTCCCAGTCTTCTTCCAGGCCACGTTGATACCTTCAAGGTTACCTCTTCCATTGTCCCACCTATTATTATAGACCTCCCGACGCCCAGTTTTCTTTTCTTAATCATCTGCTGTCCTGTTCGCATAATTCCAACGCTACGCAGGGCACATCAAACATCGCCGCGCCGCGCCGTGGCTGTCCACGCATTTGATCCGTCCCGTTGTTCTTGGTTAGCTGTCGTTGCATCGCTCTCCCGACATGATTGTTCCTCTATCGAGGCTGGCCTTTGCCGCCGGCCTTTTGTCGACATCGAGCCTTGTGAATGCCCTGTCGCCCTCCGACATTCCCTCCGACACGCCCATAACCTCCCTCCTGTCGTCCGCCCAGACGCACATGGCCAAGGGCGAGACTATCGAAGCCCTCATGTACTATGATGCTGCCATCGCTAGAGACCCCTCCGACTACCTGACCTTCTTCAAACGCGCCACCACCTATCTCTCCATCGGCCGCACATCGCAGGCTACCTCCGACTTCAATAAAGTTCTAGAACTGCGACCCGGCTTTGAGGGCGCACACCTGCAGCTCGGAAAGCTTAAGGCGAAAGCTGCCGATTGGGACGGTGCCAAGGAGCAGTACTTGCTGGCGAAGCACAGTGCAGACTCTCCCGAGTTCCAGCAGCTGCTCGAGGCACAGGGTGCTGCCAAATTGGCCGAGGATGCTGCCACTGCTGGAAACTGGGAGGAGTGCGTGGCTCACGCCGGAAATGCCATCTTCGTGGCCAATCGAGCTCCCCAACTTCGAGAGCTGCGCGTAAGGTGTCGCTTAGAGCGAGGCGAGGTTGAGGAGGGCATGAGCGACATGCAGCACATTCTACAGATGCGCCCTGGTGATACCAAACCCCATCTCAAGATTTCGGCCACGACTTTCTACGGTCTTGGTGATATGAACCAGGGATTGGCACAGATCAGAAAGTGCCTTCACTCCGATCCTGACTCAAAAGCTTGCAAGAAGTTGATGAAGCAGGAGAAGAGCGTGGAGAAGACGTGGGCTAAAGTGAACAAGTCGCTGGAGAAGAAGCAGCCCATGACGGCTGTCAAGTTTTTAGTTCCTTCGAATGAAGAGAAAGGGCTAATTGATGAGCTCAAAGAACAAGTTGCGGAGTTGAAAAAGGACGGTATAATTCCAGAAAAGGCCCCGAACGCTTTATTGACACAATTTGTTGAGGCCGCCTGCCAAGCTTATTATGAGGCGAGTATCTATCTGGTTCCTCAGTATAGTGACAAAACAACTGACTCTCAAATCTCTAGGCCAATGGCAAGAAAGCAAGCACATATTGTCCTGAAGCCTTACAATTAGATGAGAACTCAATATATGGTCTATTATATAAGGCAAAGACACAGCTAGATGCTGAAGACTTCGAGCCTTGTATAGCGACGCTGAAGAAAGCGTCCGAAGTCAGACCAGACAAGAACAACATCATCAATCCGTTGATGCAAAAGGCCCAGGTGGCGCTAAAGCGCAGCAAGACGAAGGACTACTACAAAGTACTCGGGGTGCCGCACGACGCCGACGAACGCCAGATCAAGTCAGCATACCGCAAGGCATCGAAAATACACCACCCAGACAAGGCCATCAAGCAGGGCCTGAGCAAGGAAGAGGCCGAAAAGAAGATGGCTAGCATTAACGAGGCGTATGAGGTGCTCAGCAACCCGGAGCTCCGCGCGCGCTTCGACCGCGGCGACGACCCAAACTCCCACGAGCAGCAGAACCCCTTCCAGGGCAGCCCCTTTGGCGGCGGTCACCCTTTCATGTTCCAGCAGGGCGGCCAGCAGTTCCAGTTTAAGTTTGGGTCTGGCGGGGGCGGTGGCGGTGGAGGGTTCCCCCACGGCTTCCCGTTTTAGAGTATTTATATATAATAACAAATGTAATACAAGAAAAATTCAAGAGAGCTACCGTTAATTGTATTTGTTTTTTTCTTCTCTTCATTCTAGGATCAGTAGTTAATAGGATTTGACTTACTTGAAATGGGTTTGATTCCCCGGGATACCCCCTGGTTGTGTACTTACTATGGCGATACCGGTATGATATGTAGACATACGTTTCCACAAATGGAAGAAATACAAAGCAAAACTCACTCATCCGCAATACGCAAGTGTGTATTACAAATCAGTAATATTCAGACTGGATTGATACACATGCATGGACCTTCGCCTAATCACTCTTGATATAACACACAAAGCCACAGAAAAAACAGACGTAGTAGAATCAGCGATGACGGGGATAAGACAACAGCAATCCTGTTAAGTTTAAGTTTTTTTTTTGTCGTGAGGGGCTCTATATGTACAATAATTCGTCCATGCAAGATATTCGGATTGAAGAGAAAAAGGTTTCCCATCCACCGTTGTCAACACCCAAAAACCAATTGGCCAGCCCATCATCTGGCCAACCAGACAGATGTCAAACGGTCCATTTCTATCGTCGGCGCCAAAAATAAGATATTTTCCGCAGTTGACAAAATAGTCACAAGACCGAGACAGAGAGATGGGGGGGAAGGGGGTTAGCAAAGTGTTCTCGTCTTGATCTCTGAGATTCAGGGTTTCTATCCATGTCCTCTACCTCACGGCGATCCGCGAAAGTAGATTGTGTCTTCAACAAGTCGTCCAGTTGAAAGACTCGCCAGGAATACTGATGGTTGAGGTTTTTTTATGTACAAAGTCAGGATCTCAGGAGGTTTTGAGGTGTTTACATGAAGAATTCAAAGGCCATTGTCCTCGCTTTTTTCATGTTCTTAACACGGACATTATTAGCATAAGTCCGGGTGGACCGGATTGTTGGGGTTATGGCTAATCCTTCGGAATTACCAGGATCCTAAACCAACCCCCCGACTCTCGGAGATTTCCCGAGTAAGGCTCGGACATGGGATTCCGATATTGAGTGAGTTTGTCAGTTGTCGGCTGTATTGTTCGGCTCCACTGATAGGGCCGGCCCTTCGGCGTAAGTAGTCGGTCGGACTTCGCAGTTGTAATTCAAATCTCACTTGGCGTTGAAATCCCAGGACAAGGCTAATTGCCCGTAGTGTATCACGCAGTCGTGTTTGTGCGAATAAAGTATGCCCTGGTAGATTAGTTGTTAGCTAGAACAGGCCAATCAAAGAAAATACGGATTTTCCGCCCCCGCCAGGTTCAGAAGCTAGGGACCTATGCTTACTTGGACGCCTCGTATGCTGACCAGCATATCGCGGTGCTTGGCATTGTTGTGACCACCCTCGGCCGAACACCCTTGAAGAAGCCGCGCATCCCTTCCCTTTGGTACAACAACTTGCAGCCTGCTACGAAACCATTTACAGACCTAAGTTCATGGTCGGTGGCTGTCCCTCGCGTCTGCAACATTGTCTTGATGACATCCATGGGCGTGGTTAAGGCAGCGGCAAACCCTCCAGCCACCGCGCCGGCCGTACAATGCGTGAATGGATCGTACGCTTTGTTAGGATTCATGGCAGTTGATATAGATTCGTAGGCGAGGAATTGGAGGGCGGTGAAAGGAACTGTCATGGATAAGGTAGTCGGATAGGAGATATAGAAGGCAGAAAGACCTTCAGTTTTATAAACATATTTCGCACAGTCGGTCATAGAACGATACATTTTGCTCGAGTTCTGTATTTGCATCCGTTGCTTGATGACTGCGATGGCAAATTAGAAGGAGTGCGAGCTGTGGTGAGTCTGATCAACATACCGTCAAAAGGGTTCATCAGCGCATCGCTCGCAATAGTCGCACAAGCTCCGCTCGTAGCTGGGGAGAAGGCATAAGCATTAATGGTTCTTTTCCGTTAGAAGGAGAGTGTAGCATACCAGCTGCTAGGGGATGATGTGTGCCAGTCTTGTTGCCACCCATTAAATGCTTGACAGCCTCGTAAGTAGCGAAGTAGACGGCGTGTGCAGGGCCTAATCAGAATGATTTCCTGTTAGCAGACAGTCGGGAATATAGAATGAATAGTGATGATATCGATGGTTCTATCACATACCAGCTCCTACAACAACGCTCGACATGCCTCTCCACAGGTTCATAAAGCCTTCGCCACTAGCAATGCGCATCGTACTCTGAATCATACCCTTGTAGACCGTGCCAGCTGAAGGGTTGATGATTTGCATTCGTGTCTGCGCATTCATTTCATATCAGCTCCTGGACAGGAAAAGGTGATAGAGGCTGTTTGCTATAGAGAACTCGTACCTTGATAGCATCGATAGGGTACATAACAGTGTGTTCCTGAGTAGATGTGAGCTCACGAGCAAACTACAGCCCGATAGCTGGGCAAATGGACGTTCATCATACCGCTATGCCGGCAAAAGCGCCAGCGGCCATGTTCTGGACAAGGGAGAAGTTGGGCGGTAGCGCTTCATAGCTACCAAGGAAGACAAAGTTAGCTAGTTGATCAGTCTATGCGCCGGTGCACATAGAACGAGAGGGGCGCGGGGATGGTGTCAATGGGGACATACTCGTAGTCCTCGACCGGCTGGGCAGTGGGCTGGGCCATTTTGGCCACAGCTGTCGGGCCCTCGCCGAAGGTCTGGGGTTGAAGCGCCAGGGTTGCGTTGGGGGGAAGGAAGGGCGTCGTCGCCGAGAATGCGGGAGCCGGTATCAACTACCCTCGTAGACTCGGAGGTAACCAAGCAATTGGTCAATGCTAGAGGACGCCGAAGATGCCAACCTTGGAGCTCGAGCAGCCCGCGATGAGTGTAAAATATTCTGAATATATTCGAGGTGGGGAAGACTGCTAGGGATGAGGCGGAGGAGGTGGACAAGGGATCGTCGACGTCAGATGGGGCCTGCTAGCTAGAAAATGTCGCGGTACTGCGTGGACTCGTGGATTCGAGTATGATGGGATTCGGAGGTTGCGTAGAGTGAGGCTTCAGAGACTGCGGCTTTCTGCGTTCAACGGCAATGATGACGGGCGCGGGAATATCTCGCCGACTTGACTACGTCGTGGGTAAGGCAAGCCGGGATGGATGCACGCAGTTAGAGATACCTAGGTCTTTGATTAATTGGATTTCATCTGATAACTTTTTGGCGCTACGTACTATTATGGCATAGCGCGCACCTAGTCACGGCGCTGTCACTGGCGGTGCTTCTCCTCGGACCTCCACTGGTACGGTTCTGTCACGAGAGTTGTTACCCACTTATTAACAGGTACCTACCTAGTTACAGTACGCAGCCTCCCAAAACAGAAGCCTGTGCGCCGGTAACAATTGTATTACCTCTCCCGCCGGTATCGCAGCTAGCAGGGGCGGACACGCTACCGCACTGTCCGCATCCGCACACCCGCACCTCTCCCACAGTACTCAAAATGGTACAGTACGAAGTACCTACCTACGTAGTAGGTTTCTGCTTAGGTAACCAGCTTGCCTCGGTCTCGGGCAGTAACCACGGATCTCGGCCGATAGAGACCTCACCACTTGGGTGTCCGTGACATTAAAAGGTTGAACGGGTTTAGAGTTTCGTCTCTGGATGTGGACAAATTGCCTACGTGACTCTTTATACAGCATCTGAGCAGGCCATCCGATAGTACAAAAACGACCCAAGAAAGGAAAACAAACCATGTACGGCATTCATGTTCAATCAGTACTAGTCCTCTGAACGTCTAATGCTTGGTGTGGAATAATGCGTAGTGGTATCACAAAATGCCAGAAACACTGCCTTGAACGCCAATGACCCATGCCTAGTAATCCCCGCCCGCCAGCCATGCAAAAACCCGGGTGCTGGGAATCGGTCTCTTCTAGTGCTCACATCACGCCTCTGTGGTTCATATGAGCCTGTTGGAATTGCTTCAACATTGTAACAACCCCGGGTCCATCGCCCTCTTCGCTCACGCCGCTAGCCTCCCTACTCAGTCCTTTGTTAGGCGAGCCTTCCCATGTTGATTCGCCTAGACGGGCAATGCTTTCCTCGATCTCACCGTCATCCGTATAGGCCGTCGGCTGCCGGTGCAACGTGGCCCCGCTAATAACCCTATCTTCTGTTGGTTCCTCAGCGATACCTCTATCCCCCTGATACGGACCCCGCTGAGCGCGTGGCTTTGGAGGTGTTCGTCCGACAACTACCGAAGATGAAGGTTGGTTATGCGGATCTAGCAACATCGATGCCATTGGAGACGGCGCTACAGCCGGTCTATTTCTTGGTGTTCTCCCAGGGTGCTGGGAACCTGGAGGCCCCCGTGTTCTCGGTGCATCATTTCGCCCCATGCGAGATGCTCGCATGTCTGCAGCTAATGTTGGCGAAGTCAGGCCTGGGAAAGCCGGCGGTGGGTGGAACTGGTGCCTTCCACCTGGCCCAAGTGGGTGGGCCCCTGGGAGTCCACTTCGAGGATTGTAGACATAGTTGTCCAAAAATCCATGCATAGAAGCTTGCATCTTGCCATGTTTTGTCGCATAGTAATCCTCACGGGCATCGGGGACGTTATTCTGCTGGGGGCGTGTGCCGCGTGCATCCCTCTGGAAATCGAAGACGGCGAACGAACACACATAACCAAGGCCATCAACATGGACTGTGAACTCGCGGAAGAAGTCCACGATCTGATCACTGCATTTTGGCAAAGACAGAAAAAGTATCACAGGGGTCACCAGAACGCCGAGGATCTCTTCGAGAAAGATGACGATTCTGGGCTTATAGAGTTCAGCAAATTCAGTCTTGACATCGAAACTGTGCAGCCGACCCCTCCAGTGGTCTGGTTCGTAATGCGTCCAGTCGATAACACTCTTCATAGCATATTCTGGGTCAAAAACATCGGTTTCCTCCGAGATCATGCCTCGAGCGACTGCCCATATAGTTGTCAGGATGGCGACGAAGGCAAAGGCATTCATTCCAGGAAAAATCTCAAAGTCTACAAACATCTCGGGGTCTGAGAAGCCGACAATAGCAATGACAGCTATCAGAGCGCCCGCAAAGAATTGGACTGTCCGAGCCGCTGACTCTGTTTTCTTCTTAGGGAATTGGTCCATGTAGTGCTTGGCATATGGATATGACATGTTCAAGCGATCTTCAAACAGATGAGGCAGCTCATTAAACTCTCGAAATTTCCATCTCGCGAGAGGTGTATATTGCCGAGCTCCGATAGAGGAGGTATTGGTTTTAAACTCCTATAGAATATTAGTAAAGAATCAGCACTCTCTCCGGATATGACGTACATTGTAGTATGTGAAGATAAAATCCACCAATAAGCCACAAGCCACAAAGGGTGAGAATAAAAGACTCATGAAAGCCGCGAAACCGAATCGAGTCCGCATCTCTTGACTGAGCTGACCACGGTGATCAGCTTTGAGTACACGTTGGTGAACTTGATGGTGTTCATCGAAAATGAGATCCAGTACTCCAAACTGTACGGTCCACTCCAGTGACCTCGAAAAAAGCTGCCTACTATTCAGAAAAGGGATGGTTAGATTTAAGACGTCCTTGTTGAAGAGCGCAATGATATAGTTCTCCCGTCTCATTAGCCTATTAGCTATGTCATGTGCGTCTAGTCTTTCCTTGGATTGACTTGCTACGTGAGAGCCGAGTTGCTTAGAAAGAAATTTGCGCTGAGACGGTGTGATATTAGTTGCCGTCTTGAAGTTTTGATCCCGAAGAGAAGTGATTTTAGAGACGACATCTTGCCATGAGACGGTCTGCATGTCTTCTTCGGGGATCTCGAGAAGATAAACGTAGAAGTCACGGATATGCATAAGCCGCGGCATATCAAGAATCCACTGGATCAGCTTCCAAACGAAATAAAAACTACAGAGCCAGAGGCTCAGATTCCAGAGACCCCACATATGCTTAGTACATTGAGGTATTAGGATCTGGGACAGACTCTTGCTCTGCCTGATCTTGCTATAGTCTATGCACTGGGTTAGGAGCGTCAGGAGGCTTGCAACAAAAGCAACCTTACTGCGAGGAATCAGTTTCTTGGCTTCGTAACAAGTTATTCTCAGTGACACCTACAGCAGATGTAATATTCTATCCAGCATAATACACCACAAACCAGCGCCGAGGTAATAGTCATAAACATCACGAATGAATACATCAAGGTTAGAGACGTTAGCCCATCTAAACATGGCCTTATCCTTAGGGCTGGCGACAAATCCGGGCCGTCTGCTGCCGGGGAGGCCTGTGTAGTTGCCGCGCCCGTGGATCGGGCCATATTCATCGTCTTGATGTAATCTTTGGTGTGCTTGTGCAGTCTCCCACTGCGCTTCTATCCTTCTCCGGTTCGGTTGCCCGCCACTATTTCCTGGACGGTGTGATCGGCGAGAACTCGATGCAGCAGCTTGGGGTCCCAAAGGTGCCCTACTTGTACCCTCAACCAGTAATGACGCAGGAACGTCGTTGTCGCCGTCATCGTCATTCAGAAGCCATCGTGATTCTGAATGCTGCCCATCTCCTGAGGAAGCGGCATCTCGTGTACTTCTTGCCTGCTCGATTGGACTCCTAGTAGAGATGCGGCTATCATCGAGGGCAAGGTTTTCTGCATGGTCGAAATCGTCATTGTGGAAGTTATGGGCTAAATTCTCCTCATCCAAATCTGAGGGAGCTCGATTATCGAGGTCACGATCGTCTCGCAGTTGACGGTAGAAAGACTGACTGTCCTTGGGAGGTATGAGGCGGGAGAAGAGGTCACGAGGCATCGTGTAGCCCCTTTTGTGGCCGTGCTCGTTGTTGCTGGCTATGACGGCGGCGCTGTAGAAGTGAGAAGTAGGTGTACCGCGGAGGAGGCGCTTTCCAGACCTTAATTTGCAATGAGTCAATCAATATACGTTCAAAAACATGGTTAACCCGCCAGGAAGAGTGATAACGAGCAAGATAGCCTGTAGAAGAGGCAAAACGGATGAGATGGTGACCGTCGTGTTACGAGATGAGTCCACAAGTCGGCACAACACAGAACGACGGGGACTTGTCACACGGACTGTGAGAGAAAGATATGTTATGGCACGATGTCTTGCGGTTCTCCTGCGTAAGTAGGCAATCACAACATATAGATAGCAGAGTGCCCAGATATTGGTGTGATCATTTGAATCAAAAGGTTCACCAGCATGCTGATGATGGCTTGGTGCCTTGTACAGGTACCTACAGGCTACCTACCTACCTACCTGCTTAGTAGCTCCCCTACTGTGTACGCCCACCGTCGCCCAGGCAGTTACGTGGGAAGAGGCACGTGGTGCTGTAGCAGGTAGCACATGCGCCTTATCGTTATCAAAGACAGACCCCACAGTGAAGTCATCTGCACCAAGGTTGGAGCCAACAAGGTACCTACTACCTATATATGTACCTACCTGCAGAATACCGGTACCAAGAACATAGGTACGGTACGGTAATGCACAAGCCCATATAGTAGTATATCGATGGCATCTATGAGGCCAATGTCAATTGATTATTAAGGATGAAAGCTTTACATTGTAGATATTCTTGGATTGACCAGTAAATTTCAACACCCTTTTACAGGATCCCGACATATCACTTTCCCAGATCTCGATACAACAACGTGGGACGCTACCCCCGCAAATCTCCCGCCTAGCGGTGTGCCAGCCGTTTCTTTAACTAAACTACTAGTCTAGTAGCAGGAATCAACATCAGCGAGGCGTTGAGCAAAAAAACTGGCACCACCTATTCAACCATCTAAGTAGAGGGGAGAGGTAGTGCTAGTTTTTTGCTCACCGCCTCGATCGGATGACCGACGACTCACGAAACTACCTATACTACAGTACTAGTCATCCCCTTTGGCTAAGATTCCTAACTAAGGTACGTACGGTTATGTGGCGTGTCGCAAGCTTGATAGCCTGGGCCAACGCTAGGTGAGGCTAGAAGTTGGTTGCTTTGATTGGCTCGCGATCTTGTCCAATAGTCTTGGCCCGTTGGACTATAAGCCTCACATATGTTCTCATACAATCCTCTACATGCTGACCGTCAATCTATAACCATGTCAAAGCCTCTGATTATTTTTTATATATTCCTCTATGAGCGCTTATCATGTACGAGTATCATTCTGCAAATGAAATACCTACTGTGTGTGTGTGTGTGTGTGTGTGAATTATCCGCTTTACTGCCATGCTAACAGTTGATTCTACATCATCTAACTCAATCATTCTGATATGTATACCTACCTAGTGAAAGCTTACAACTCTCCAGGCATGCTCCGTAAGCTCACATATATTGCTGATACCTGATGCTGTCTTTGGAAAGGCACTGGTGCCGATGTTTACAAACTTTTTCTTAGATAGACCTTCAGGCTACTATACATAACCAAGTATAGCCCCCAGTTTCAGATACCACTCTATAGCTTTTACCTTCATTAGAAATTTGACAGTTATTCAAGCTGAGTTCAAGAAGCAGTAATAAATGCCAGGTTGCAATACGTGGAAACCATGTTTCTTGGCCTTTGTACACGTAGAGCCCAAATTGGCGGACAGCTGCTAGCAACTGTCACGACGGCGCAGACGGATCTTTGTCGGTCAATACCCAAAACACAGTAACACATAATCCGTCTCACCAGTAGCTGGGCTTTTGATATCATAAGTGCAGAATGTAACTATTTGTGTCAAAGGAGCTGGAATCGAAGAAATAAGAGAAGGCAAGAAAGTACAAAGCCGAGGTGGTATCGAACATGGCCTCCAACGGTCTAGGGCTTCAGCTTCCGCAACGTGATGCTGCATCGCCAGGTCCCATATCCCCCGGCATATCTCTAGCTCCCGGTCAAGCCAGCAGGGTCATGAACCCCATATCATCTAAAGTCACCTCGGTACTCTCAACTTCATATGCGGACTCTGAATTCCGCGAAGCATTGATTCTGCTGGATGAACGGGGCATAAGCATTAGTGCCGAGACCAGAAGGCAGCTACGTCTCGACGTGCAAAAGGAAGTTATTGACAGCAATGGCCAGATCATCAATGAGTTTGGCCGTGTGGCAGATGTAAGCCGGCGGGCCATTCGCCTCACGGATAGTATGTGAAACTGACGCAACCATGAGCAGCAATTACGACGCATCGGCGCTACCATCGACAAGCTCAACAAGAACTATCAGGAGATGAAGAGCCATGTAACGCTATCTCACGAGGCAACTGTGGCTACAGTTGAAGAAGCTTCTTCTCTGATGACACAGAAAACGAATATAGAGACGAAACAACAATTGCTCAAGGGCTTCAAAGATCACTTCGTACTCACAGACGATGAAGTGGCGTCTCTAACCCTGACATCGGAGCCCGTCGATGACCGATTCTTTGCCGTATTAGCTAAGGCAAAGCGTATACGCAAAGATTGCGAAGTGCTCCTTGGCTTTGAGAACCAGACCTTGGGCCTTGAGGTTATGGATCGGACCTCAAAGAACCTGAACCACGCCTTTCAGAAGCTTTATCGCTGGATACAGAGAGAGTTCAAGACGCTCAATCTCGAAAATCCTCAAATACATTCTTCCGTGCGTCGCGCGCTACGCGTATTAGCTGAAAGGCCCTCCCTCTTTCAGAGCTGCTTGGATTTCTTCGCCGAGGCTCGTGAACAGATTCTCTCAGATTCTTTTTACCTTGCACTGACAGGAATGTCAGCATCCGGGGCGAAGGACCACTCTGTCAAACCGATTGAGCTTGCGGCCCATGACCCCCTTCGCTATGTGGGCGATATGCTAGCGTGGGCGCACTCGGCTACAGTATCGGAGCGCGAGGCCCTCGAGGTCCTTTTTGTCTCAGACGGCAACGAGATTGCCAAGGGCATGCAGGAAGGGAGGGAGAATGAGCTATGGCGTTTCATGGCCGATGAGGGTGATGATGGCCCACCCGAGTTCGACGCTGTCAAGGCGCTCAATGAACTTGTTGATCGGGATCTGGCGGGCGCCGCTCGAATTTTGCGCCAGCGCATTGAGCAGGTGATACAAGCTAACGAGGAGACAATCCTGGCATATAAGCTAGCTAACCTGTTGTCCTTCTACAAATTCACATTTTCGCGACTGCTAGGGGTCACCAACGCCGAAGCTATTCTATTACAGTCGATGACGAACCTCGAATCCGAGGCTCTGCGCCAGTTCCGCTCGCTCATGCGCGACTACATCGCTACGCTACAGGGTGAATTTCAGCACACTCCCGCAGACCTCGCACCCCCCGATTTCCTCCAGGAAGCGCTCAAGCAGCTTTCAGCCATTATGCAAACATACGAAACCTCGCTGGACACGTCCACGTCTAAAGGGGGGGGAGAAGACCAAGAAGATGACGACGACGAATTCCAACCCATACTCACCGAATCCTTCGACCCATTCATAGCAGGCTGCGAGAATATGGCACGTAAAATCCCCAGGCCCGCTAGTTCCATCTTTTTCCTCAATTGTCTCCTTGCCGCCCAATCCACACTGCAACCCTACTCGCGCTTCACATCACGTCGTCTAGCACGCCTGCGCTCCACCGCCTCCGAGCATGCGTCCAAGCTTATTGAGTCGCAATACAGCTTCCTCGTATCGGAATCGTCGCTGTCGTCCTTTTTTTCGGCCCTACAGCCGTTGCGCAGTGAGATCCGTGAAGATATTGAAAAAGTCTCAACGCTTGAGCCGACACAACCCGCTGCTCTCGCAAGCGCGAGCCAAAGTCTCGACGACTTCCTACCGTCAGCTATCATGGACGCCTTAGAAAACCTGAAACACCTGCAGGACGCGCGGCTTGCGCGTGAGGTCACGGAGGAGGCGGCCGAGCGGTTCTGCGCCGACTTTGAGCACGTCGAGGAGCTCCTTGTACTCGCTGACGAGTTGCGGGATCAAAAGGACAGCAATGATGCGGATGAGGAGCCGAGCTTGAGGGCCTTGTTCCCAAGGACAACGGGCGAGATAAGGGTTTTACTATCATAAGTCGCTGAATTACTAGAGCGATGCATTTGTCCGAGACGGGAATATACACGGAAACCTATGAAGATGCTGAAGATTAGGACAACCGAGTCTTACAAGTGCAGAATGCGCATAACCTTGCGGGTTATTTTCTTCTTTATTATTAATTTTCTTCTCCTGGCCTACCATTCACACATGTAGGGGCGTATCTCTCAAGTCAACGGAAGTCTTCTCCCTTCTCCGGCCCAATACGGTAAGCTCTGTAAAGCTGCGAGGCGATTGCTGCATAATTGAACCTATGTGCTAAATAAAACAAATCAAGACGTATAGGTATCACTCGTGTCATCCGTAGATAATTATATACTTCCACGGTCGATATCTTGCAATCTTGTGTTAATCACAAAAAGATTTCCTCCGGCTCTCGCTCTTCATGTAACCGGGGTATCACCTCGGGGCCGCTTCACCGGCCAATCGCCGTCGCTTGGCCGTCGTGGTCTCTTCCCGGCAGACTCGCTGGCATCGACGTGCTCGAGCTTCGCCAGCGCCGCCACGAGCCGCCGGCGGGCGGCGATCTCGCGCTCGCTGCTGTCGGCATCGGGCCGGTAGAACTGTTTGACGATGGCCACTGTGGCGTGGTAGCACTCGTAGAGGAGGATGCGGGTCGACGCGTTCTCTGGGTCTTCGATAATGTCGACGTCGACGTCCTGTTGTTTTTTCTTTTCCTCTTCCTTTTTCACCTCTTTGCTGCCTTCTTCTTCATCGCTACTAGTAGCATGATCTTCTTCTTTGATATCGTGGAGTTCATCAGAATCCTTGTCTCTGTTGATCTGACGAAACCCGTGTTCGAATTCAGGCGTTGTATGCGAGAAGACTGTCGCGAACAATGGGTCACCGAATATGCAGTTACTCCAGTCTTGTAGCCCCGTAATCTCGAGGACTCTTGTGTTGTGTTGTTGTTGGGACTCAGCATCAGAATCTTCAGGTTCCACTTTTATCCTGGCGCTCTCTTTCAACGTCTCGAGCTTGTCCTCTTCCTGATTGGTTTTTACTTTTTCTGGCTCCTCTACAAGCACGACTTCGTCTTCGTCGCCATCAATGACCACTAGTCGGGGTGTCGTGATAGCATCGAGTAAATGGGCGAACTTGCGGAATGTTGTCCTGACTAATTCGTAACTCATCGTTACTGCTCGGTCCTCGGCGTCTCTGAGGATGCCCTCGAGAAGCAGGTGAAAGGTCTTTCTCCAACCGTCTGCGCCGTCAAAGTCCAGTTTTGTTTCTTGAAGTACTCTCTTACTCTCATCAGAGACGTGAGGTTGCTCGAGCACTGTTGCTACTTGGCCAAACCTTCCATTTGGTGACTTGACATTGGCAATGCACCGTATGAGGCGACCCTTCTGAAAATCGACAGACCTCCGTTCTGCGAGCGTTAGAGGTTTCCCCAGGCTCGATATAGGGTCGCCTAGTGTTGGCTCGAACAGACAAAATGCAGAGCTAGTCTCTGTTGAAATGGAAGAGTGTACGATTAGAGTCGGCAGGTATCTTCGTAGTTGGCTCTCGAATGAAGATGGTTTAGCCGAGGCAGTCTGATCTGACCGCCTTGTTGTCGGGTACGCCTCGCGGGGGCGTTTACCAGCTCTCTTCTCGTCAGGGCTCTGAGAGCCCTTGTCGTCTCGCTCGCAAGCATCTTGTGATAACCACTCAACGACGGCTGCCTCTGATTGCACGAACCATTTCTCGTAGCGAAGCAACCTTGAGGGCGGTGGTAATAATTTTAATAACAAGGTCCGCTCGTTAGCGAGCTTGACCTTGAAAGCCCTCAGAAGTCGTTTTGTAGATATTATAGAGACAGTCTCAAGCCTTATGTTTGGAACGGCGCTCTCTATGATAGCCCGAACTGATTCGGACGGGCGAGGTTGAGTCATGGGTGTGAGGGAAACGGGAAGCTCGGGTTGTGTGACGAGGACTGTGTTGCGAGTAGGTAGCCGAAGCCGTCTTGTGGGACGTGACACACCAGATATTATCCCTCTTGATTGTGTCGTCTTAGAGTTGGTGCTGGTGGCCTGGGTAGTGTGGAAGGGCAAAAGAGTAAAATGGGGGGTTGTTTCTACACCACAGGGGTCCGTGGAAGATACCGGTTCTGTCCTTATACTTGGCCCCATGATTTGCATGGCTATTCATGTCGTTTCTTGATATACTGGTAGGCGGAGAATGCAATGGAACGTAAGCTCCGCAATGGGTGGGATTCGGGTGATTAGGCGGTTGACCTAGAGAGAAAGAGCCTGGAGTCGAGAGGGCCTTGCCCTTTTCTATATAGCAGCGATCCGGTACCAAATACGCCCAGCGGACGATAGAATTTCTGGATCTATAACAGATGGGTGACAATAATAGCAGTATAATGGCCGCCGGGGATAGTAGATACGATAATACGTACTAGAACTATTTGAGCTCACTACTAACGAGGCTGCAATGTGCAAGATGAGTAAAACATAGACAAGTGATGTAGGCAGAAATGTTATCGGCTAGTAGGTTCATTCTTTCGAAACGAGTTTTAAATCAAGCACTGCAGCCAGCAAAATACTTATTATGCGGATGATAGTAGAGAGGCTAGTAGAGTTTCGTACAAGAAGCGAGAGTGGTTTGATCACACACTACCAGAAGCGAGCTTAGGAGAGCTCTTGCTGGGTCTGGCACGTTTGGATCTTTGCGAGGTAAGGAAAGGCTACTGTCACAGGGTCGCTTGTTCAGCGAATAGGACTCGACGACGTGATTAGTAGAGTCGGGCGGAAACAAACAACAGCTCCCTAACCTAGATGTGTTATGGGGGCCAAGCGTTTTGGCAACTTTGTATAGCATGCTCGCTCGCTTGTTTACTCGACGAGAGGCGGAAAGAGGACTAGGCGATTTAGTCACGATGGACTAATGGTGAACAGTGAGCATGAGAAGTATGAGGTAGTGTACGGTGCAGGATTAATCAGCAACGATGGATGGGTGGGCACAACATGGCGGGCTAAAGGGACTGTTGAGGCGGACATGATCGATGGTATCCAGGCATAGGATGGTGATGATATAGCTTGACGGTATGATTCGCAGAGAAACGAGCAAGTACACTCGACTACATAGTACGTGCACCAGATATGCGGCCCAAGAAGGTAGGCAGACTAGGTAAGCTCTACTGTAGCTCCCGCTTCTGATGGAGGCAGTCGTTAGTCGATGAGCAACAAGCGAGCCCTGGTTGGGTGAGATGATCACGTCAATAGCATGAAATTACGGTTTCGCCAAGGCGGCGGCGGAAGCATTCTGGAAGATCAATTTCGGCGGAACCAGTGGACTGGGGGAAAATGCGGCGTATGCGTTACGGCAGGACTAAAAGAGCTCAGCATACACATACATACATACACAGTAGGCCGGGGCTGCTCGCTGCTCGCTCGTCCACCAGCTGAGGGAGCCATAGGCCGGCCAAGTTAGTTGCAAAAAGAGACGATCCAAAATGGGCGGGCCTTGGACCGCACTGGTGGGTCAGGAGGAAGAGGCGGCAGAGGGTGAGGGTCATGGGGAGGTCTCCGTCATTGGTTAGGTATTTGAGAATACCTACCAGACCTACCTAGGTATTATCAGAGCAGTGACTGTGTATCGATACTGTACTAACCAGGTAGGTAGCAGGTAGGTAGCAGGTAGCGTCGTCGGCGTCATGTAGTTGCGTGCTAGCTGTATCCTATAGTAATCTAACCTAGCCGTGGCTGAAGATGCTAATGGCAATGGCTTGTTGCGAGGCGGGTAACCTAGGCAGACAAGTCTATCAACGATTGGGCCAAGGAAGCGAGGTTGCATGGCCCGGCACACGAAGACTGCTGTGTATGTACAAGCATTGGCGGTCAAGCGGCAGTCGAAGGAGGGAAAATGGGATGTTACTTATGTTGGTTGAACCATCATCATCACCAAACCCGCGAAGGTGACAGGGAGCGAGCATGGCAGACATGGTATTCTGTACCACCTACCACCTACCTACTTACCTAGCATCTACAATGACCAATGATGGCCACCTACATTCCTAGCAGGACGGGAAATTCCCACTCGCCTACATAGTGCATGTACAATGTATATATGGTTTTGGTTTTGTTTGTGGCATAATTTGTGGGCGGCTCCTCTCTAGCCGCTCTTCTCCTGAGTTTAGTGTAGCTCAGCTACTTAGGTATTGGGCCAGGTTTGCCTTGCAACTCTTCCCGTGATGTACATCCTAGATCAGTTACTATAGGTACGCATATACATAGTACTATGGACTTAAGGAGATGGATGGTCAGGCATGATAGAGATCGTAAACCGGATTGAAGTCGGAGGCTTGGGTATCGGAGTTGAAGCTTGAAAAAGCAGTGGTTTCGGGACATCGGCTGACGCCTCTCGAAGGATGCCATCAAACCGACACATCAGCACGGCGAAAGTGGTAAAGCAAAGCGAGAAACACGACACCCGACGACGAGGCGATGTGAGACTATACCTACTTACACGTACTTACTTACATCCGTGCCCTACCTACATACTTACTTAAGTAGTACTATGTATATATGTGTGTATATATGTATGGAAATATGTAAATATTAAGTGGTAGTATGGAGAGCTGACAAAGGGGCGGGTCTCGGTCGAGAACGAGGTTGCATCGAAGAAGCGAGTCGGAAAATTTATCATTGGCCCACGGTAAGCGAAACGGTCGAAATAGGAACTGGCTTCCGAGAGCGTTAGATTTGCCAAGACGCCATGACAGAACCACCAGAAGCGCAGTCGATGGGGGCACGCATCAAGGTTCTCGGCACCGACGCCATACTATAACATGATCACAAGTTACAGGTGCATTCAGGTACCTACTTATATGTATCGAGTACGAAGTAGGTAAGACAAAGAAGTCCAAGAAGGGAGTAGCTTTGGAAGGGGGGAGACAAGGCGAGACGAGGCGAGGCGAGGGAGAGAAAGATGAGGCTTTGAGTTAGCCAAGTAGGTACAGCACTTGGCTGTAGATCTAGATAGGTACTTACTTACTTACCTACCTAGGTACTTACCTACCTACCTATTTGCGGGTGCTAAACTATATATGTACATAAGGTAGTCTATACATGCACCTACTAGGTATGTAATACAGAGGTAGTAGATAGATGGAATTCAAGGATAATTCAGCATTTACAATGACCACCGACATATGTGTATGTATGTATGTACCTACCTCTCTCCCTGTCCGTATAAGTACTGTCCGTATAAAGCATAGTGGCGGTTGCGTTTGCGCCATGTCGAGCCATGTAACGTGGCAGTCGTCGTCCCGCTTCTTTGCCCATTTCGGGACCCTGGCCAGTTTAGCTCGCCGGGGTCCATTCTGTTGGGTCTCGTCTTTTCGGTTGCCGTTGAACCCGTTCAGACCCGTTCAAGAACCACAACCGTCCGGTCCACGAACCACTCTCGCCATTGCCTCCCTTACTTACATAGTATATATAGTGCATATAGTGCCTATTTTAGGTCACTGTGTACATGTATATGTAACTGGCAAAATGATTATCCTCGCGCCATGTTTGGCATCACATAGTCACTCTGCGTTCGACAGGCCGAGCACATCAATCGTTCGCCGTGTCGTGCGCCTTGAATTACAGCTAAAGCATTCAAATCTCTTTCCACGTCACGGTTCACATGGAAGGATTTCTCCGGCTTGAAGCACCGGCGGCGTGGCGTCTCACGGCCCTGGTGGGGTCGCCGTGCCACCCTCTGCACTTCGGCTGATGCCCCATGCTCACTTACATCCTCCAGAATCTGCATACCTACACTACATATGTACATGTACCATCTGCAGCGATGACATGCTAGACACGGTAGACTAGCGGTACGCACAGCAGATCCATGGTACATCATTCGGCCGGTCCGACAAGATCATATATATATATATATATATATGTGTGTGTGTGTGCACTTGATAGGGTTGTAATATAGGTGTCTATAAAAGATCGTCGATGCAACAGTGTCGGGGGTAATAAGCGTTCCCGCTAGTCCGTCGATGAAACTCTTTTTTAAAAGAAAAGGGCAGGTTTCCAGACATCGTCATTTCTCTGCATCACGCCTTGCATCGAAGGCAACCAATGGTATGTCTCCCGTAGCGATGACTGATTAAAGTCATCATTACTGCTACCTCAGGCTAGGGTCTAGCTTACATCTCGTTAAAATTGTCGTAATGGGGCTTAGTGCTGCTCTCTTGAGCCTCATGATTCGCGCTTCGTGCAGCAAATGCTCTCTGCAATGAAACAGCGCGGACCCGGACTTTGACGGATTTTTCAAACCCCTCCTTTTCGTCTCCCGTCGCACGCTACACGAGCAACAACACTATCGAAGACGACAAGAGGAGCTTAGGCATTCCTCCAAGAGCAAGAATGAAGATCTAGGTGGAAAGTATATGCATGGTGGTCTTTTAGTGGATTCACTAGCTGGATATTGCCGGGAATAAGGCAAATGAACCAGACACATCCTCAAGTGCTGGTCTTTCCATCAAGTTTTGTCGTAGTAGCTCTATCTTGCCGCGTACTCGAGCAGATAAACATTGTCAGCCTAACCTTCACCAACTGAAATGGGAAGTGGCGTGAATAACATGATTTTTTTGGAGTTACAGTTACCCTTTTCATATAGGACGACAAGACTCCTCGTAGCCGCATGTTTCTTAGTGTCAAGCTCCGGAAATGCGAGTTCCTGGGAATTAATGATATAAAAGATTAGTAACGATAAGGGCCTACCGACAGATCCTGGTGCCACAAGTGTCCGTCATGATCTGGTATTACATCGGGCGATTCTGATGACCTTTCAATCTTAACCTAGCCGAATGTCGGACAAGGTGTTGGACAAAGAGTTGATCTAACAGGTTTCTCCTGATCTGTACCACTGAATATGTCAATTATCCCGTGTGGCAGATACTCTTGAACGTCCAGATTCTGGTACGCAGATGTGGTTCATCTGGGGTAATCCATATGCGAGAAGCGACATTGTGTTTCGTCCATCAACAATCCAGACTTGATCACCGGCTCGATACACCTGTTATGACCCTCTTCTCTGATAGTTTATATAACCATGAATTATTTACTACAGTACACAGAGGCTAGAATTGAACCAACATGAGAAATATCAGTAGAGCACCCAGCACTGTACCAGCGATCTTGTGGTGATGTCAGTAAGCACACAACATTATATCGCACTGCTTGTATATTTGGAATCAGGGTATCCGGAGTTCATGGGGACATGGCGTTTTGACTACCGGCGTCAAAACCCACTCCCACATCCTGCAGAGTACACCGGCCCCGATACCTTAAAACTAATTAGTTATAGTATACCTGCAGAGACGACAAATACGCACGACATTAGCTTCATGGCTAAGAAATGGGAAGTTCCGCCATGATCCAGAGGAGGTTGATCCTTTAGCCCCCAATTGTAAATGAATGAATTGGGGCTAACTCAGCAAGCTGGTTCTTGGAATACCCAACGTGAACCGGTTAATGACCGTCTTGTCTTACTATAAACTGAAGCACTGCCTTTCTATGCATTACTATACTATAAAGGTAGGCATGGAAACAACTATTTGGCATTCGGGGTAGTCGCAATTGCTAGGGATATACTTTGTTCTGCGATGAGAATGAATCATTATTCTCAGTGGTAGTGTCAAATTCACGCTCATGCCGTGAACTAATTACATAAGCTACAAGCTTACTATTCTGGCCATAGTGCTAAATTATTCCTAGGGCGGACGATCGATTGCCCTTAGATGAATAACGGTATCTAATATCTAGCGTAGTTTAATTCGACAACTTCAGCTCGTCAAGGATCATATGCCACTATTTCATATGTAAATTGTCAACGCTAGATCACTAGCAGTTCCCGCCACTCAAGACAAGGAAAAGGCGGCATAATATTTTGACTCAAATATCGAGCCACTTTGTTAACGGAAATGTAGGAAGCGGGCATTATTCCGCCAAACGCCTCACAGGCGATTTGGGAAAATCTCTGGTTAGACCAGATTTATACAGCTCCAGCCTTGGTTTTCAGATCATGTCACACGACAACACACGTGTTGTGTGCAGCCCAAGGCCCTAAACCGCGCCCATTAAGCCTCTTTCGGACTACACATCAGCCACGCTGAAGATTCGAAAAGCGCCATAACTGCACTCTGCCATCATCGTTGGTTCGGCTGGACTACCTATGCTGGGCACGACAGAGCTCTTCAAACGCGCGAAGAAATCGAGCTTGTCTCTCAACAACGGTGTGCTTGGCAAGGGAGTCACTGCGCGCAAATTCATCTGAGGGATTATAGACAAGATAAGTGGAGGAAGCGGTTAGGGTCTGCATGCAGGTAGCATAAGTATCTATAGGTAGTTGCATACATAGGCAGATAATTGACTATGCAGCCTCGCTTTCCGAGAGATACCGCCTTTTGTTCTTCACACGTTTTAGGAGTTCGCTATCCTGTCGTAGCGACGTTCTTTGTAATGCTATACGGCTGAGCCCATGGAAATTCCGCACCGTATATCTTTGACTCGACTTGTTGGTTAGTTCAGATGATCACCTGCAGCTGTAATTACATTAATGTGCATGCATACTTGGGGGTGTTGGCGATGCGCCTGGGACAAACGAGCATTCAGGCCTCTGTAACGCCCACATCAGCCGATCAGCAACGGTCGCCTTGCAGTTTGGAGGTTTTGGAAAATGCGACCGTTTGGTCTTCCCTGATCACTTACGGCACTAGACTAATTGTTGAGAATTATATGTAGTTGACTCATCGTTCTGAGAATGACTTGGTGTCAAAAATCGGAGCTGATGTACATATATCATTGTGCAGAGAGCGTAGAGCTTTCGACATACGCATATAATATTCTATCACACAAGGCTGCTCGATGCTACTAGCTTTATAACAAAACGCATCGCTTATAGGTAATAATGAGTATATTGCTAATTGAAGTCAAACGTTGCGAAGGCTGGTTTCTTGGCGTCACAATGATATGCAATGTACCACCGAAAACTCAACAAGTAAGCCGTAAGGCGAGAGTTGAATGTGGAAAGCAGCGACGGGAATCTATGCAATATAGGCTTCTAGAGTTGTTAGATCATTCGGATGTACAAAGATCCTACTTAGTCTGTGCATAGCCATTATAGATGTTGGGGGTCTCGCAATCAGTATCACACCTAGCCATTTCAAGGGATTTATATAACCAAGCTATGGAACGGATGGTCTTGTTTCAAGCTCATTTATGTCCGTTTACTTGTAGATCTCCTATACCAGTGAAAGATTGAGTACATCATCAAAAGCAATAAGACATAAATTCCTCAGAAGTAGGCACAGCAGAATTTATATGGATTTTATCTGCGACCGACAGTTGGGTAGGGTCCTAGCATTACCTAGGTGATGTGCCTGGTATTTCCCATGCACGTAAGGTGAGTCCAAACCAATCTCACAGTTGAGCCATAATCAAGTAATCGGTAGATTCAATACTTGTCTCAAAGTCTCTGTGATATCAAGATATGGATCTTTTGCGCTGGTCGGGATAACAACCCCACCGTGAAATACAAAGGTTCCATACCACAATATTTGTCTTGTCTGTATTGCTGTAGGGAAATAATACGGTGTATAAGTAAAAGGGGGACTGTATCACACGCGACGGATACTGTTTCACCAGATAATGTGAAGGGCAAACTGTATCAATAAGCGAGTTCCCATATGAGAAAATGGAGTGTGACGGATACAACAAATGTTGAAGGAACTAACGACCAATCCATGTCAGCTCACCGTGGAAGGCAGGTTCGATATGTCCTAGGAAGATAGCTCTCCATGATTAAGGACTCTGATCTACCACACAGATCCGTTATAACAAGGGCAGCAATACTGGCCTTGGAATCTAGGTAATTCAGATTATAATGAACAACTAGGGCTGCATGAGTCCTTGACCAACCAACCCCTTCTTGGCTGTTGGTGGCTTGACTCGACTCTATATACAACTGGTCTGCCAGCCCGGACCGCCTAGGTCTCTGGGGTCTGTTTCAAGAAGCGAAGTCTGTATAACCTCACTTTCCAATATTGCCTGCATGTCTATGGATGATTATTAACAGCCTGCAATGGCTTTTCGTACGGCCGAAGTGCAAGGCGAACTGCATATTCAGCTGGCACAGAGGTTGCACGTGTAACATCCGTCAATCTGCCCCTGAATACTTGTGGTTCTCGCCCTCTGAACAGTGCGATTCTCAAACAAACCCCTCGCTAACTCCCCATTGCATTATAACATCGTAAAGAGTATAGACATACGGGGCCCGTTCTTTTCGGTCTTTTCCCCGTGCACCCTCGACCGGCGAGTGCAAGGACTACGTACACTACTATTAGATCGCCTGTCAATCCTCCGAAGTCCCGGATTTCCATTTTCGGCAGCAATCATTGAATTCTGTAAACACATAGGAAGGCTGCTTTGTTGAGACACATTACCCTGTCAAGTATATACGGGATGAACTCGCGAATCCCGGAACGTCCGAGAGTATTAGTCATAGTTGAGAGCGATGTCGATGGCACAGAATGCTGAACTACGACGGGAAACAATGGGGATTTTAGCATGAGAGTAATGGCCCTTAGTGTATTGAGGGCCTCTGGACATTTGCCCGCACATTGTAACATGTCTAGTTTCATTGATATTTTGACTGCTACGGATCTGACTTCTAGATAGGGTTCTTACTATGACAAGGGGATTGGCAACTTTCATAATGGCAGGCCCTTGAATCTAAGCAGATAATCTGGCGCCACCACGAAGGGTGTCTATTGTTACGGCTAGGATATGCCTGGTCTTCGTGTGTGTTGTTTCCCGAGAGCCAGAAACGCAGCCCTGCGAGGTAACAACTGACATAGCGCCGAAATTTAGCAGTCAAGTGTGTTTTCAAATTGATGTAAAGCAATCCCCAACATGTCCCGTGCTTAATCGTGGTCCAGGCTATAGGCTAAGCTTGGCCATCCCCTTCTCCTTCTTTTGCTTCCTCCGACTCTCCAGGATCAGCTGCTGACTTGAGGGCTGCTGAGTATAGTTCATGTATATTGTATCTCTTCATGGCTTCCCAGTCCTTACCGACAACACTCATACCACAAAAAGTCTAAGAAAACTACTCAGCATCAGGCTCTAACTGAAGAGCAGTTGGTGTAAAAACGCACCTGGAAGATCTCTATTATAATAACCTTGTCCGGGTTCTTGAGGTCTACTTTATGTCGTTTCGAGATCATGTTGGCGACCTTATCGATTACCTCGGTACGCTTCAGCGATGAATGTGCGCGCAATGTTGGGCGAATGGCATACTGTTGCGCCTGGTTAGATACGGGTTTGAGATAACGTGGGCTTGAACTACTGAAGTGAATGGGTGATATGGGTGATAAGAAGAGAGTGATAGGTATGGAAAGAGGTACTGTCTTCCTGGCCTTCAACTTTCTACTGACCGAGTAGGCTTCATTTTCGCCGTCGTTTTCAGTGTCCGTTTCATCATCGGCCATACGAAAGTGATCAGATAGAATCTTCTTAGCGACGTCCTCCAACCCCTTCTCAGTAGCCTTTCCAGTGAGTGTAATGGGGGTTAGCTTGTTAATAAATCGCGACCGCAGCAGCTTCCTATCGTTTGCAACGGCAGCGTCCTTGCAGATCTCTCGGACCAACTTTAGCGGGTCGACGGGCGCACGCGTACGCATGAAGAGAACACAGTCGACATTCATCCTTATAAGGTCAAACACAGAATTCTTCGTCTTATTCGCTGATTCCATGGTCGCGATCTCTTTCTCGATGGCCACCTCGATGTCTTCGGGCTCATCATCCTCCGCAGCATCATCGGCGGCATCGGATGCTATGCCGAACAACCTCTGGCCGTACTATTCAAATCCCATTTCGCCTGAGCTCATGAATCTGGTACGTGTGAATGAGTTTCTCACCTCTTCACAGATAGAAAGTATCTCGTCTGCTGCCTTCATCTCCTTCATTCTCTGACAGGTCACCCAGAACCCCATGTCTCCGACCTCAAGGGTCCGACCTTTGATGGCTGCGAGCTTTGCCTTATGACTGGGTGTCATCCACTTCCCCTGGTTGCCTCCCTGCAGATTGTTGTTGTCAACTACGCCGTCCAAGGCCGATTCGGACCAGAGTACTCAAGTCTTCCGTACCTTGCTTCTCTTTAAGCTGGAGCCCTGGGCTCCAGAAGCATCATGCTTTCTCTTCCCATTGGTCTCCATTGTCGCAAGAATTTAGTGCCCGCTTATATTTCCAACCGCTCTGCTGTATATGCCGACGTGTTTGTCTGCTGCGGCACAGGCGGGTTTGTCTTAGTTCAAACTCAGAATCTAGTCGGACAACATGAAAGTCTGGGGGGTCATTCAGTGCTCGTGGTGGCCCGTGCACACCGACCATAAGCACCTACTCTGCACCTCACCTACCTCAATTTCTCATGGCAATACACAGAAAGCCGCTTAAAAGATATTTAAACGAGGATAATCGAATAGACAGAATGAGTCCGGCATCAAATTTGATGTTTACCGCTCGGATAGAAGTACAAGCCAATGCCTCTAGAGTTTAGGAACGAGAAACAGCCCTTTATTGCACTAACCCAATCTCCAAGCCTTCCCAGCCAAGTTTGACTGTGCAATACTGAAGTACATGCAAGATGATCGCATGTGTAGCTCTATCATAAGTAATATGTACGCTTCTATATACACAAGTAATACTGCAGCTCCTGCTGACTATCTACTGGCAGAGCTACTATGTGCTGCATCAGGTCTAGATATGTATATGGATAAGTGAACCTACAACGCCCCCAAAGTATAATTTTCCCCGTATCCTGTGTCCCCATGCGCCTTCTAGAGCCTTGAAGAGCTTGTCTAAGATTCCATTTCCTCCTCGTATATTTTTACATTATTTGCATACTGTCGAATGTTGCTGATCACAGAGTCTTCGATCTCCTCTCCTCTCCCCGCTGCTACTCGTAATAATAGCTCATTTAGCGTTTGTCGGCCTAGGATATCGACATGGTCTGCTGAATTGGGGCCGCCTCGTGGGTTAAACCGCTCAGGTTGGTGCGGCATTTCGATCACTGTGATTTTCGACTTTGCCGGATTGTATCGATTCATCCGCCACCCCTTAGAGCACATGTAGCCCGTGCTGATAAGATTGACTGTGCCGTCACCCTCGCCCATGACGACTCCGTGGTCAATATCGTCAATTGTCAAACCAGTATCAATGGTGATATTGAGCTTCGTTTGGTGAGGAAAGTCAGGTGGTCGGTAATAGTAGGCTCTTTCGGTGGGTTTTCCCACACCATAAAAGCAGAATATTTTGAGATTGGGCGCCAGAGGGAGCCTGGTTTCCAATGGATTGATCCATTTGTGTGGTTGTAGCTCATTGGCTTCCACTTCAGCCCTGGTATGGGCTATGCCCTGGGAGTAGCTGCGAAGTATCTGGTCTCGGTACCAGTCATCGCTAGTATCTAGCAGGTAGTCTAAGGCGGTAGCAACAGTTAGATTCTTTTTGGGAGTCGTCCAATTCCCACCAGCCCGGAAATTCAGGAATGAGCCGAACGTGTGAGCTTGACCGGGTTTATCATCCGGTGCCCAGGTCAAGTTGCCCCAGACTGCCTCGCCACCTATCGGGAGCATGGATGAGATACCTGGCATGGCGCGAAATATCTCTGCACGCTCTTCTTTATTAAGGAACCGCTCAAGACCGTAGACAGCGAATGCGTTCAGCTGCGCTGTGTCTCGCATCTCGCCCGACAATAGTGCTGCCGTATCTTTTACAGCACCAAGCATACAGCCGCTAATATTGATCCATGCCTCGACGTGTCTATCTACCCAGTCGTCACCTCCCTTTCCACCTAATTCTGAGGCAACCCAATGGAAGAAGTAGAAAGTCACCTGAGAACCCATGCTGTGGGATGCGAGAACGACCTTTCTGCCTGAAACCTGGTGCGCCATTTCGATGTGGTTTTTTAATCGTGTAAAGTATTGATCTCGCACTTCAAGATTTTCGTATGACAGTCGCCAGTCATATGCAGCGGTAAAAGCATTGGTTGGATCATAGCCAAGAGAGGCTAAATTTTCGAATATCTTGCTCCAGATCCAATAGCCTGTGATAAAGAAGTCTGTCGCGTCGAAACCTTGAGCAGCTCGAAGTTTCAGACCCGGCGGATCCAATCCTGTCTTTTTATCCAGCATGATGTGTTGTTTCCACACCTCCTTGTCAGACAGCAGTGCCCTCATCATGGTCCAACTTCCCCATAGCCGCCTCCGGAAATAAGGCCGAGACACATTACCGGTGCCCCATGACTCGAGACCCGTGGAGATTACACCAGGCACCATGATGATGGGGTGATGGACGTCTAGACCTTCAGCTCGCGCTTTTACGCCCACAGAAAAGGCATCAGAACTTTCGATAAACTCGGCATTCGCCTTTGTTCATGGCGCCAGTACGTTAGTATAGGCCTCGTGCAAGAGGAGAGGCTTTTTACAACGTACTACCAAGTCTTTCAAGTCTGCTACAAAGTTCGAGGGCAGGACATCGAGGAGACTGTCCATGCTGAGCTCGCCAAACTCAGGAAATTCAATGAGATCATTCCTCTGCGCGAGTAAACCTGCAGCGATGAGCCCGAACAGACTGCCAAGTAAGAATATGAACGTGCTCCTCCTTTTGCGCGTGGGTGGCTGATCGCGTTGATGAATGATTTTGACTTTGTCGCCGGGTTTGACGGGGCTTTGATCGCGCGATGTTTGTGCAGACGGAGACGGAGACGGATCGATGCCGGCTGCGCGGCGACGAAGTTCGGAGGCCATTGTCAGATAAGCCTACATGACAAGGAGAACTCGAGTCGCTCAGGATCGGAAGACCGATGTCGTTGCGGGGGCAACAAAACGGAGAGTGAGTGGGTGAGTGGGAGGATTGCCCACACTGACGCTGTGTTCTGGTAGTGGAGAGTCGCGAGCCCGAGGTTGCTAGAGTAGAGATCTACTAGGTAACCTTCCTAGCTTTGATTATACATGTTGTGCCTGATTGACAGGTCCCAGCCCCCTGCAGTACCTACCTAGGTAGCTGTGCAATATGGCGATATGGATCTTCAAATTCTTTATCGCAGGCCGAATTGACGTCAACCGCGCATTCATTTTTATCTGACCCTGGTACAGGGTACAAGGTAATTATCTTGCTGGGATATTGGACAGGTAAGAAGAACTATGGATGTACATTGTTACGACGAAGTCCCACAGTGGAACGATCTTTCCTGGCCAATCAGCTGATCAGGTAATAGAGTCTCCTGTAAGAGTCAGCGATGGATCGGTACTTCTATAGGGTACTTGGTAGGTACCTATAGGTAAAATATACTTACTACCCTGAGATACCACCACTGCATCAATGCCAATAGGCTACATAGTACCACTGAATCTGCACTGAAGTATACCTAGGTAGGTAGTAGGATGTAGTACTAACGTGGTCTGTCTTCGCTCACATGTGAAAGTGGGCGCAAGAGGAGGCGGATGGATCACTCTGGTCGGTCTTGTCGCTGTTGTCTGTTGTCGTACAAGCTTCGGCATCTACGTCGTTCGTTATTGCTCCTCTACTTGTACATCAGCCCGGACTCTTGGGTGCGTGGGCTCACCGGCCTCTCTTTCTAGCTACCTAGGTACTCTCTTTTCCCTTTCTTTATCCCAGAACTAACTTCATTTATTCTACCACCCAGCTGCCCATGTCATGCACATCTTCAGTTATTTTAACACGTTTCGCAAATAACTATTAACGGTATTCTGACGCTGAAAGCTGCTCCAACCACCACTAGGCCCGTCGAGTTCTACGCCTCGTCTAGCTCATTATCGCGTGCGAAACTACCTGGATATGACCAATCTTGAATGTTTACCCATGGCTACAGAGATAGCTCAACCGGTCAACCCTCTCGGCGAACTACGGTATCTCCAATACGAACATTCCCTCGAGGAGAAATATCTACCGGAAATCCGAGCCTTGATATCTAAGGACCTCAGCGAGCCCTATAGCATCTATGTGTATCGGTATTTCTTGTACCAGTGGGCACACTTGTGCTATTTAGTGAGTCTCCGGTGTCTTACTTGACGTCTCTCTGACTGTGTCTCATGGGACCACCAGGCTTACCATCTAAATCTCTATCTTGATAGGCCCTGCACCCCACCGAAGATTCTCTCCTTGGCGTTATCATCTGCAAGCTCGAACAGCACCAATCACATTCGCCACCCACACTTAGAGGTTATATCGCCATGTTAGTCGTGTCTTCGGACTTTCGAGGAAATGGCATAGCAACTATGCTAGTCAGGAAAGCTATCGATGCCATGGCCAAACGTAATGCCGACGAAATAGTGCTTGAGACGGAGGAGACAAATATACCCGCTATGAGGCTGTACGAAAGTCTCGGCTTCCTCCGGACGAAGAAGCTTCATAGATATTATCTCAACGGCAATAGTGCGTATAGGCTCGTGTTATTGCTAAAACCCGGATATGAGAATGAGGAGATGAAGCCCCTAATTTGATGTGTGGCTAAAATCCTAGGAGGCTTTGCTTGAGTGTATAACCTGTTGGCCCATGGAAGATGCTGTGTAGAGTTCTTTAAACAAGTGATCCCGTGGATGAAAGCTACTTTGAGCGTGGCATTGACGAGACGACCCGACTACATTTTCAGGCGTTTTTGGGACCTTAAGAGTGCTCATGGTTATTGTATTGCTTCAATTTTGCATTGGGTGGCGTTTTAAACATTAAGATAGCATCAGGTCTTTTGGGGGAGGGGTTGATAACACTGCGATTGATTTATTATGAGCCGCATGAAAGATCAGAAACAAGGGTATCCGGGCTGGTTCGAACAGTCTCCAACCAGCAGAGATCGCAACGTCATTCTGCGTCATTTACACACTCAATGATAATTACGTGTTGTTCAACTACCCAGCAGAGATCGCGTGTCGTATATAGAAGCTCTAATTTCCCATGGGTTGCCAGATGCGATCCCTAAGTATGTATATGCATCTTTTCTTGGTTAGGACTAGAAATTCGCATGATCGGCTAGGCGGACTGACCAGGCTTGTAGTAGAGTGGCTTGCCTTTGATGATACCAAGCTGCTTCAGTTTCCTGGCTACTCTTGTAACGTCGCCTGTGTCTGAGAAGTCTGCCGTATAAACACAAATAAGGCGCTCTGTTCTTTGGTCAAGACGAGACTTGGTAGCTACCTTCGCAGCAATACCTAGCTCGTTATTTGCCGTGGCTTTGGCGACGGACTCCCAGACCTTGTCGATTTCGAAGATGGTGCAGAAGACCATCCACTGTATTGGTTAGCGATAAACTGATATGAGAAAAGTTCACCTCACCTTGCCGCATGTCACTCGAAGGCCCTTTGCTAATTCGAGGATATCCTTGGCAGCATCCATACCCGCTTTTTTTGTTTCCCGCGTGATGAGAGCTTTCGATATGCCGGGCTTCCTAGATTCGTGGATGAACGACGAGGCAAAATGTAGCCGTTCTTCCCCGGCTTGCATTAGCGTTGCGAGATCAGCACCTTCGTCTTCGGGAGCTTCATCTTCACCCCCGCGAACCCGCTGATTCTGGGCCTCGCTCTTGGACTTTCTCTTAATATACGGGTTACAAACCCAAATCCAAGAGTGGCCTGGTACCTGCTCCGTCGTCGCCGGCGGTAGTCGAGTGAGGAATGCGTCAACAGTTTCAGTGAGCTGCCACGCGTATTCATCGGCAGCGTAGGGATTATGAAGGTGTGAGGCATGCTCTGTTGTACCTTTCGCATGGAGCATTAGGGGTGTGTTGAGCTTGCCGTAATCTTGCCACCATTTGCCGATGTCGAACTGTCCGACTTTTTGCTTCAGATCTTCGACCTGATGGTCGTCGCCTAGGCCTCAAGTGTTAAGCAGAGTTGTAAGCCACAAGGTATTCACGCTTGCAATACCGTAGAAATCAGATTCATCAGAACTCATGACTGTTTTCAACACCCGTTGTAAATGGAGCGTTGTTATACGATTTGTGCTACGAACGATACTGCGAAGAGCGTCTCGCCCAGCGTTCATGTAGGTATGGTGTGAGAATAAGACTCTATGGATGGCTTTCAAGTACCTAGAGCATTGGGACCAGAAGACTGTAATGCAATATTGAAGGCTCCGTGTCTCGTTTTGATTATCTGCAGGAGCTTTAGGCTGTGTATGAGACAGTGTAGGTAGCGGAGTGGACAAGAGGACTCGGGAATCTCTCAACGATTGAAGGACTTTGGTAGCATATATATTGACATATTGACAGGAGATGCCAGGTTCGGATTTAACAATATCTAGGCCGTACCACAATGTAATGTGTGTGGGATGGTCCGTGGCAGACCCATGGCATCTCACACCGTAAACGATGCCGTACTCGCGAGGACATGCTATCCCATGTCTGCCCATGCACCTTCCCTAGAAACATCATTGGTCCCGCTGTCCTCGCCGCGTGCTCCCGTCAATCACATATGCGGTACGTGATCATAGAGATACCTAAATCATGTATAGTACTTGCAGAGTACCGAATCCGGTAGTTAGGTATGTAGGTTGTGTCAATGTTTATTAACCGTGACAAGGTCCCTGGCGGGCAAGAGGTTCTCCTCGGTCTCCTTGGTACTTCGTACTACTGTACATACTTCTGTAAAGTTGTTGTGTGTGTGGGGCGCGGAACAAGAACGGCTTCCCAGGCTCCTGGGATTGATGGCGGGGAAGCTTCCGAATGGCGGTGGGTCCATGGGCTTATCCGGCCGCTCTTAGCTCTTCCCACACCGCGAGCGAAGCGACGACACGACACGCGTAAATTGTAAATTGATATGTCACCTAGGTAATCTTTACAACTGCAACACCTACCCATCATAGATATCGGCAAGGGGGGCGGGGGGGGGGGGGGGGGGGGGGGGGGGGGGGGGGGGGGC